AGATAAGATCATGAAATCCAGCGTGAGCAGCACATCCTTCCCTGCGTATTTCTGAGTGGTTCTCAACCAAAATTAAACAGAGGAGAGTAAAATAAGGGCGGTTTCAGGTATGTGAGTGTCACAAGCATGACATGGAAATACTTCTGTAATGCTTTATTTACACCAAGTCAGAGCAAAGTGATGAGGTAAAGGTGGGGTAGGCAGGAATCCGTTAAAGAAGCATCTTTTTGTGGTGTATATACAAAAAAGCTTTAATATCAATCAGTAGCTATTAGTCATTGATGACATTTGATAATATAACGATACCTCTGTGTTTTGTTATGTCTGTGTAGTCAACATTTTAAATTTTCAGAGCGCTCTGCTCTTTCTGACTGTAAACAAAGCCGTTCCCCACCTCCCCACCTCCCCCATCCTGATTGGTTGTGAGGCGAACACTGCTCCCCCGTGTCGTTCAGGACAAAGTTAGCGGTGCTACAATATTGGACATTAGAAACCAACCAGAGAGTACAGAAAATTGTCTGAATCCTCCTTTCGCCATCATTGTTGCTGGGTCAACAATGATGGGGGATGCTTCGGGATCTTACGGACCCTGTAACCTTTCTGCTGGACAGGTAAACTGCTTTAACTAAGTAAGCCAAGTGTAACAGCAGTAAATCTTGTCAAACGGGACCTGCTGCATGTTGTGGTACCGCTAAACACCATTTGCTGGTAGTCTGTTGGCACCTACAGTAGCACCAATGCTGTTTACTTTCACACTGACTGGGCCCCATTAGTAATTGTCTGAAGTATTTATCTGCATCATATCTTAATTAAATTAAAACGATACAAGCACGCAGGAGCGTCTGTTTATGGGCGGGGCTTGTAGCAGAGAGGGAGGGGAGAGGAGGAGCTGAGGGGAAAACTGGTTGTGAAGGGTAGAGTTTACATTCAAGATTTCTCCCCAAAAACTGTCACTTCCTCAGATCCTGCCGACCCCACCTTTAATACAGCAAAACAGAGTAACTAATATGAATGTAGTCTATCTTCCTGAAGCCAATCACAAAAATCTAAATCTTTAATGTAGTTTTTTATTGTTTCACTGGTCTGTAGTTGCAGCCTGTAGTTGTAGGAATTAGTCTTGTGGTTTTGGTTACATAGGAAACATCAGCTTAGAAAAGACATGACTGAGGAAATGTCTTTGAGATACTGAGGGAGGACAGGCAAGCTATGGAGCTTCATATCACAGTTTGTTTTAATTAGAGTGTCAACCAAGCAGAAAATTCAAATTAACACAAACAATGAGTCTCTTGTGAAACTCACTCACAACTGTAAGATTTGACATCTTTTAATTACTCCTGATTTTGTCTTCTAAACACACGTGCAGAGTTGTTGTCTTGCGTTTCCATTTCTTATTTTTAATTTCATTCTCTTGATTATTGATCTTGTCTAATGTTCTCGCAAAGTGCTGAAATCAACATAGTTCCTGTCTTCTTTCTTCACTTGTATCTCAGCAGCATTTCATCCCCGCAGCATGGCTCATGTACTTTCAGACCTACAGAGGTCAGGAACAAGATGGGAGACGTCGCCAAGCTAATCTACCATGACGGTTTTGTTACCGAAGGTGTCCTTAAGGGGCCTTGAATCCAAATTAGACGGACTGTGACATTTAGCTTTAAAGGCCTGCTGGCGTACTGCGCCCTCAAAACACTGAAGTTCCGTAGTGATCAGAATCAAATACTCAGCCTACCGTGAAATGAGCAGGTTTTGTAATGTGAAAGCCGTGTTACGAAACCTTTCATGAATATTACTACTCTATTCAACGCTTCTTTGAAATTCTACTTTCTTTGTCACATTTTTTCAAAACCTAATTTTTCTAATTAAAGGAAACAATGAGCGTCTATTGTGCAGCTGTTTAGACCATAGAACCGATTCCCACCCCTCTGGCTTTTACCACAAAAGCACTATTCCTTTGAAAGCTTTTGTGACATTTCACATTTTGTTTTATCGGTGATAAACATTTTTCAACTGGTTTCATATCCTGCAGGTACGTGTAATAACTCCACTTGTGCCTGGCTCATTTATCAGCTCAGAGCTCCTCTGGGTCCATCAGGACATGTAGCAACTGTGCATAAGTGTGAGGTAAGAACTTTAATGCAGGGCTTTTAGTCATGTTTGGGATTTTTAATCAGGCCATTAACACCAAGTTCTTCAAAGACACTCTGACTGTTAAAGTTGGTTGTTATTATGAAAACTACTCATTTAACACTGAAGAAAGAAAGTTTTGTGTGTGACTCTTTTCCACAGGAACTTGGACTGTCATGTCAAGTATAAAAAGACACAGAATGAGATGATTTGCAAAACATAACAAGGCCAAGTGTTACGTTCTCTGATACATCTCATCTCCTCTCAATAACACTCATCTTAGATTGGGAACTTGAGCGATTGACTGCTGCAGTAATAAAACTTGAGGGACTCTGATACACCAAGCCATCTTAGTGATGAGAGCGAGCCTATTATCCCTTTTCAGCCAGCTTTTCAAAGACGCTCTTTTTAAACACAACCTTGTTATTAACCTACAAGCTGCTTGTTTAAAAATAATGATTTGTTGCCTCGGCTTTTGAAAAATGACAGTCTGACTGAAATTGCTCTAAATCGAACTTCTCATAGCTATACTAACATTCCTGGACAATGAGGATGGATTTTCTCTGGCATGTATAGAGCCATAGACTGTATATACTATGGACAACTTGGTTCCGCCTTCTGTCAGTACACAGATTTGAAGCCGAACAGCTCTTGGTAATTCCCATTTTTTCTCCATTTCCTGAAACCAACATTGCCCAGTTGGTTGCGTTGTACACACTCCAACACTTGCACAGTAGCATTGTGCGCATTTGGCCGGAGATTCGCAGAGAGTCGCTGTGATGACGCTCAGCTCAAACAGCGTATCCCCTGAGTGAGCTACGCAATCTTCGTACTCCCATAGGCTATATCAGGTGTCAATCATAGAAAACATGAACCCCCTACTAACACAACTCCATAAGCCCTCACTGGCGAAGGCAGGATTCATGACCTATATGGCAGCCTGCCGCCAGAGGGCGCCGTTCCCGGAGTGGCTTCACCATAGACTGTATATAGAACGGACACCGTCTGCCTCCTCGCTGGGTGAAGCCAGTCCGAGAACAGCACCCTCTGTTGACGGGCTGCAGTATAGGTCAGAAATCCTGCCTCTGCCAGCAAAGCTTATGAAGCTGTGGACAAACTTTAGAAATTTATTACACAGACCATAAATTTTTTCCCCCCCTGCTTGTGATGTTGACATGTAGTTACAGTAAGTCTGGTTTGTGCTCAAGTCCTCTTTTTTCTGTAGAACTCCGATTTTAAAAGTTATTAGGGGGTTCATGTTTGCTATGATTGACACCTGATACAGCCTATGGGCGTTCAGGGATTGCTCCGCTCACCCAGGGGATACACTGTTTGAGTCATCACAGTGACTCTCTGCGACTGCGCAGCCGAATGCATCGCTACTGCAAAGCGCTGGTCTCAGGAAATGAAGAAAAATCCTGGAAATACCGAGAGCTTTTTGGCTTCAAATCCGTATACAGGCGGTAGGCGGAACCAAGTTGTCCATAGTATATACAGTCTATGGGCTTCACCCAGCAAGGAGGCAGACACTGTCCATTCTATATACAGTCTATGTATGGAGCTCAATCAGCCTGAAACTGACCAAACTGCTCGGCTCAAGTCAGTGTTGGGACACTGGGCAGAAAGTTGGATGGTAAAAATTAGTTGCATGAGAGCCGGGCAGTAAACAAAATCTCAACAAATGAAGAAAGGATGTAAAAACTATAAAAACTTTCCTATTCTACAGGAGTTAAAGTGACAGCGTTGTCATCATACAACATACCGCACTTTAGCCTCTCACAATGCCTTTTTCTGACTATTTTAACCCATAATGAGTCAACCAAGACACAACACCCATAGCATCGAGCAGGGGACTTATTTTAACTCATATTTGGAGTTATTTTTCTGTCTACCTGAGGAATACAAGTCTAATATCTTTTTTTAAGCTCTGTTTCTGATCCTTCTGTCTCCTGAGGGAAATATCACGCTCACTGGGCACCTAATACCTCAATATGTCCACCGGCTAGTCTGTTGCTGTGTCTGTTTGCTGTTTTCGAGCCATTCAAGCACCTGCACCTTCTCTTTATAGCCAGGAATGATACTGAGATTGCTAAGACTCAACAAATATAACAAAAAGATGGAGGTAAAGTGTGCCAGAATTAAATGCAAAGCATATTGAAGCTGAGATGAGCTTCAACCTCATTAAAATGTTGAAGAAATAAATTGAATATGACTGCATGTAATCAGCCTGCTAATACATAAAAAATACAGAACATGGATTATTTTAACATAAATATACCAGCGCAGGAAACTCACTTATTAGAAGCACACACATCCCCTCACACACGGTTAAAAACGCACACTGGTGAACATAAATGCATCGATTAAAATCTAGCAGAAAGATGCATTGCTTTCACACAGTTAATTACACAGATTGCCGTGACACAGGGATTATTTTATCGACTAATAGAGACTTAGAGCGCAGTATGTGAATGCTAAAAGCGTACTCTTACATCAGCAGAGAACAGACTGATCCATAATGATTATTCTGTGCAGGGGCCAGCGATAACTTTAGAGCAATGCATCAACAAATACATCAAAAAAGCAACAGGAGCTGGAAAAGACTCAGCATTACTCTCTGAAAAATGAATAATTTGACTCGTACCTTCCTGATAGTACGAGTTTATCTTTACCAATTCATCTTGACGATGTGCAGCTGAATATCTTGTTTTTTTTTCAGCTTGCTTTTTTCTCTACAGGCTTTTCACAGCGATAAATTGTACCTATTAAGCACTCGGTTTTCTTTCACGCTCCTACAAAAAGTCCTGCAGGGTAGAGATATAGCAATCCATATCAACTGCTTTCACTTATTTGTGTCTTTTAACTCTGCATTTTTTCTCTTTTGTGATTGCGCAGTGGCTCTCACAGGTTTGTCAGGATATTGTGTTCTATTGAGTAGTCTGTCTTGTGCTGAATTGGTCTCTGTATTGATGTAGAGCGAAATGGTCGAAAAAAAAGAAAAAAAAGAAAAGCCTGCAGACATCGGTAGAGATTTCTGAGCTCAAGAGTCAGATCTTTGTCACAAACCTCAACAATTGTGATATGAAGCTGCTTTTTACTGGAGAGAAATAAGAGGTGAAAGCTGAAAGGAGAAAAAAGGCAATCTGACTCGATTTGATGCTGCCTTTGTTGAAGCTGCTGTTGGTATGTCAGCAGGATCCCTTCGCCGTACAAAGGGCAGAACAAAGATCAATTGGTTGGAAAGTGACAGCATACAAACTCTACGTCACGTACAGACTTAGCGCACCGTGTACATGTGAGTTTAGATTTTATTTCTGGACTGTTTCAACACTGAGAATGAAAAATTTCCGTCCACTGAAAACATAGATGCTATATATACTGCAATTTTTTCATAGGTGCCAGCTTTTCACTCATTATGTGCTCCTTCCTTTTTCCATCTTTTCTGCTTGAATAGCTTAATAATATTTCATCTCTCCTCTCTTTGAAGGCTAAAGAGAAAGTGTATTTCTGCTTTTTTTTGTCACTCTGTTGCTCTTTTCTCCTCTCATTCCACTCCACTTGTAGGCAATCACAGCTGGCATTGAGCAAATAATGCAAAAAGGATTGCCTGCTCTCTTTCCTGAGGGCATCGAAAAGGTTGCCGCACAGGTGTTTACCGCATTTTTTTTTAAAAAAAGGAAGAGGTGCCTCGGTGTGGGAATTTGGATGCAGACAAAATAAAGAGAAAATATGGGAAGCAGCTCAGTTTATAGGGACTGGAGGGAGCGAGGTTACGTGGGTCCCTTTTTCTTTCTCTCTCCTCTGTCACTCTGTCTCAGAGCGGAGTGAGGCAACACCTTCTCCCTGCCTGACTCTTCATCGCACCGTGGGTTTTCTACAGAACCAGCAGGAAAACATTTGTTAGGAGAGGCTGACGACCTGGAACTAGAAAGAAAACAAGGGTGAGAAAGAAGAGAAGATGAAGGAGAAGAAAATGAGCTCATTTACGTAACTGAAGAGACACTACACACGGACATTCCCTCTCATAGCTCCTGTTTCATTATCTGCACAGGTAAGTAACTTGAGCTCATATTGGCTTTTTCACACTGACATTTTTAAATATGCATGGGGAAATATTTTAAAAACACAGAGATTTTGTGACATAAAATTCAGAGATGTAATTTAATGGTTGGTGTACTTTTCTTTTTTTTTTTGATTAGAAGTTTTATCCACAGTCAAATAAAGGTTGTTGTGTTTTGTGAGCCACATCATGAAGCTGTACAGCCTGGAAATATAATGACAGGAACAGATAGAGAATGACTGAAAGACAGAATTGGCTCCATGGAAATTCAAAGTGGACTAAATTATAAACAAATATCATAATAATTCAAAATGAGCTTTTCTGCATAAATGAGGCAAATTTTCACAACACTATCATTTTTGTCAATGGTTTGCTAAGGGACACAATCACTAGCTCTCCTGCTGTTGCCTGGATTGCAGGACAAGGTCTTTAGCCACTTTATCAGAGATAGTGGGAGTTGAGAAGCTCTCCAGGCTGTTCTCTCATCTCTGCCTGATTACTGTCTGTTTTTCAGACTCTGAAGACCAAACTGAGATGAAAACTGATATTTTAACCACAATGATTATCATTTTAAAATGCCAGCAAATATTGATTTTTTTTAGACGGAATGTCAACAGGCAGAGGTGAAATGTGCCGGACTCCTTTACACATATTAATTTGATATGACAGGTGTGATCTGATCTCCTCGCCTCTTTCATATTCATCACTTTATGACATATATTTACATACATTTAAAGTTTAAAATGAGATAACCTTTTAAGAAAAAATACATATACTCTCATCTGCTAATTTTGTCGTGATCTGATCTAAAAAAAAAAAGAAAAAAGAAAAAAGAAAGACAAATTGTTCTGTACTGCGTAGCATCTGTGGCACTGAGCATTTGTGTGCATCCTGTCAGCATGAATGAACCGCAGAGGGGAGGCGAGCATTGTCAGTATTAGAGTTGAAAGCTGAACAGCATGGCATTTGTAAGCCTGTTTGTGAAAGAATCAAACCCTGAAGACAAACGAGAACACTATTAGTACAGACATGCTGCAGTGAACAAAACCATAAACTTGCTCTAGGAAGGAAATAAGGAGCTTGAGTACTAGATTAAAGATAATGCAGCTAACCTTTAGACACTGAGTGATCGTTTTTCTTTTTTCTGCACTTGTCCGTGTGTGTTCATTCACAGTTGTGAGACTTATGCAGTTATTAAAGAGAGCCTGACCTCTCTTAATGAAAGGGTCATGCACCGATAACAGTGACTGATCAGAGGCCCTTCAGATTAGAAGAAAATCTGTTTACTGGCTTTACATCCAGCCATTAATAAGTCAGACTTTCTTACGTCATATCATACAAAACATCTCAGCAGTGGTGACGGTGAAGCTGTCTAGTGACTAATAGTGTTGCAAAAAGTTAAAAGGGCACAAACTTTAACTTTTTCTGATTGCAAACCAGTGAGCTGTTTAAAACCCTCTTGAACGTTGTGGCAGTGTTAAAGGGGCAAGCTGATTACCTTATATAACAAGGTACATCATTAAATTGTCCGACCAGAATTGCATATAGTGAACCTTGCCCTCATTTTAGCGCATTTGTGTTCAGCCTCTGCCTCCAGCTGTCTCTAGATAGCGCCGCAGTCTCGCAATGATAGAAAATACATGATTTATTTAAACCCTTGCAATATGAAATGTCTGCGGAGTCACAGAGAACAAATAAAAAAAAGAAAGTGGATGTAAAGAAAGACGGTAAAAGAAGGCAAGCAAAATAGGATAAGAGAGTGAGAGAGTGTGTCTCCGGGGGTCCTGTTGTCCCTGTTTTACATTTTTAAGGGTTCTCAATTCCCATCACGCCTCGTGAATTAGCTGAGGGGACAGGATGCTTTCCACAATGGCCATGGCAACAGCGTTACCAGGGAAGGGTGGGTTTCTTCTAGGCTGGCAGACTACGTGGACAGTGTGACACCAGATCGGATCGGAAAACATATTAGAGCAAACTAAAAGTCAAATGCACAATGAAGTCTGCTACCATGAGACACCATTCCTGAAGTGTGGAGAGTTAGTGAGTGAAAAACAGGTTTGGAATTGGACATGGAAGATACCTCAGCACACTGTCCAATTTGTCTGGATGTGCAGCGCAAATGGGTTCACAGGAGAGGATCTATCTGCTAAAGGATTCAAGAACTATCTGAATCATTTATCATTTATCCTTTTATATTGACATCACCTTTTGGAAGAGACACAATCATGCACGGACAAACCTCAGTGATGGTTTTGCTGCTTCTTCTCAGTGCCTTTAATAACAGCCTAATTGGACCCACGACCCCATTTGCCGGATATTATGAAGCAAAATGGATCATCAGTCATGACTTTGTTCCAGTAATAGCATAAGACACATAATCATGGTTTCTCTTTACTGAGCAAAGTGTGTTTGTGAGGTAGGGACGTCTAATTGCAGGTTGTGAACTTATGACCCCTGAACTTCCTCCTATTCCGAGAGAAACCCCAGGGTGGGCGCAACACTTATGAAAAGATTTATCAGGTCCATCAAGAGCCAGTGTTGGGTTTTTCCACTTTGAGCTTCTGTGGACACACTCCATGGATGAGACCAAGTCCACAAAACAATTACTTACCAATGACTCAGTTGATATCCAATCCTGCAAAGTGAGCACTGGGTGTAGACCCAGTGACGATCAGAAAATAAACGTTTGGATGGGTGCACTGATAAATTGACAATCAGCCACTGAGCTATAGACGGCTATTAGACGTCAAGTTTTTTTTAGACCTAATCTCAACCGTCTAGATTCTGTATATTTTTAGACGGAATTTAGACATTGTACTTTGACCCATTATTCGATAACTATTGAGTTGCATAACTAATCTTCAAGTACTTAACCAAAAATAATTATGATAGCCACTGAGCAATATACAGTGTATAAAAAAGGAGGATAGCCCTGCACAGCGCAGATTTTAACGTTGGTACTGGTGGTGTCCGGAAAAAAAGTTTCTAAAAAGAAGAGAGTTCCACCGCACACAACATGGTCATAATGTTAACTAATTTATTGGTAAGAAGAACAACACGTTTCGCCTCACAGGCCGTAAGCCTGAAGTAGCCTGTGAGGCGAAACACATTGTTCTTTAAACCAATAAATTAGTTTACATTCTGACCAATATACAGTGTAGTATAGATGTAGCCCAGATCTAGACTTGGTCTAAACTTGGTCTAAAGACCTGGTTTTAAAGCAGTCGTCTAGGTTACATTTAAGACGTCTATAGACCTCTTTTAGCCACAAAATTGCTCAGTGGGTAACTATGTCATCAGAATTTGTCATAAAGCAGATATAAAATAGTTCTTTCTCTTCTATATTTTCTATCATGAAACTTATTCAAACAACTTTTTTTTTCTTTATCCATCATCTCAAAGAAAATGAACACTTAGTTTGACCTCGTCATTTTTCTACATGTCCAGTTGCAGAAATAGCTCCTAGGCTTTTCAAGTAATCTGATTGCTAAAACTGAGAGAAAATAGAGCCAACCTGGTCATAATGTGACCCCCGGGCTGTTTCCTCTTCCAGAACTCAGAGGGAGGCTGAGTCTTTTAGCTATTAGAGAGCCAAACCACCCAGTGTCCTCTACAAACTGTGAGGCTGGAGCTGAGTATGCGACTTTTAGTATTCAGGTGTGTTGCAAAAATAGGTCCATAAATAATGACTGATGTCTCACTTGGGGGTTTTCAGGCATCTCTAATCAGGGCACCGAAAATCACAAGTCGAAAACATGTTTCTCTTAATTATTAAGCACTTTTACCTCTTTTGTAATCACTTGTCAAAATTAAAAACAGTTCTGAAAGCAGCATTTAGCAAACAAAGGCTTAGTGAACTATTGTTCCTTCAACTCTGTCTTTAGGGATTAGGTTTTTTCCTGTCAGAGAATAAAGATAAACTTCTTATGTTCAGAGTGGGGTATGACATCTATTCTCTGATAGCTAGTTAACTAACTTGAATCTGGTACCTGGAGTTTATTCTGGATATCTATGTCTGAGGAAGCTGATGCTAAAGTGAAAAGAACAGGTCGGTCAAAGGGGATCATCATCTTTTCAACAAAGAAGGAAATCTACTACACGGAAAACACGATTTTAAACAGCCACAGTTCAGTTACCTCCTCTCAGACTCAGCTGTTAAGTGTACAAGCATTAAATTGATGCAACATAACACATTGGTGGTTCATAGCATAATTTTGGCAAGTGATGATATTCATCAACAGTACAGACGTTGTTCAAATCAAGTATGATTGAAGCATGCATTCAGGGGTCGTCATCTATGGCAGAAAATAGTAAAAATGCTGCTTTGAGTTGAGTCAACCTGAGTCCCGGAAAGAACCATGCAGGAAAGAATCTCCTTGGAAGTGCTGCTACCAAATATCAGAGGTTGGAGGTTGTGAGAGAAGTGTCATTAATCAAACGGGGAAAAAAGAAGCAAAGATTTTCATTTATAAAATCCACCTGCCAAGTTCTCTTAGGTTTTATTACACATGCTACATCTGTAACCCATCTTTCAACACAGTTTTTATTCAATGGATCAGTTCAAACATCCTAATTCTGCTCAAATGATACTTCCTACACACTGAGACCACCTCAAGCGCTTACAGTCATGGGTTTAACTAATCGGTTTGACGTTTTGGATGGGAAAGTTTATTTTTTATCAAAAGACCTTGAAAGACTTTCAATCAACATACTCTGAACTGCATTTCCACACAGATCCACCGTAGATGACAATAACTGATATAACCTTTTTTTTCTCCAAGAGTTTCATGAATCTGGGACAATGATCTTTCTGATAAAGGTCAAAATCGTCTAGTTTCTAAAAAAAAGAGAAGCTGACATTATCAAAACATTCAAACAGATGGAAATGCCAAATTGTGATCAGCACCAGAATTGTTTGACGGTACAACAAGTTACTCACATTTTTCCCGATCAATATAGGCTCATAAAGGTGAAGAATTAAACAACAAATGAATTAGCAAGATTTCATTTGTTTTCAGCACTTGTCTGAAGAACAGAAATGACACTCACAAGTAGAAAGGGTAAATTGTTGAACTATAACACCAGCTCAAATATTGCAACCTTTGTGCCCGCTGAGAGGGTTGTCCTTTTTTTAACTGGTGAACGTGACATGAATAGACTGAGCATCAAATTACACCAGCTGATAATAACAAAAATAACTTTATTGATGTAGCACCTTTAAAAACAGATGTTCAGAAAGTGCTTAACAGAGGAAACAAACAAAGGCAGAAACAGACGAAGGAAAATTGACAGTTGAAAAATAGACAGTTAAATATTTGCGCTTGATGGCTGACGGCATTACATCAGGAAGGTGAGAAAGAAGAAGGAGGCTAGAGGACAGATAAAAGAGAAATAGAAATAAATACATAAAATAAGACATGGTTAAATAAGATTAATAATGAAAAGGGAGGGATTATATTGAAACATGAGAAAATGGTATAAACAGGACTAAAAATAATAATAATAATATAAATGTTGTTAACAAGTGGATTTCACAGAACAAAAAAACCTCACACCTAATAATGAGTGTGTTTAATGTGTGATTAATAGTAGTCTTACTTGTCAGTGTTTAATTTTCATCCTTACTTATGTAGATTTTCATTGATAGATTTTCTAAAGACTGATTATCAGCCTATCAGGTACATTTCAAAACTCCCACTGGTGACTACAGTCGTTCAGTGAATTACAGTCGTGCTTTGTTGAATAATTTGTCGTATTCACAATGCACTTCTCAGGGAGTCGCTGATTTCAGCAGAAATCATAGCAGTCACTTTTGTATCAGAAAAGGGTGATTACCAGATCTGAGTAACGTTTTGAAAGGCTCCTAATGGTTTTGGACATTTGGTATCGACCAAAATGAAAAAGAAAAAAATTGACTGTTTCTTCACCTTTGGACAGGTCAGCTAGTCGAGTTATAAGAGTATGATTTTATCCTAGATAGGAAGTGAATAAATGATTAATAAGAAAATGAAGCAACATGTCTGAGTGACCTTAAATATTCTCTGCGGTATCACTGACATCACTTTGAACAAGCCATGAAGTTTGGTGTAGTTCATTTGGAATCAACACCTTTATTTCTAGACACAAAAATGACCACACAACAACATTTGATCTCTTAAAGTTCTGGTAAAGATAAAGTCAGTATTTAATCATTTAAGGCCAAATCAGCTCAGGTTTCAGAATTCTCAGAAGGGCGAGAAAGAAAATTCACACTTTCCCTCTTCACATTTTATATCTCTGAACTCCTGCCTGTAATCAGAGGCTTGAAATGAGATTTCACAGAAGAGAACCACAGTGAGGACTGTGAGGTTCTTATAAGAGACATGTCACAAGGAACAGGCACTTCAAAACTGACCACCTCATCTGCTCTCGCTATTTCTTAACCTGATTGTGAATTTGACTGATCTTTATTTCTCAAATACAACTAAATATCATCCCCATGTGAAAAAAGAAAATATTTTAGATAAATAGTTCGAACAGATAGGATTCATTATGAAACAAGATGATTAAAACCAGGTCCCTTTAGTAGCACAGAGATAATGAAGTGAAATCTTTGCAAAATGTTTGATGCAAACAGCTCCCTCTGAACACAGATGTTGTCTGGTGGATGAAAGCCTCTCAGGTTCATTGAGCTGAAGGGCGAAGCACAAAAAGTTTGACATTGAATTGACTTACTTTGAAAAAAAAACGAGAAAATCTGCCTTTTTTGGTGACACAACTCGACTGGAATGATTGTAACTGTGAATGTTGATAAGATGATCCTTGACAGTGTGAGGAAGCCTTTGAACTCTGTAGAGATAAAGTATAGGCTTCACATATTCACCCAGTTGGTAACTTGCTCATGATTCCAACAATCTTTTGACAAATTAATATCTCTCTTATTTAAAGGTTGCCCTCCAGAAACATGGATTTCTTCATGAACGAGGACTTCACAGTGATCAGCAACGTCAGCAACAAAAGAGGACATGATGGATTAGAAGGCAGCGAAGGCCAAGGGCTCAACCACAGTGACCCTCTGGACATGTTTGTGGGCATGGAGCTCCTCCTGCGGTTCAGGCCTCTGTTCCTGCCTCTCTACAGCCTCATCGTGGTTGTCGCTGGTGTTGGAAACTCCTTCCTGCTGGCTTGCATCTTAGCTGACAAAAAGCTCCACAACGCCACCAACGTTTTCATCGGTAACTTGGCGGCCGGAGACCTGCTGATGTGTTTGAGCTGCGTTCCACTGACAGCGTCCTACGCTTTCGATAGTCGCGGCTGGGCCTTCGGGAGACCCCTTTGTCATCTGGTTCCTTTGCTGCAATGCGCCACTGTGTTTGCATCAGTGCTGTCACTTACCGCCATTGCTGTTGACCGCTACATTGTTGTGGGTAAGGGAATGTGTCAGTTCTGATTCTGTATATTTTTAGACAAAATTTAGACGTTGCACTTCAACCCATTACTCAATAACTATCTATTTAAAAAAGCAACAGTGAGTTACATAACTGATCTCCAAGTACTTTACCAACATAATTATGATAGCCATTGAGCAATATACAGTGTAGTATAGATCTAGCCGAGCTTTAGACTTGGTCTAAACTCGGTCCAAATTTAGACCTCTAAAAAACTTCAATTTTTAGACCTGTGGTAGCCTGATTTTAGACCAGTCATCTAGGCTACATTTAGACGTCTATTAGACCTCTTTTAGACCAAAAATGCTCAGTGGGTTGTATATTTTTTGTTAAAACTGTAGGAGTTCTGTTTTTGTGACAACATAATGATAATAATAACAATATGTGCATTAGTGTCGAGCATTTGTTTCAGTTTTTGCTGCACTTGTCTTCATTTGCAGCAGATTTCTCTTTAAACATACCTGTTTCGAAAATACACGATTTCTAAATCTGCACATCAACCTAATCTATTGGACTTCTGCATGAGTTTGTCTATGCAAACCATAAAAATCTGCATGTACAGGGCTGAAATCAATACAGACTGCGCCACTTAAAATTCATCAACCCTTTGCCATTGCAGTGGTAGAAAACATCGGCTAATTTAATACTAGAGCCGTTCAAAACATGAAGGCTACAGTTTGTGAACAAAGGGACCTGCTTTGGTGCTCTTACAATGAACTAAAGCTGAACTATTTTTACCTCTCTGTCTCAGCTCACCCTGTAAGGCAGAGGATCTCTGTGTGGGGTTGTGGTGCAGTGACTGTGGGTGTCTGGCTTTTATCTCTGGCCCTGGCTGCCCCTCCATCTCTCTACACACGCTATCTGGACCTACGACCGAGCGGTATAGACCTCGTTGTGTGCGAGGAGTTCTGGCCAAATAGTGGCAACCTGCGGCTTCTCTACTCCTGCTTCATCCTCATTGCCTCTTATATGATCCCGCTGCTGTCAGTGAGCATATCTTACTGTGCCATTACCATTAGCCTCGGGCACTATTCAGTGCCTGGGGAACCTTCTAATAGTCAGCAGCGCTGGAGCCAGAGGAGGAAGAAGACCTTCAGTCTGCTGGTGGCCTCGGTGTTGGCCTTTGCCCTGTGTTGGCTGCCCCTGCAGGTAAGTCCTGGATCCAAAACTAAGATCTAACTGTTAGACTTCTCTTCCCCCTCACAATTAATTAACCAGCTTTGGAAAATCATCAAAAGATCATCATTTGAAATTGATGCCTGGGAAAGAGATTAACTTCAAATCTGACTGGAATATCTCTTTTACAAACTTCCCCCTAAAACAGCCCCTAAAACAATGCAATTTTACGCCTCATTTACCAAAACTGGCCATCAAAAGGTAATTTTATCTCCAAAAACACAATGAGCCATGCACAAACAAATTATGACTTCATCACCGTATTAATGGAAGACAAGAGTACAAGATTGCCTGCGCTGCATTTTACCAAAAGTTGTTTGTTCACAGTTCAACAATTTGCACGCGACAGCAGCTTGACATTTAACAACTGAGCGTTTGATGCAAATTACAGATGAATTTGTTTAATTAGGAACTTTCTCCATGTTTCTGTTAAGGTGCTGAACCTGCTGTTGGACCTGGACCCAGACTTCCAAATCATAGGGAAGCGCTATATTAATGTCTTACAAGTGTGCTGTCATTTAGTGGCCATGAGCTCTGCCTGTTACAACCCCTTCATCTACGCCTCCCTGCACAGCAAAGTACGCATGCACTTGAAAGGCTACCTGTGTCCCTGCAAGAGCAGAGGGATGGTGGAGAGATCGACATCAAGAACTGATCCATGACTGTGACTGCTATGAGCACATGAACGAGTCTGGTCCTCAGCCACTATCTTCAACACCTGTACCCCTAGTAACCATGTTAATGTCTGAGGTCTCCAGGAAAAACCAGGAGGACTGTTCGATGTTCACTCAAAACAGACTTTTGCATGTTTTTCCAGCATTTCTTTCTTCAAAATATCCAGTACTCTCTTGTAAAGTGTCACCAGAAGCAGTGTTACATAAGGTCATCTATGACACTCAGTAAAAGAGCAGATCAAGACCAGACCTGACTACGGTTCATTTATGACAATGATGATGGCAAAGATTAAGCAATGCGTGGGATCTTTTTCCTAGATGGCCAAGCTGCTGGCAAAGAGACATTAAGCAGATCTTGTGGCTTGAAAAAGGCAGGCAGGGGCACATATACAGACCTACAGAAGAGGGACTCTGTAACCAAGGTATCCAAGAGGCTGAGAGTAGGGCCCTACTCAGCTTAAAAGGCCTGGTTACACTTCCCTTTTGGGGGGCTGACCGTAAGATGAACTCTCTTCTCCAGACATAGCTTTAAAAAAAAAAAAAAAGAAGAAAAATATGGATGTGAAATTATGATTTTGTGTCTGAACTTCTCTGGCTTTGGATCACACTCGTTTTTTTCGCATCACTGTGGCTCAGTTTATTTGTTCGAATAAGCATATTACCTGCTAAGTTTAATGTGATTCTTTCTGTTTATTTCTCCGATATTTTGTTCCAGTTATGCTCACAGAATTTGTGTTAACCTGCGTGGAACAGATCATTACCGCTCCGAGGGATACAGCTTGCATCTTAATACACTTTCAAACCTCATTTTGTAAAATGTAAAAAAATAACAAATTCATGAAGGTGTAACCTGATTAGTCTATGTGTTTAGCCTCTGTCTGGAAAACAAGATTGACATAATGATGAACTTAATATGCAGAGCATGAACAACAAAGTCCTACGTAAGCGTCAGTGTGCTGCAGCTTTGTTCCCATCAAGAGTGATTAAAGCTCTCTTTGTTTGTCAAAGCCTGGGTAACATGTTAATATGTGAACATGCCTGCTATTGAAAAACATGCTTTAATACCATTAAGAGAGCACTGATTCTATCTCTTAGTTACACAACGCATTACACACAATCACTTTATCATCATGCAGAGTAGAACTTATCATCAGACCTGATCAGTCGATTCAAGAGTAGCTAACGTGATTTGTTCGCAACTGATCTGAGCAAACATCGAGACATATCTCAGGCTGCTTCTGACACCTCCAAACCATCTCATTACTTAGTTGTCTGTTGCTCTTAAGCATTAGGCCACACAGTTTTACCCCCTTAAGTGAGCCTTGAGTCTGAGATTTTTCTGTATGCATGATGCTAGTTTTGTGAGAGGGTCTCTTTTGGTTTTGAGAAAGGAGATAAATTGTATTAAAGTCACAAAATCACAGCTGAGGGTGTCTCAAGACAGTTGACTGCTGAGGGATATGTGGACCCCCTTTAAATCTTATGGGCCACCCTAAGTGCCACTTAGAAACCCAGTGATGTCCATTATCCATTTACATGATTAAAGAAAGGATTCATTGTAAGATGAACCATTGAGACTGTGCAGATTCAAGATTCAAGACTCAAGATTTGTTTATTTGTCATGTGCATGTTAAACAAGGTCAACAATGCAATGAAACGCCCTGGATGAGAGGACCGCTCGACTCAAAGGAGTACAGATAAAACACACAATAAGTACTGAAGGAATACAATAAAATAAGGATACAAGAAAAAAATATTAAAGACCAATAAAAGTATAAGAGAAATATTTACAAAGTGCGAGAGATATTTACAAGTGAAAAAGAGATATTTACAAAGTGAACAAGCGATGAAGTCGGTGATGAGTGTGAATGTATGAAATGGCGGATAAGCCGATGGAATAAATGAGGTATGAATTGTCATATTGCACATGATAAATAATGGTGTACAAATTGCTGTATTGCACATCACAGATGATGTTGCAATTAAGTAAGTTAATGCACAGAGTACTGTCCGGTGGTACTGTCAGGAGTTTAGTAAGCGAACTTACAGGCCACTAGTGATTTTTCTTTTTAAAAACATCAAAGTTTTTCATACTTTAAAAAGCAGAAAAACTCTTTCATAACAGTTTGACATGTGTGCCAGAGTAGATGATAGTTGAGTCACTGGGTTACTTTAAGATTTGAGCTTTATTTCTGGCTTTTCTTGTGCAGTACCACAATTGGCCACAAGGACAGAATGAAAGCTGGGTTGGGTGGTGACATCATATCCATTTCCACCATGACACTTTTATGCATCAATTCCTGACAGTTTCTCAATAACAGAATTTGGAGGACCGTTTTTTTTTCACACCTTTCACATGAACACCACAGTGTGGGTGGGTCGTTTGTATATACTGGTTTAGGTGGGTGAGATGGTGTGTGGGTTCAGTAGTGAGCTAACCAGCGGGACATACGGGAAGAGGGGGTTTTCGTCATACCAGTCATGATGGTTCATTGGTGACTATCACCACAACATTTTCAAAGATGCCTCTGCAATAGAAACTCAACAGACGGAAACAACTAAGGCAAGATGTAGACAAGTTAGAAGTCAACTGCACACATGCAAAAAAGCTTAAAGTAGAGATGTAAATTTCAGCTGTTTGCATTCACACTGCACTCCAAAGCTCTGTGCATGCATAAGAAAGGATTACTATCATTAAAAAGCAGCATACTTTCTTTTTTTTATCACCAGTTAGGCAGAAGAATTCAGCCAGTTTTATCTCACCTACACAACAAAACCTAGTGCACAACATGGGGCTGGTATATCAATACAGTAAAAAAGCTTCTATATTGTAGTTTTAACCTGCATAAAGAAGTAGCTAAAGGATAAAAGATTAAGATTTAAACTTGGTTGTGGCTAAAAAAAAAGGTCACTTTGGATGTAACAGAGTGAGGAGAAGAACATGACATGATATCAAAAACACATTAGTGAAATATTTCAAAATAATCAACTAATGTGCCACTATCACTGGAAACTGGGAAGTAATTTACTACTGTTAATCTGTAAAACCTTCAAAACAAATAAAAGCTCCTCAAAAAAGTCTGCTTATGATTAAAAAAAACAGTTTAAAGTCAGGAGTTAATCTTGTTCCATCTGTCACTCTATGTTCTTTAGCTGCTTGTGAGAGGATACTGTGGCTGTCACAGGTAGAGGTAACCACATAGATCAACACGCAGATCAACATGCTAACCATAACAGCCCGCTGTGAATTTTTAGCTCCTGTTGTTTCCTGTTTGAAGAATGAGAATGCTCAATGTATGCGCTCCTATTTTTTTCAACACTATTTTAATATCTTGGTTTTTGACTGCTTTATCTGCTATTAATGTTTCTTCTTTTCTTCCTGTGTATGAAAAAAAAAACACCCATATCTTACTTTTGTGTTTCTTTTCACCTGTTCTGAACATGAACATTTCACTCATGGTGTGGCTGCTGTACATTAAAATGCAATACAGGAAACACTGTGTGCACCATTAAAACCTTACATTTAAACATTAACACATGATAAATTAAGATAATTGAATTTACTTGTAGGAGTCTGAGTATACACTGTGAAAATTAATTATACTTCTGTTCATCTTTTTCATCAACTTTAATGATAAACCACTTTGGGGTTGTGGTTCAGAGCAACAATAGATTTAATTGAATTTGATCAAGAAGTTTCTCAAACCCATTAAAGACACATTTAATAACTCTGTGAGCAGTCGGAGGTCAGATGATGAACAAACACATGTTTTAACTGAATAACAGTAATTGCTCTTTATTACAGAGGAAACAATATTTTCTCAGTGGTGTTTGTATGTGTCAGAGCACTTAAAGGTTGTCCAAAAATAGCTTGTCTTTATAATTCTTTCAGGCCAGCCTTGTGTTATGAGGCAATAAGTCACAACAGCTAATCGATCAAGCAGTATTGATTTCCCCGGGAGTCTGACTACTCCCTGAGTAAGCTCATTAAAAGCTGAGTCTCAAGAAAATGGATCTTTAATATCTTAGGCCTAATGCCACAAGATGATAGACTGCGGGTGCACGTCATTTCTTGACAAAGTATTTGTGTATATAGGGTCAGATAAGGTTACGAACAGGCTTCTACAAACTGCCTCTGCTTTACACATCCTTTTTAAAAATAAGATGAGACATTTGGGCCCATGTGTTACCCGTCCATTCAATTATTCCATTCAATCTAGTAAAAGAAAAACAAAAAAATGAGTCAATATTTTGTTTATTTGTTTTTCTGTAAAACCAAAAACAAAAAAATAGTGTTTGTTTCCGTATTTTCAGCTCAAAGCAGATATATAATACAGAATAAATAATCTTATTTACAATTATTGATATATATGCATACGTGCATGAAGGCTACATTGGCCTTCCCATGATCCTCAGCGACAGTTACCATGGTAAAAGATGCGACAGAGCGGTTCGAGCGTCAACATCTCACGTTGTAGCAGAGCCCTGGTTGTAATTTTTCTACAGTCATATCTTCCCTCATTCAGAGTGACCCTCCTGGCGGCTTTGAAGAATACGTAGGATGCGTCCATCTCCATGACAGCAGCTAAGCTTTTCTTTACCGCTCTAGACTGGAGTTCCACGTTGTTGGCTACTTTGTTGCGCAATGCGCATGTGCGAACAGTAGAAAGGCACCATGGGAAATGGGGACATCAATATCCCGAAAACGAAAGGTAGATTTATTATTTTGTTTTGGTTTCCATCTCTATTATATATTCTTTTTTGAACTGACATACAAAAACGAACACTAATCTTTTATTTTTTGGTTATATAGAAAAACAAACAAACAAAATATTGACTCGTTTTTTCATTTTTCATTTACTAGATTGAATGGACGGATAATATACTGACCCATTTGTCACTGATCCGTTCAGAAATGGACTTTTCCTGAACAGGAGTTTTAAAATGGACCACATAGCAGCGTCAAGATTGTGGTTCAGGGAGCTGAGGAGGGACTGACTTGTTTGTAAGAGGGGATTCATTTTTTGGCAATGCGGACACAGAGGAGGCACTGTGAGGAATTTTCATGTTTTGTTGATTTGGTGACCACTTGGAGATGAAATCATAGAGGCTGCAATTCCAATGTGCACCAAAAACATCTTCTTTTAGTACCTCCCTGGGGTGACTCTGAGCCAGCGTCCAGTGGAGGCCTTATTGCAGTTAGGCCTCAAAATAGGGATGGTTATCCTGTGGAGTTTTCTGCCTCCTCAAAACAAAAGAGACCTGCTGGTAAAACCCTTCACTCATTCAGATTTCATTTTGCTTATATGCCAAGTGCTCAGCTGGGACCACATTAACGTGTGCTATAAAGAGCTAATGTATGAGTTTTAGAGGAACACATGAAACAAAGCAATGAGAGCATTAATGCTGTCACTTAACTTCCTGCTGCTTTTTCTTTTTTACCTGTCTATCTCAGACTTTCTAAAATGAACGGTTTGACACTAATGATTCAAAGGTTTGCTCACTTCTTTTCCAACACAATAAGGTCTGACACAATTTTAAATATGTGAAACAAATTTTGGTACTTAAGTCCCCTCTAGCTACTCTCTTCACTCAAACAAGCCCACACAGTTCTCTCTTGATTGCTGCTTCTGCCCACTGCTACGCTGATTAACTTTGCATATGAATGTAAAGGTAAAACACATGTCCCGATCATCTCTTCAGATTCCCCCCTGCTCACTCAGGTCAAAGTACCACATGCATAAATTGATCATCAGATGCTGAATGAACAGACGAGACACTTCATACAAGTATCTTTTCAAACCACTGCGTTTATTTAGTTTTATATGCATCATGTTAACCGGCACATAGAGGACATACAGTCATGCTTGTAAATGCTTTTTTATGGCATGCAGAGATAATGCACCTTGTCCTACATCAGGGTCACACAATCACAATGACGATATTCTCATATAGATCGGAGGGAAAACACAAGGGCCCTTCAGCCTCTGTAGTGTCCAACCATGGACAAGAAGTGGCTGCCACTGAAGCACCCTTGGGGAGAACAGAACCTCAGAGTACAATCAAATTACAGATCTCTGAAATGTGTTTCAACCACCTCCTCAGTACTGGGCTGGCTATGAGACAGGGCATCGTCGTGGTGTATTCAGAGGATGTTTGATTGCTTGTTCACTAAAGGTTGTTAACTGGATATAAATAATCCTGCTACTTATTTGCTAACTGCAAAAATGGAGACATGGGTTCAAACCGCTTCAGTTTTATGCATAATCCTATATGTATATGTATGCACACTCACATGCAGTTTGTGGTTTTATCTTACATAAAAGTTACCCTGTTATATTAAATTAGCATTAGCCTTTCTCCTGCTGTTTGCAGTTAGAGAAGTATCATCTGTCTGAGTACTTCTATGCCACCTCCAAAACTGTTTTATATCCTCCCGGACCCCGTTACTGACCAGCACGTATAACACAGGGTCCACCACACAGTTCAGACTGGACAGTGCTAAAGAACATGAGAAAACAAAGTGCATTTTTTGCTCAAAGTCGCAGTAACTTCCTCCAGCTTCTTGGTTTTCGCTGTTGTAAAAGACTAGCGAGCGCACGAGCAGGAGTATGTGATAGGGGGCGAAGCACACTGAGAAGATCCCAATCACGCCATAGGAAAGCAGGCGGACTTTTTTCTTCATTTGGGCGCTGAGGCCAGGACTTTGATCGACAGTAGCCAGCACCTTCCAGTAGCTCACCGCCAGCACCATCAGAGGCAACAGGAAGCCAAAGCCCACTCTGAGCAGGTTAAACAGGGCCATGGGTCTCTTTATGGGATAAGTCTCGTAACAGCGGTCGCTTTCGTTTTTGTCATCATGGGCGTCTTTAAGATCATCTTTGACCAGCACCATAACATGAAGCACAGTCACCACAACATAAACACAGATGCACAGCACCCAGGCGTAGCGTGATGTACGAAAAGCTTTGGAGCGGAGGGGTAAGGTGACTACCAGGCAGCGATCCACGGAGATACAGCAGAGCAGGTAGATGCTGATGTACATGTTGGAGTAATAGAAGAAGCCAGCAACACTACAGGACTGAACGCCTAACTTCCAGTTATGGTCCTGGTGGTAATAGTTGATCCAAAGGGGCATGGTGAAGAGGAAAAGCATATCTGAGATGGATAGATTGAGCAGGAAGATCCCCAAGATGTTGCCCCGACGCATTTGCAGCCAGATGGGCCCCAGGGTGATGACATTGAAGATCAAACCGAAGATAAATGCCAGGATATAAACAGACATGAGAAAGTCACTTATCCCATGTTTACGAATTTCGACACACAGGGTTGAGTTTGTGGTGTTTGCTTGAGGTGTGACGGTTGAGTCCATTGTTCTTTTAGTTTTCAGTCAGTTAAATTGGTGGGAAATTGACCTGTTAGAACATAAAGACAGAGGATAGCGTGTTAGTTCTGGGGGGGGAGTATAAAGTCATGAAGGCAACACAAGTTTAGTACTTTGACACTTTCAGTTCATACACAGCTTAAACATTTTGTATCTCCCCGAGCCTATTTCACAGCTCAATGAGCTCAAGAGGGGCAGATGGCTGAAAGTACATGGTGTTTGAGCCGCGAGTGTAGTTTCACCTCCGCCTTCCATGAAAACATACAGGCTTAGTCATACTCCCTGACATTAACAGTCGGCACCCGCACCTCGAATACAAACTGAGATTGTCAAAATTCCCCCCACATGGCCTCGACCTCAACTGCTGTGTAAAGCTAAAAAAAAACAATGCTCACATTTTGTCAACAATTCAACTCCTTGTATGTGGAAACCTCTGCTCTCTGAAATCACATGGATCCCATTTTTTGACATCCAAGCTCTTTGTCTGACTTGTGTTAAAATGATTACCCTGCATATTTATAGTCTATTACGTGACCTGTAACTTTAATCAGTGTTACATAGGTCCAACTAAGCGGCCCTGTCTCCCCCAATTCATCACAGGGCCAATGATTCATGCCAGTTAGGCAGAAGCATCTGCGTCAGTCATCTATGCCACTTCCTGTTAAAAACGTGCAGGTGCGACATGAGCACATGACAAACAACCATGCTTGAATGTCAATATATAAAAAGGAAATAATGACCATGTTATCACGTGTGCGCTTCTCTAATTTAGCCCCCTCAAATCTCACCTACAGAGATAACATATGATGTTTTTTCCTGTATAATAACAGGAGCCAATAGTTGCTTTTATGCAGATGCTACCCTGCCAATTCCTGGTCTCTATCTCTGAGATTTTAGCACCAGGAAAGTAGACGTGCTCGGACTCTAAATGCTTATTTCTTTGTACCTCTCTAGTCTCCTCCTTCTACATTTTGTTCTACCGCTCAGGCCAGGCCCTGGTTTGTGTTTATAGGCTCAGGAAGCTTCTAATGCCATTAACTGCTGAGCAGAGATAGGCTGTCCCATCCAAACTCAATAATGGAGAAGCCATTTGGAGCCAGAGCATCTTCAGAGAATGATAATGTGTGCCTGTGCGGAAGTGTGCCTTTGATTGTGTGTACAACAGCGCAGGTAGAAATGGGTTTGATTTAATGGCTTATTCATGAAACTTTCAAGTCGTGCGGGTTGGAAACTTTGACCAGCATGGACTCAAAAAGATTTTTCTCTCGAATCAAGACGATTTCTAGAATTATTCATGAGCCGTTTTTAGTCACACGTCTGGCTGATATGACTAATCACAAACAGATTTTTCCCTCTGACTAAAAATAAGCCTGAGTATTTTGATCTACACTCTTGTTTTTCTCTCTGCTCTTCACAATTAGTACATGTTTAGTTCATTTTCTCATTTTCTACAGGCTTTCATTTTTATAGGGTTATTCTAACACACGTGCTGTTACATACACAGCTGCTCCAAGTTTCAATCTATCATTTCATCTATCTGAGCCAAGTATGTGTTTGTTAATCCCATAAACTGAGCCAAGCTCGGTTGCTATAACACAGCGTTGTCCACAGTGAGGCAGTTTAAAAGAGCAAAACCTCGGCCTCCTTAGAGGGGAAACACATGCCCAATAAATCAAATTTGCAAGACAAAATGGAAAAAAATGTGCTTCATAGTTCGACTCCCCAATACCTAAGCAGTGTTTCATAGGTAGCTCAGTCCTCTACAGTGGTACAGCTCTGGGAATTTCCACTGTTTCTTTATCAACTTGTTGCAGTGACCTAAGCTTGGAGAGCTGCAAAAATCATTCAGCCCTGCAGAGAATCAACATTTTGAGCCTGATTATTTTTCTGCTAAGCTGACTCACACTGCCCGAAGCACGGAGACTCTCCCTTGACAAAAGTCCACTGGAGACGAAAAGAAAACTTGAAAAGAAAGTAAGATTTCAAAGTAAATTGATAGCTTTTGTAGCCTGTTTCTCTCTCTCTTTTTAACCTTTCGCAGCAACTGTTTAAAGAGGAATATAAGCTTTTATGGATTTCTCATGCCAAGAAATGGACTGAGTAAGAAACTCACCTGTTCCTCTGGATGAAATCGGGGGTCTTGATTGTAAAGGAAAGTAGTCTGGTAGGTGAAGACTTTCAGGCACATTCCAGAGCTGTTTCAGATTTTACAGAGTTCAGTCCAGGATGGTCCAAGGGCGAGCTTCAGAATAGACTCTTCAGAGCTGCTGACATGCAGCCAAGCCACAACAGTCCCACATGGCACTGAAATAATCACTTCACCAGATTATGATCCAATAACACAATCACAACGGGACGACCGCTTCGCTCTCACTGCTCTTTCTGATACTTCTGTCCGGGCTGTGAAGAGTTGCTGTTGACAGCTACAGTTAAAATGTCAGCAAGGGATGAGACCAAGTACAAAAGGGGAAGACACATGCAGGAGGAGGAGGGAGGTTTGGTTTTGCACATGTGCATGGAGGAAGTATAGCCCACAGGGGGTGGGGAGAAGCACCACGCAGTCATTGGGGACCACATATGATGCAGAAGGTAAAACTGTAACTTGAGTCATGGATGGCAAAGGGAATTTTTGAGATAACCACCAATCATAGTTCATTCCTGAAGCTTAATTTCTCTTTTTTTAGTATCACATTTAACCAAGGTTTTTCCACAGCGTCACAAATGTCACTGCAAATCATAATGGAGCTATTTTCACTTCTTTGAAACAGCTTTCATTTCGTCATCCTGTCTGAATTTCCTTGACGCAGGAAAAGGCTGATCACCTTCATTATGACTGAGTGTAACAAAACTGAAATACCTCATCCCTTTTCCTGCTAAACAGAGAGTAACTCAAGTTTAACGAGAGCTCTGAGGCTGTGTACACACTGTGACCCTGTACCAGGCAGCAGTGTGAACTGTAGGTTATCAGACACATTACATTAGTGCTCGAGAGCAACTACCAAGACCCTGTTTATGTTTATGGAAAGAATTCATGATGGAAGCCTGGAGCTCATCTGCTAATGTACTGAGTAAATATTTAGGCCTGCTGTGAATGTTGAGTATTTTCCGAGGAGCGAGTACACACCTGATGTGAGCTACAGACACAGCAGAGAGCGGGTACGAGACGGATGAGACAAAGGAAACGATTTTACCAATAAAAGAAATGAAACGTTTTAGTGTCTGGATCTGTGTCAGCAATTCATATTTATAATAATAGATCTGATCTTTATAACATTTAAGTGTGTTATAACTGTAGGGATGGGGATTGTTCATTTTCATAGATACTGATACCATTATTGAGACTCCTTAATGATCCATGTTCTTATCAATACTGCTATTGTTGTTTCCCTTCAAGCGTTTGATTTTTCACTAAAAATTATTCTTTCTTTTTCTGAGTGTGACATTTGAATACACCACGATAAGGTGTTTTGTACTTTACCGATATAATCCTCTGTCACCTTGATTGGTTGGCTTTTATCCGGCTGATTGTGGTTTTTAAATATCAGGACTTGCTCTTAAATCTGTCTGTGCTCACCTCGGCTGCCTTGGGTGAGGATGAGGATGGCAGCCCTGCAGCACCAGAGTTGACAGAGTTGTTTCAAGCAGCAGACATTTAAAGATTCAGCAGGTATTTTGGCTTCGATTTGATGCAGTGTTGATGTGGTTAGCCATAGAGGTCGTGTCCCCACCTTGCAAGAAAACATTTTGCATCATAAAGTCATCCTGATCTTCAGCTTTGGTATCGTATAGGAACACTTTGGACTTCCTTGGATATTCAGCCATCGTCACAACTGACCATTAGAGCTCTTCTTTGTGTACTTTTATAGCAGGACAGACATTTTATTAGGCAGTCTATTAATGTGTTCACCATTACTCATAGTAACATGGCATGGCAAGACTTGATAGCAGACTCCATAAGCTCAAAGGTTTTAGATTTTCAGGTTTTGACAAAAGCTTTATTGGGTATTTAAATGACCCGGTCATTGATCCCCATCCCTGGTTTTGGCCACTTTTTGTTTGACACATTTGACCGCCGCCAAGTCTGAATCGCAGGAGAGGCTCCATGTTACAAATCAGTTTGTGGAAAAGGTTCATTGATGAAGTCAACGGTTTTTCCCCCTCCAGTTGACAATGTGGCAAAAACCTTATTCTCCTATAGCCTCTGTACACAGCTAAGTCACAGTTTGCAGAGCACACAAGCGTAGATTTGTGGTCTATAACTGAGCCGTAAACAGCAGAGAAAAGAGGACAGGAAAAGGAAAACAACAGCAATGACTGATGAGTGTGAAGTAGCAGAGTGAAAGCTGCACAAATTAAGAAAACAGACCGAAAGCAACCACAAACCAGCACAGCACGGGCTAAGACGTCTTACAGGCCTGCAGCTGCTGCTTCTACTTCCTGACTAGTTCAGACTTTTTTGTGTCCTAAAATGACAAATTCGACTTAAATTTGAATAAAAATGTTCAGTTTGACTTAAACTTGACGTGCAAGTAGGCTGCAGAGAAAACCATTGCAAAGGAAGTGCTATCATACACTGAATCTCAGTGGCTTTTTTAAATATAGTTGCATATATGAATCCAGTTTAAACCAATTAAATCATCCTTAAAGTAATATATTAAAATCTGTTTATAATTCAGATGATGTATCGTAAGAAATATGAGAAATAAAGTCCATCTAGGGTGAACAACGCCCTGATGGTACTACCACTCTGCACAATCACCCTCCCACTATGACTTATTTCCAACTGTTCAGACACATTATGAGTCAAACTTTGGATTTTGAGATAAGTGTTCAACTGTTTAACCGACTGTAACATGGTGCACTCTGTGTTTCTGCAGTCTGTGATTGTCGGGTGGGTAATTTGCAGAGTCACAGTCTTTATTTTAATGCATCCTTTCCTGTTTCTGTCCTCTCCCAGACAGTGTTTCTTGGGCTGTAGTAGAAAATGTAAATAAAGGAGACACTTGTATTTAAAAGGCTGTCTCCCTCTCAAACAGCGGAGGCATTTTAACAACAGTGCACTTTTACACAAAGATCAAGGATTATGAATATTGAAGCCATCAGCAGAAATGCTGTATCTCCTAACCACTCCTTTTGAGGAAGTATATATGAGAGCCAATATTTTGGACGACTCAGCGCAGCGCATGAGATTCAATTCCAAGTTTTTTCTTTCAATACTTTTCAACTGATAAATGTTAGAAAGCTTACTCACAGGCAAAAAGGAAGATTAATAGCACTCATTAATGCAAAAATATTGAAATTACAAAATATAGAGATACAAAATTTCCCACAACAACAACAATAATATCTGTCTTCTTCACTTACAGTACAGAAAAAAATACTGGGAGGACAGTATCAAGAAGGACAAAAAATTCACACATGGGTGTCTTGATCATTGTTTTAAACTTTCTGGTTTTTGTTTAGCTTGTTTTTCTTATATATTCTAGGATGCCTCAATGTGTAGCCTATACTCACATTTAGTGCCCACTATCCTCTTCTAAACAAGCAGCAATGCAAGCAAACTTCAGGAAGCAGCGGGTCTTTAGTGTGATGGATGGAGACGCTGTAGTACAGAGGTCTGGACTGCCTGTTAAGTGCCTCTGCTTCCTACACTAACAATATGTGATCTGTATTATGTTGCAGCACTGTACAAACAAACATTTAACCGGGGTGTATGAGTAAGCTATGTCATTTTTTAAATGCTAACTGCTTCACTGCCACACATGCCTTAATGCCTCTTTTTCTTGAACTTGACAGAAGTCAGCTGCGGTCTGCAGACTCATACCTTGCATAACGCTCTCATCTGCCTATTTTTAAAAGCTGGCTGTGATGGCTCTAAGTTCATGACAGGTCAGCTACACTCGCATTTTAAGAATCTATTTGATATTTGACATTTATTAATCTGCTTTATATTTGAGATTAATTTAATGTTATAGAAAATTTGAAAATAAGTCAAGTATAGCTCACAGTAAATCCGCTGATCATCATACCTGCCCACGTCAGCTGATAGTTCAGCTGATGTGTCAGAAATGGCGATCTAGCTTGCCTACCTCCACAACCACTTTGCAACCCACCTCCATCCCAGCTTCTCCATTTATGCTGTGTCTTATCTTACATGTACCATAAGTATATGAGATTTTACCACTGCTGCTTTCTCTGTCTTGGCTTTTCATGTGTGCAAACTGAGGGGAGGTGCTCTTCCTACAGGAGGCATTTATACCACCAATTATAACCAATGCATGCAAGTAATTCATCTCTTGACAAAAGTTGTCTTGACCGATGTCCGCTTTTTGAAAAGGAAACAGGTTGATGTGCATTTCTGGCAGCAGAGCAGACAGCTCATCCACTAAAAGCTGGGCGTAAGTGACCCTAAAACTTAACTCTGCTAAAAAAAACCTAAAGCCATCATGATGATGAATGGTCATGCCAAAGACGAACCCTCTCCCTTGTTTTCCTGTCTTATTTCATAGCTTCCAGACCTTTCCTTTGAATCTTGTGTACTAGTTTCCATGAAGAGGTTTTTGACAGAGTTGGACCCGTCCTTTTAATGACTGTAATTAGTTTTCTCTCTGCTGGCAGCACAGTTGTGTACCCGCTTATTAAGAACCAAGCCTACAACTTTCTGGTTTTGAAGATAACAAAAGTGCTTCAGTACTTCTTTTGCAGAGGGTTTTATAGACGACTGTTTACTCGAGAGTTTTTGAGAATGCATCAGCGGATTTATAAATGTCTTTACCTGTGAGATAAGCTCTTGTGGCATTTGCAGGAAGGAAAGCAGCTTCAGATAATGCTAATTTAAAAACACTGTGTGGTCCGCCTTCTAACTAGCAGCACTGCACCACAGACTTTAAAGACTCTGCCTTGTACCTTACAGAAAAACAAAACTTTTACTATCTATAGACAACTTACTATAACAAGGTTGTCGTATTCTTCTTGCAGTACGTAACTCCTTGACGAAAAACAGTCAGATGTTATGTTTGTGCTAGAAACCATAACAATTCAAACCCACTGGTAAAATCGTGCAAACGCAAGATCAACACCATGGTTATGTTAACTTCTACGATCATCATCTAAAGCTTTTATCTTAATATGGTCAAACTGCTCAGCTTTTTCTACACCAGAAGAAAGAACTGAGCCATGAAGCGAGACTCTCAATTTCCCAGTCGATCTACATGCCGACCCTCACCTATGGTCATGAACTTTGTGTAATGACCAAAAGAACAAGATCACGGATACAAGCTGCCAAAATGGGTTTCCTTCGGCACTTAGAGATAGAGTAAGGAGCTCAGACACTCGGGAGGCGCTCAGAGTAGAACCGCTGCTCCTCCACGTCAAGAGGAGTCAGCTGAGGTGGCTCAGGCATCTGGTTAGGATGCCTTCTGGACGCCTCCCGTTAGAGGTGTTCTAGACATGTTCCACCGGGACTAGACCTCGTGGCCGGCCCAGGACAAGGTGGAGGAATTTTATCTCTCGCCTGGCCTGAGAGCAACTGGGATTCCCCCGGAGGAGCAGGTGGAAGTGGCTGGGGTGAGGGCCGCCTGGGCTTCCCTCCTGAACCTCGATAAGCGGAAGAAAACAACGAAGATGGTCAAACTGAATTTTCCACACTAACACAGTTCAAGTTCTTTTTTCATGTAGTAAAATTCAACTAGTAAGCAGTCCTAAAGTTTGAATCTTAAGTGATTTTTATTCGTAATTGTGTTGGAAATAGACATTGCACATGGATAGAACAATGCAAATTTTAAGTATATGATGCAGAAATAACATTATTTCTGATCAAGTTGGAGAATCTATTTTTGGAATTCTCATGGATTTTTCACAAAGTTATACAATCTACATGCGATGGTAAATGAGCTCAGGTGAAACTTTGAGTTTTGACTATGGCTGATGATAACCTGAAGTGCTGAGCAATTTTCTGTAATTTTGTGAACTGTTGTGCACTGCTGAGTTGTTCCCTTTCTAAGTGCATTACGCCTAAGTGCAAGGGCAAACTCAGCAGCTGGCAAAGCATTTTGATGTAGTTATTGTGGCAGGTCATTGGATCTGCAACCATAACAGCTGAGGAAAGTGCAATCGAATTTTGTGATCATGTTACACGATTATGGGCTAAACAGAGGGTTTTTATTGTGTGTGTTCACTTGCAGTGATGGTTATCTCTACTTTGAACATGAACTCATCTGAATATAGCCCAACTTCCAAATGTGGAGGGACCAAATAATAATAATAATCATAGAGGAAACCAAATAAAGCTTGTTTGTGACTTTAAATGTTTAAAAATTGTTAAAATTTTATTTAAAAGCATAGACTGTATATCCACTACTGTCCCCCACAGATTGACACTTTACTCCTGAGAAATATTGGCTAAAAAAACTCTTTCTGAAATTCCAAACCTTTTTTATATTCAAATGAAAAAGTTCAGAGGATCTTTTTCACAGAAGAAGATGATGCTAAATAGAGACTTGGTTGCAGGTGTCTGGCTCGCCACTGCAAAGACATTACCCTGAGGAAATTAAGCTGTAGAAGAAAAACTTGCCCAAAGTTAAAGTAAAGAGAAGAAAAGAGAAAAAGATGGAAATACTGAATCATCTGGCATAAATTGAAAATGATCATGGATGCAGTGTAGAGCGAGGGTGCCCTTTTCCCCAGGGTAGCTGTCTGTAGTGCCCTCAACACAGACTGGAAAACAATTCTCTCACGTCGCCTCTATAGCCACAGGGTCCTTTTAAGTGCCTCTCAGGCTGTGAGGTGTAATTTGTTTTAAATGTTATCCCTGTTCCCTTAAAGCTGTATTTTTTTACGTGTATTTGTGCACACACAAGTCAATCACATCTCCAGATCCTTGTCTTACGTCTTCAACAAGAGCATCCCGAAGGCATTTGCTCTATAATAGGAATTCAATGAAGCAGAAATTGCGGTTGAAATATCTGAAACAAAAGCACTCTGTCACTCAGTGTTTGAGGGTTTCGTCGCCTTCCACTACAAGAAAGTGGAGTGACAGTAATAGTCTTAACACTTTGAAAGAAAGTGAACCATCTGTGTTAAGTGACAAGTGTTTTAGTCGTGGATCATTTCTTATATGAACGCCCACTCACTTAAATGAGTTTTTCCTCCAGAAGGTCTAAAATTACTGCGTCCAAATGACCCTTAATTTTCAGATGAGTGACTTGAAAAAATAAAAAACAAAGACCAAAAATACATATTTGCAATCTTTGTATTTTCTGTTACAAATGCTAAGATTATCCTTCAAACATGTTATACACAGTCAAGGAATATTAAACAACTACATAAGCGTCAGGTTATACATATGTATAATAAACCATCATAACTACAGTATGTTTAAAATGTATATCTAGATAATCCTACTTCACAGAAACATGCAACATATTGACAGTAACCAAACTAAATACACTAACCCAAGCTGTCCGTCTACGCACTTACACTGCAGGGAGAGATCCGCTGCTCTGAACAATAAACACAGAGCTGTTTCAGAGAGTCCATTTACCTGCATCAGTATCTGAACTTGATGTACACGCGACTGTGAGGAAGTGTTATTCACTGTATAAATACACTGTCGGAGATTGACGATAGAGAGGGCGACACAAAAGGAAAATTTCTACCATTCAGCTAGAGTCATTGTGGCTGATGTTGGATGAAACGACTCAGATTGCAGGTCTAAACTAGAGTTCATTTAAAAACCACAACGACGTCTTTAATCACATGTGCTTCCAAAGAGTCTACTGTGCCTCCAAACTAGCAGTAATTATGGGAAGATTTCAGTCACCGGATCAATACTTTCAGTTTTCACGTCAGGGCTTTCATTTTATGGGAATGCATTTGTGAATACAGATGGGTTTGCCTGCTTGTAAGTAATTACCAGCAGAGAGGAAGTCTTTTGTCACTTTAAAGACTCCTATCTGTGCAACATGACTGAAGTGGTGTTTATATGAAGACACAAGACCAATTGTTGTTCCAGTCAGTCTTGTTAAATGACACTAAAAATGAATGTTATGTCTCATTTTATGGAGCAGTTTGTTTTTGAATTTCAGTCCCTATCTGTTTGGAAACTTCTCAATAAAAACACCCACTATTTTTTATTTATCGCCTGAAATGAAATGGTATTACCTGCCTCACTTCAAAGCTTTTTTGGGGAAAGTAACATGACATGAAACTCTTACTGTTGTTCCTCTTTCGGATTTAGAGTTTGAGAATTTCACATGTGAAAGTTCTTCAGAGGTCAGGCTTTCACTTCAACAATTACACCTCAACTATTCAACAGATAAAGAAGGACCATTATCAGAAAGATGAGCACTTGTACACAAAGATGTTGGGCAGTGAAAGTCTTGACAGCTGGACACAAATCCCAGGATTTTTCCAGCATTTCATCTCTTTCTGGCTCCAGGTTGAGGACTGCATCTTCATTTCTTCTCCCTACACCTTTCCATCTCCCTGCAGGAGTTGAGTCCTATTTTTCCTGCGTCTGGGTGTCAGAGGATGCTGACCCTCTCAGTGAGGCCTTGGACGTCTGCATCCTCCCCTCCCTCCTCATTGTCAGAGGCGGGGGCAGGAGGAGGAGGCACAAGGTGTGCGGGGTAAGGCAAAGTGTGGTCCCGGGCGTATGCTTGCCAGCGGCTGTCGTCGCTCTCGTGGGTGATGTATCGCCCTCCGAGTTTGGTTTCCAGCTCTCGCAGGTCGAGCCACGTCTGATAGTCCTGAGAAATGAGAAATGGGAATAAACACAGGGATGGAGTTTCACTTTGTAAGAGCCTTGAATTAGATTTAAACTGAACAGAGTTTCATGTTTTTGCAGCACATTATTTGCTAGTCAATCTAAGGCTGCTGAATGTGTGTGTGTAAATATATATGCACCATAGTATATATGAGAGGATAATCTTGAACCCTGGCAGGTCTACAGTTTCCAGAGATAATGAAAAAATGATACCCTCAACCACATTTAATTTTGCTATGGCACTTCAGCTTAATAATGGATTTTCCCTGCAACCAAAACAAGCAGAGAGGACTACTTCGGACCTGCAGAGAGAGCTGCTCTGTTTTCCACCACTGAATGTTGTGTTTTGTTGAAGCCACATTAGGAGCTGTGATCAGTCAATGAAAACATCATTTTAAAAGCATGGCTGTCCTCAGTAATGTTCCAGAATATTGGCCTTCAGCTGCTGCCTGGCTGTTCGGCTATGAGTGCAGACCCTTTGTGTTTGTGTCGTTTTCTGTAATGCCTCAGTTTTTAAGATTTGAGTGAGGGGTTTGCAGAGATACAAGAAAGTGAAGATCTTGCTTTTTTCACTGTAATTTTTTTTCTAGATGAAGGCAAGTGCGCACAAAAAAAAATCATTAAATTTTTTTTTTAAGCTTTTAGTCTTTGTTGATAACACAGTGTTATAGAGAGAGAAATATGATGCGCACCAAATCCTAACTTTCTGTTACCTGTAGGTATGAATGGCTGAGACTCTTGTCCACACTGTAGCGTTTCCTCATCTTGACTTGCAACAGATTGTTGATCAGATCGATGGCTGGGAAAACAAAGTATAAAGATTGATTTATAAAAATAAGGTGAGTTGTGGCAATGAAAACGCTAACCGGCATGTTTAATCTGTGCTAATACTCTGACTTTCTTTCTGAAGTGTGCTGAGGAAGATAAACCACAAAGTTAAGAGGAACTACAGTCATGATATGTGCGAGAAGACGTAGTCATTCGTAGTGAAGGAACCGGACATGATTTTGAAATGTATTGCGAAATACAAACTTCGATATGATAAAAATTCTTAACCTACTTCCCAGGCTCAAATTAGCCTTCATCATATAAACAGAGAGCATTTGGTACAACAAAAAAACTCCAGGTTTATGGCACTTTGTGATTATTATGGAGGATGTTCAGTTTAACAGATGGTTGGACCAAATAATGGGAAAAAAAACTCCTTTTATGAAACAGTTAAAAAGTCTTCATCCTCCAGGAAGATCATGACGCTTTTCAAATAACTTTTATCACCAGATGTCTCATGTCTCATGTCTCAAGCGTGTCCTTACCATCACTAGAGATCTGTTTCCAGGGATTGGGAGGGTACATGAAAGCTGCGTTTTGGATCTGGTCATTGATGTCTTAGTCCTCATTAAATGGGAAAGTCCCGCTCAGGCTGACATACATGATGACACCAACTGACCACATATCCAGAGAGCGGTTGTAGCCCTGGTTGCGCAGAACCTCAGGTGCCAAATAAGCCGGGGTCCAGACTACAGAGCGGCGGAAAGACTTTTCACCGATGATGCGAGCAAAACCAAAGTCGCACAACTTCACCTGAGACAGAAGAGCAGAAAGTCAGGTTGTTGCAATAGGAATATGAGGACAGGAAGTGATGTAACACCCTAGATATTAAGAATATAGATGTCTGGGGTGTCTGACGGCTTTGAATGGCTCATTAAAGAGTCTGGTCACCATAACTGCTGCATATGAGAACGAGTATGGGTTTCAGTGTGCGTGTGCATGTGTTATTTGGTCCTCATTTAAGTGTGTGTGTGTGTGTGTGTGTGTGTCTGTACCTGAGGGGAAGGATCTGCAGAGGCGAGCAGCACATTCTCGGGTTTCAGGTCACAATGTACGATGTTTTTAAAGTGCAGATGCCTCAGAGCTGCAAGGATCTACACACAGATGTGCGCACATGCACAAACACAACCACAGAAAAAGAATATGAAAAAAAATACTGGTTACACATTTTCAACCAGACATGATGATGCACTTTATATGCATTTAGCGATAGCAAAATCTCACTTCCCTAGTTCCTGACACAGCAGTATGTGACTAACGGTACTCAGTGGCGTACCACAACAACAAAGATACTGTTTGTGTTACAGCGTAAATCTACTCGCTCAAACAGTCCTGTCTTTCAGCTCGGGCAAATACTCACCTGTGTGATGAGGAACTTGGTGAGCCTCTCAGGCAGTCTGCCTTTCTCACTGGAGAGAATCATCTCCAGCATGTCCCCGTGCAGCTTCTCCATCACTACAAACACTTTCTCCGGAGTCTCAAACATGCACTCCAGGTTCACAATGCCCAAGTGACGTAAACTCTGTAACACAAATAAGAGGTGGAGGAAGGGGAGAGGTGGAGAAAGACAGGTCAATTAAGGTTTGTTTGAGAGAGAATGGTGAAAGAGAAAATACAGTAAAATGTCCCCCTGCTTTTAGATATTCTTACTCCTTCTGTCAGTATGAAACTGGTTGGAAAACCTAGAAAACCTGTGAAAGTGGCAGAGTAAGCAGAGGAAGTCAGGTCTTTTAGGGACAGTTAAAACCAGGAGGAAGAGAGAGTGACCTTCTGTCTCCATCTGCTGGTGAGTGAGGTACTAAACTGCAGAGAGAGGGCAATGATTAATCCTTTAATCATTGCCCTAACTGGAATTTGAGATTGAAATGGATTCAGAAATTCTCATCTGTATGCCAATATCCAAACCCCTTTTACTGTACAGTATTATGCATGTGCAAAAGAGTCAAAGCGGCAGCGATCTCAGAACACATCAGCAATCGGTGTCTATCACCGTCTGATTACAAGAGGTGATTCATGCCTCTTGAAATGGATACTAAGTTCCCAGTAACATCAGGGTAGCCAGAGATTATGAAAACGAATGCTAGCCAAGACTGCTCTGTGTTTATGTCTGCTGCATACACGCTGTAAATTCTTCGTCCATTACACCCTTTGGAGGAGGACCTGCTCATGTGTTTCACTTTGACTTATGAGCCAGAAAAAGAAACCTGTCGTCTTGTATTGACAACAAACAGATCTTGAATTTGCAGAAAAAGCAACACTATAAAAAAAGGTTTAAAAGTAAAATGCTAACTTTGTCAGGTCCATTCTGAATAGTAAAAGACCAACTTTTTAAATGACCCACTTTCTGATTTTGCTCCTCACAGACTGTTTTTCCTTCCTGCTGAAATGTGGTTTGTCAATTTTACTTGCTCTACAAACAGAAACCAGAGCACTTTCCATGATGAAAATCAAAACTCCCAGTACAGATTCAACATTTTTTATAAATGTGAAATTGTGATTTTTGTGTCTGAAATTCTCTGGCTTTCGATCACACTCTTTTTTTCACATCTCTTAGGCTCCTACTCGGTTTATTTGTTTGATTAAGCATATTACCTGCCAAGTTTAATGTGATTCTTTCTCCAATATTTTGTTCCAGTTATGCTCACAGAAAAATAAGTTTGTGTTAACCTGCATGGAACAGATTATCACTGCTCCGAGGGAATACACTTTCAAACCTCATTTTGTAAAATGTAAAAAAAAAAAAAAAAATTCATAAAGGTGTAACCTGATTAAGTCTCTGTGTTTAGCCTCTGTCTGGAAAACAAGATTGACATAATGATGAACTTAATACGCAGAGCATGAACAACAAAGTCCTACAGACAACCACTATATCATCATGGAGAGTAGAACTTAATATCAGACCTGATCAGTCGATTCAAGAGTAGCAAACGTTATTTGTTCGCAACTGATCTGAGCAAACATTGAGACGTGTCTTTAATGTAGGCTGATATACCTCCAAATCATCCCATTACTTAGTTGTCTGTTGCTCTTTAGCACATATGTCAGAGTCAACGCCCGCGGGCCACATCCGGCCCGCGAGAAGGTTTTTTACGGCCCCTGGGATGATCTTGATTTATTATTAGAACCGGCCCGCAGACCGCAGCAAGCCGGCAGCCCGCAGATCTTTTAGACGCACCAATACTACATTTCCCACAATGCAACGGTGACGCACCGAGCAGTAGGCTGCTTCATTTCAATATTTATTAGCAAAGCAGTCGTCAGCATAACAGTAAAATTATCTTTCAGATACCCATCAAAAATGGCAAAACGGAAGGTGGACACTGAGAACCGGGGGTTTCAAACAAGGTGGGAGTCGGAGTATATGTTCACGGAGGTAGCTGGAAAACCTGTGTGTCTTCTGTGTGGAGAAAGTGTGGCGGTACTGAAAGAGTATAATCTGAGACGACATTATGAAACGAAACACGTTTTTATTGTATTTCAATAAAATTATATTTTAAAAATATTTCAGTTGAGTGGATGATAGAAAGTTGCTATTATTATTTTTTTCTTTGAAGTAAATTTAGCCCACTTTTGCTAAAATAGAAAATATAGGCTACTGATGGTGCCTTGAATAATACCGGTTTCTTTAATTTAATGTTCATGTAATGGGGATTTTTATATAAAGGAAATTTGTCTTTTGTGTCTGTTGAAAATTAAAGATTACTGACAGAGCCATAAAAAAATATTGCTTTATTTATCCGATCATATTGGAATATATTTGTTAGGTTTTCAGTAGGTTCAGATAGGTTCACTAGACTATATACGTCATTTAAAAAATTTTCAATGAACATTCTATCAGTCCGGCCCTCGGCTTGTAGCTCAATTTTTTATTTGGCCCTCCGTCCATTTGACTTTGACACCCCTGCTCTTAAGCATTGAGCCACACAGTTTTTCCCCCCTGAGTGAGCCTTGAGTCTGACATTTTTCTGTATGCATGATGCTAGTTTTGTGAGAAGGTGCGTTTTGGTTTTGAGAAAGGAGATAGACTGCATCAAAGTCCCACTCCGATCATTTTTTATACTACTTAAAGTGTTATCAGTGGTCTGTATCAGTGGTCTTTAAATTGTGATTATGAAGTTTTTAGCCAAAATCGCATTACCGGTGTCATTTTCAAGGGCTTTTCTTCTGCAGAGCTCCAGTGGATCATGAGCAATTCATCTCTGAGACGTGGGCGGAGACAGCACTGCTCTGCACATTTGTCTTCACGTTAGCTTGCAGCCTAGCATTGCCTGTGCAACAGAAGTGGCAGTTAACATAGCAGCTATTCAGCTCTGAGACACTAGTGACTTTAGGGACATGATGAAAGCTAACATCATAATTAGCTTTCTTATGAGCATTGCAACCTGCTAACACACACGCTTGCTCCACGACAGACTGTACATACTATGGACAACTTGGTTCCACCTCCCCGCCTGTATATGGATTTGTTCCATTTCCTGGAACTAGCACTGCACAGCAGTGATGCATGCATTCAGCGAGAGAGTCGCCAAGAGTTGCTGTGATGACGCTAGGCTCAAACAGCTTCTCCTCCGGGTGAGCTACGCAATCCCTGAACGCTCATAGGCTGTATCAGGTGTCAATCAAAGAAAACATGAACCCCCTAATAACTTTAAAAAAGATTTGCTGGCGAATGTGGGATTTATGACCTATACTGCAGCCCGTCACCAGAGGGTGCTGTTCTCAGAGTGGCTTCACCCAGCGAGGAGGCAGACACTGTCCATCCTATATACAGTCTATGATTTCTCCTCTATATGTAAAGTGTGGCCAGCATAGCAGAGCTCCAGGGGCAGAGTTTGGATTGGTTATTGTTGTGTCGTAGGTTGGTAAAGAAAAGCTAGCAGCCAGCTTGTTCAGAGGAATGGTGTTTTTCTGGGCTTTAGAAGAGGGGAGTGACTGAAGTGACTCTTGCACATGTGCTCTGGGAGAATTGAGACACCAGACCCGGTGTCCACCTCCAGATCCACAGTAATGGTAGGGCCACCGAAAGCAGGGGTGGGCAACCATGTGCCATGGAGAGCCGAGAGGATGCAGGTTTCCTTTCCAACCCAAAACTCCACCAGGTGATTTCACTGATTAGTCTCTGCTCTCTGCTCGGAGGTAAGGTAATTAGTGAAATCACCTGGTGGAGTTTTGAGTGTGAAAGAAAACCTGCAGCCTCTCGGCTCTCCATGGCACATGGTTGCCCACCCCTAACCTAAAACCTTCATGGAGACACTGCAAATTAATTTACTGCATCATCTTCGACTACTGGCAGCACTGTGACAAGGTCACTGGAAACTTCTCCAAAAGTGCATGAAGCAGTCTTGCTCTTGCACACTCTGGCAAAATGTCCAGGCTTATTACATTGTCTGCATGTGACTGATTTAGCTGGGAACTTGGTGTAATAAGCAATGAAGAGCCGCATCTGTAGCATGTCTTACCAGCAGCCGTTGAGCCGCTCAAGGCAGCAGTCTTTGGGGGTGGTCTGGGGCCATCGCTGGAGTGTTTTTGCTGCCTCTGCTTCCCTCCATTCAAAGTATTCCCGCACACCATGCCGACAACAGCCTCGGTTGCTCCTCCTGATGAAGCTATCGTTTTAGCTTCAGTAACTGCATTTTCAATTTAAGCCTCAAAAGTCTAAGTCTTTTCCAGTATAAACTTATCCTCAAGCAGCAAGCGCTCTCTGGTCCGTGCATTGGACGTTTTCTCCACAGTTTGGTCTCTTATCATGTCGTCAGATAATGTTCCAAACTCACATGTAACAATCAGCTCCCGCAGAGCAGCTGAGCACTGAGCTGTGGACTCACCAGCTCGTTGGGCTCTCTGGAGAAACTTGTTCCACTCCGCGACAACGTTCAGTTTTGGCACAAAAAAATGTCTTTAGGGCATCTTCGTCGGAAACTCCAATTTCCGGCAGCGTGTGGAAAATCCGCTGAGCCTCCGCGCCGACTGTATGTATCAACAAAGCACTGTTCCTCTTGTCCCCCATTTTGTCGGCCAGGGCAAGCACGTAGTTGTCAAACATGCGAATCCATGCTTCAAAAGGCACCGTTGACACACCTGGGCTTTGTAAAAATGCCGGAGGTGGCGAAATCCCAAGCCGAGCCATCTACTGTTGGGACGTTTGAAGCCGAGGCTTCGAGGCGTGTACCGAGTATGAAGGGGGCGTGCCTGACGAAGCCCCGCTTTCAAAATAAAAGCTCGACAAAAACCTGCCGCTTTGTGGGTTGTATAGGACGTTTTCACTTGACGTCACTTCCGTGTTACGCGGCACGCGCGCAATACAAATGGAGGGCAGGACGTGAGTTGCTGCTATAGAGACCAGCAACATGCCGATGTTTTGCTTCGTTTACGGCTGCTCGAATCGATCGAACAGGGGAAAAAACAAGAGCTTTTATCGTGTGCCCAAAGTAGTGTTACACAAAGGGGAAAGATGTAAGAAGCTGACTGAAAAAAGACGGAAAAAATGGCTTTTTAATCTCCGCATACGGTCTGGAGGAGCTGCGTCGGATAATTCCCGTGTGTGCAGTGACCACTTTGTCAAAGGAAGGCTAATGACTCATTTTTATCCCGTAGTTAAATTCTTTCATTTCGAAGTTGAGTCGTGTCAAACTGTGTAGGGAGGGGGTGTGGAGCGGCCGGACGCGCCGGTAGCGACCCAGAGCTCCGGAGGGGGCGGACGGGGAAAAGGCGGTCCTTTCGGCCACTGAATACTGATAGCCATTAAAAGCACAAACCAAAATAATCGAACGGATAGAAAATATTTATTAGGAATAAAAGGGAGAGCAGAGTTATATCAAACACTATAGACTTTATTGTTATTGTACAGGGATTAAACACTATTCTATATTGTGATAATATCCATCCATTTATTTTCTATCACCACTTAATCCGCACTGTGAAAGCTTTTAAAATCTCTCTGAATGACTTGGCTGTCATATTTTAACTCTGACAACAGATGGGGCTAGTGAGCACTGAATGAAGCTTCGAGTAGTGAACCTTCGGGCAAAGCAAAGCAATGGGCTGGAAAGCCTCAATGCTTCAGAAAGCTTCATTTAGCCGTCACTAGTCGTAGGTAGATAAAGAAAAGCTAGCAGCCAGCTTGTTCAGAGGAATGTTTACTCTCGGGAGTCGAGTGCAGGTCTCTGTGGAACATTGTTCTGCCTGAGTTACATGGAGTGACACTGCTACCTACTGGCATGATATACATTATGCAAGCAAATGTATATATCACAGACGTAACGTCTCACTGTTTCTGAAACTGCTGTTTGGATCTGCCAGAGATTCACAGCAATTTGAATGAAGAAATGCTCAAAACCCTGTTCTCCAGTGATGTCCATTATTCATTTACATTATTGGAGAAAGGATTCATTGTAAGATGAACCACTGAGACTGTGCAGCAGGCCTGTAGTGATTTTTCTTTTTAAAAAAAAAGCTCAGTTTTTAGTACTTTAAAAAGCAGAAATACTCTTTCATAACAGTTTGACAGGTGTGCCAGAGTAGATGATAGTTGAGTCACTGGGTTACTTTTAAATTTGAGCTTTATTTCAGGCTTTTCTTGTGCAGTACCACAATTGGCCACAAGGACAAATCGAAAGCTGGGTTGGCTGGTGACATCATATCCATTTCCACCATGACACTTTTATGCATCAACTCCTGACATTTTCTCAATAATAGAATTTGGAGGACCTGTTTTTTAACACCTTTGACGTGAACACCACAGTGGGGGTGGGCCGTCTTTATATAGATCTGGTTTAGGTGGGTGTGTTGGTGTGTGGGTTCAGTGGAAAGCTGTTTCTTAGTGACTATCATCACAACATTTTGAAAGATGTCTCTGAAATAGAAACTCAACAACATGGAAACAATTAACTGACGACTAAGGCAAGATATAGACAAGTTAGGAGTCAACTGCACACATGCAAGCAAATCTTATTGGGGTGTAAATTTCAGCTGTTTGCATTCACACTGCACCCCAAAGCTCTGTGCATGTGTAAGAAAGGATTACTGTCATTAAAAAACAGCACACTTTCTTTTTTTTTCACTGGTTAGGCAGAAGAATTCAGCCAGTTTTATCTCACCTATACAACAAAACCTAGTCCACAACATGGGGCTGATATGTCAATGCTTGCTAATGCATTGTTAATGCTAATCATAAGCTTCTATATTTTAGTTTTAACCTCCATAAAGAAGTAGCGAAATGATAAAAGATTAAGATTTAAACTTGGTTGTGGCTTCAAAAAAAGTTAACTTTGGATGTAATAGAGTGAGAAAAACAAGATGATATTTGTGAAATATTCCAAAATAATCGACTAATGTGCCACTATTACTGGAAACTGGGAAGTCATTTATTACTGTGAATCTGTAAAAACTTGCAAACAAATAAAAACTTTATGATTTAAAAAAAGGAGTTTTAGAATGGACCACATGGCAGCGTCAAAATTGTGGTTCAGGGAGCTGAGAAGGGGCTGACTTGTTTGTAAGAAGGGATTCATTTTTTGGCAATACAGACACCGAGGAGGCACTGTGAGGAGTTTTCATGTTTTGTTGATTTGGTGACTGCTTGGAGATGAAATCATAGAGGCTGCAATTCCAATGTGCACCAAAAACATCTTTTTAGTACCTCCCTGGGGCGGCTCTGAGCTCTATCGCAGTTAGGCCTCAAAATAGGGATGGTTATCCTGTGGAGTTTTCTGCCTCCTCAAAACAAAAGAGACCTGCTGGTAAAACCCTTTGCTCGCTCAGATTTCATTTTGCTTATATGCCAAGTGCTCAGCTGGGACCACATTAACGTGTGCTATAAAGAGCTAATGTATGAGTTATAGAGGAACACATGAAACAAAGCAATGAGAGCATTAATGTTGTCACTTAACTTCCTGCTGCTTTTTCTTTTTTACCTATCTCAGACTTTCTAAAATGAACGGTTTGACACTAATGATTCAAACGTTTGCTCACTTCTTTTCCAACACAATAAGGGCTGACGCAATTTTAAGTATGTGAAACAAATTTTGGTCTTAAGTCTTCTCTATCTACTCTCCCCGTGTTTTTCTCACTGTTTGCTCCCCTTTTCACTCAAACAAGCCCACACAGTTCTCTCTTGATTGCTGCTTCTGCCCACTGCTACGCTGATTAACTTTGCATATGAATGTAAAGGTAAAACACATGTCCCGATCATCTCTTCAGATTCCCCCCTGCTCACTCAGGTCAAAGTACCACATGCATAAACTGATCATCAAATGCTGAATGAACAGACGAGACACTTCATACAAGTATCTTTTCAAACCACTGCGTTTATTTAGTTTTATATGCATCATGTTAACCGGCACAAAGAGGACACACAGTCATGCTTGTAAATGCTTTTTATGGCATGCAGAGATAATGCACCTTGTGTTACGTGTCCAAAAGGCCAGGACCCAATATTGTGGAGACAAAATCACCAAAAGTTTATTAACAGAAATATCAACAAGAAAAACATAAAATCACCACACAGGGTAAAAAGATTCGGGACGCACAGACAGCTACTGAAAGCAAAGAAAAACAAGTGTCAGGAAAAATTACAGAAAAACTCAACCTCTGACACTAAAAGTACAACTCAAATATACCACGTGGGGCAAGTAACAAAGGAATATAAAGTCAACTAGAAAGTTCAACAGAAAACAAAAGACAAACTGAAAATCACCTCAGAAAAATGCAAGGGAAAAAAACTAGAACTATAAAGTACAAAACAACTGAAACAAAGTGACAAGCAAACTTACAGAAGACAGGAAGACAGACTGGAGGCACAAGCAGGAGGACACGAGAGGCACAGAGTGATTTGGCTCGAGAGGAAGACAGAGTGATTCGGCTCATCTGGCAGGTTGTTAACTGGATATAAATAATCCTGCTACTTATCTGCTTATCTAACTGTGAAAATGAAGACATTGGTTCAAACTGCTTCAGTTTTATGCATAATCCTATATATATATGCACGCACACTCCCATGCAGTTTGCAGTTTTCCCTTACATAAAAGTTACCCTGTTATATTAAATCAGCATTAGCCTTTCTCCTGCTGTTTGCTGTTGGAGAAGTATCATCTGTACGAGTATTTCTATGCCACCTCCAAAACTGTTTTATATCCTCCTGGAATCCGTTACTGACCAGCACGTATAGCACAGGGTCCACCACACAGTTCAGACTGGACAGTGCTAAAGAACATGAGAAAACAAAGTGCATCTTTTGCTCAAAGTCACAGTAACTTCCTCCAGCTTCTTGGTTTTCGCTGTTGTAAAAGACTAGCGAGCGCACAAGCAGGAGTATGTGATAGGGGGCGTAGCACACTGAGAAGATCCCAATCACGCCATAGGAAAGCAGGCGGACTTTTCTCTTCATCTGGGCGCTGAGGCCGGGCCTTTGATCAACAGTAGCCAGCACCTTCCAGTAGCTCACCGCCAGCACCATCAGAGGCAACAGGAAGCCAAAGCCCACTCTGACCAGGTTAAACAGGGCCATGGGTCTCTTTATGGGATAAGTCTCATAACAGCGATCGTTTTCGTTTTTGTTATCATGGGTGCCTTTAAGATCATCTTTGATCAGCACTATAAAATGAAGCACAGCCACCACAACATAAACACAGATACACAGCACCCAGGCGTAGCGTGATGTACGAAAAGCTTTGGAGCGGTGTGGTAAAGTGACTGCCAGGCAGCGATCCAAGGAGATACAGCAGAGCAGGTAGATGCTGATGTACATGTTGGAGTAATAGAAGAAGCCAGCAACACTACAGGCGTCAACGCCTAACTGCCAGTTATGGTTCTTGTAGTAATAGTTGATCCAAAGGGGTATGGTGAAGAGGAAAAGCATATCTGAGATGGATAGACTGAGCAGGAAGATCCCCAAGATGTTGCCCCGACGCATTTGCAGCCAGATGGGCCCCAGGGTGATGACATTGAAGATCAAACCGAAGATAAATGCCAGGATATAAACACACATGAGAAAGTCACTTATCGCATCGTCACCAATTCGGACACACAGGGTTAAGTTTGTGGTGTTTGCTTGAGGTGTGACGGTTGAGTCCATTGTTCTTTTAGTTTTCAGTCAGTTAAATTGGTGAGAAATCGACCTGCAAGAACATAAAGACAGACGATAGTGTTTTAGTTCTGGGGGGGGGGGGGGGGTATTAAGTCATGAAGGCAACACAAGTTTAGTACTTTGACACTTTCATGTTAATACCCAAGCAGTGTTTCATAGGTAGCTCAGTCCTCCACAGTGGTACAAGCTCTGGGAATTTCCACAGTTTCTTTATCAACTTGTTGCAGTGACCTAAGCTTGGAGAGCTGCAAAAATCATTCAGCCCTGCAGAGAATCAACATTTTGAGCCTGATTATTTTTCTGCTAAGCTGACTCACACCGCCCAAGCACGGAGACTCTCCCTTGACAAAAGTCCACTGGAGACAAAAAGAAAACTTGAAAAGAAAGTAAGATTTCAAAGTAAATTGATAGTTTTAGTAGCCTGTCTCTGTCTCTCTCTTTTTAACCTTTCGCGGCAACTGTTTAAAGAGGAATATAAGTTTTTATGGATTTCTCATGCCAAGAAATGGACTGAGTAAGAAACTCACCTGTTCTTCTGGATGAAATCGGGGGTCTTGATTGTAAAGGAAAGTAGTCTGGTAGGTGAAGACTTTCAGGCACATTCCAGAGCTGTTTCAGATTTTACAGAGTTTAGTCCAGCATGGTCCAAGGGCGAGCTTCAGAATAGACTCTTCAGAGCTGCTGACATGCAGCCAAGCCACAACAGTCCCACATGGCACTGAAATAATCACTTCACCAGATTATGATGCAATAACACAATCACAACAGAGGACGACCGCTTCGCTCTCACTGCTCTTTCTGATACTTCTGTCCGGGCTGTGAAGAGTTGCTGTTGACAGCTACAGTTAAAATGTCAGCAAGGGATGAGACCAAGTACAAAAGGGGAAGACACATGCAGGAGGAGGAGGGAGGTTTGGTTTTGCACATGTGTATGAAGGAAGTATAGCCCACAGGGGGTGGGGAGAAGCACCACGCAGTCAGTGGGGACCACATATGATGCAGAAGGTAAAACTGTAACTTGAGTCATGGATGGCAAAGGGAATATTTGAGATAACCACCAATCATAGTTCATTCCTGAATCTTAATTTCTCATTTTTCAGTATCACATTTAACCAAGGTTTTTCCACAGCGTCACAAACGTCACTGCAAATCATAATGGACCTATGATAGATAGATAGATAGATAGATAGATAGATAGATTAAATATAGTAAACATCCTAAGAGAAAAAAGTGAGATATGAAAAATGTGGGCTATTGAAATGAGTAATAAATATGAAATGCGAAATATACATATGGGATGATAAATAAACAGACAACTTAAGGTGCTAAAGTAATGCGATGTGGTAGGAGTTTTTTAAAGATGGACTATACAGCAGACAGGTGTGAGTCCCTGCCTGACAGATGTGAGTTATTGAACAGTGCAATTGCTTGTGGTAGGACATTTTTTTTCACTTCTTTCACTTCTATTTTCACTTTTTTGACAAAAACTTTCATTTCATCATCCTGTCTGAATTTCTTTGACGCAGGAAAAGGCTGATCACCTTCATCATGACTGAGTGTAACAAAACTAAAATACCTCATCTCTTTTCCTGCTAAACAGACAGTAACTCAAGTTTAACAAGAGCTTCTAAACAAGCAGCAATGCAAGCAAACTTCAGGAAGCAACTGATCTTTGGTGTGATGGATGGAGATGCTGTAGTACAGAGGTCTGGACTGCCTGTTAAGTGCCTCTGCTTCCTACACTAACAATATGTGATGTGTATTATGTTGCAGCACTGTACAAACAAACATTCAACCGTGGTATGTGAGTAAGCTATGTCATTTTTTAAATGGTAACTGCTTCACTGCCACACATGCCTCTTTTTCTTGAACTGAACAGTAGTCAGCTGCGGTCTGCAGACTCATAGCCTGGCTGGGCCATCCAGTTGCGTGAATCACTTGCCATTCCTTCCCACAACAGCCTGGCCTTCTTTGTGGGAAGGAACAGCACGTGATTCACGCAACTGGATGGCCTAGCCAGGCTAGCAGACTCATACCTTGCATAATGTGTTCATCTGCCTTTTTTAAAAACAGTGTTTCATGGGTTGGCATTTTAAAATACAACTAAAAGCTGGCTGTGATGGCTTTAAGTTCATGACAAGTAAGCTCTACCAACATTTTAAGAATGTGTTTGATATTTGACATTTATTAATCTGCTTTATATTTGAGATTAATTTACCATGTATAGCAAATTTGAGGGCAGCAGCAGTTCAGGCAGGACACAAAGTCAAGCTTATAGCTCACAGTAAATCTGATCATCATACCTGCCTGCATCAGCTGATAGCTCAGCTGATGTGTCAGAAATGGCGATCTATTTACACTGCCTAGCTTGTCTTTCTCCACAACCGCTTTGCAACCCACCTCCACCCCAGCTTCTCCATTTATGCTATGTCTTATCTTACATGTATCATAAGAATTACATATGAGATTTTACCACTGCTGCTCTCTCTGTCTTGGCTTTTCATGTGTGCAAACTGAAGTGAGGTGTTCCTCCAGCAGGAGGCATTTCATGTAAGCACATGGAAGGGCAGGGAGCCCTCATAACAGAACCTTACCACCAATTATAACCAATGCATGCAAGTAATTCACCTCTTGACAAAAGTGGTCTTGACCAATGTCCACTTTTTGAAAAGGAAACAGGTTGATGTGCATTTCTGGCAGCAGAGCAGACACCTCATCCAATTAAAGCGGGGCGTAAGTGACTCTCGATTTACCGGTCGATCTACACGCCAACCCTCACCTATGGTCATGAACTTTGGGTAATGACCAAAAGAACAAGATCACGGATACAAGCGGCCGAAATGGGTCTCCTTGGCAGGGTGGCCGAGCTCAGCCTTACAGATAGGGTAAGGAGCTCAGACACTCGGGAGGCGCTCAGAGTAGAACCGCTGCTCCTCCACATCAAGAGGAGTCAGCTGAGGTGGCTCTGGCATCTGGTTAGGATGCCTTCTGGATGCCTCCCGTTAGAGGTGTTCCGGACATGTCCCACCACGAGGAGACCTCGTGGCCGGCCCAGGACCAGGTGGAGGGATTATATCTCTTGCCTGGCCTGGAAGTGGCTGGGAATCCCCCCGGAGGAGCTGGTGGAAGTGGCCGGGGTGAGGGCCGTCTGAGCTTCCCTCCTGAAGCGGCTGCCCCTGCGACCCGGACCCAGATAAGCGGAAGAAAACAACGAGGATGGTCAAACTGAATTTTCCACACTAACACAGTTTAAGTTCTTTTTTCATGTAGTAAAACTCAACTGGTAAGCAGTCCTGAAGTTTGAATCTTAAGGGATTTTTATTCGTAATGATGTTGGAAATAGACATTGTACATGGATCAAACAATGCAAATTTTAAGTAAATGATGCAGTAATAACATTATTTCTGATCAAGTTTGAGAATCTATTTTTGGGATTCTCATGGATTTTTTTATAAAGTTATACTATCTACATGCGATGGTAAATGAGCTCAGGTGAAACTTTGAGTTTTGACTATGGCTGATGATAACCTGAAGTGCTGAGCAATTTTCTGTAATTTTGTGAACTGTTGTGCACTGCTGAGTTGTTCCCTTTCTAAGTGCATTACACCTAAGTGCAAGGGCAAACTCAGCAGCTGGCAAAGCATTTTGATGTAGTTATTGTGGCAGGTCATTGGATCTGCAACCATAACAGCAGCTGATTCAAAACCTCTTTTATATTCAAATGAAAAAGTTCAGTGGATCTTTTTCACAGAAGTAGATGATGCTAAATAGAGACTTGGTTGCAGGTGTCTGGCTCGCCACTGCAAAGACATTACCCTGAGGAAATTAAGCTGTAGAAGAAAAACTTGCCCAAAGTTAAAGTAAAGAGAAGAAAAGATGGAAATAGTGAATCATTTGGCATAACTTGAAAATGATAATGGATGCAGTGTAGAGCGAGGGTGCCCTTTTCCCCAGGGTAGCTGTCTGTAGTGCCCTCAACACAGACTGGAAAACAATTCTCTCACGTTGCCTCTATAGCCACAGGGTCCTTTTAAGTGCCTCTCAGGCTGTGAGGTGTAATTTGTTTTAAATGTTATCCCTGTTCCCTTAAAGCTGTATTTTTTACGTGTATTTGTGCACACACAAGTCAATCACATCTCCAGATCCTTGTCTTACGTCTTCAACAAGAGCATCCCGAAGGCATTTGCTCTATAATAGGAATTGAATGAAGCAGAAATTGCAGTTGAAATATCTGAAATAAAAACACTCTGTCACTCAGTGTTTGTGGGTTTCGTCGCCTTCCACTACAAGAAAGTGGAGTGACAGTAATAGTCTTAACACTTTGAAAGTGAACCATCTGTGTTAAGTGACAAGTGTTTTAGTCGTGGATCATTTCTTATATGAACGCCCACTCACTTAAATGAGTTTTTCCTCCTGAAGGTCTAAAATTACTGCGTCCAAATGACCCTTAATTTGCAGATGAGTGACTTGAAAAAATAAAAAACAAAGACCAAAAATACATATTTGCAATCTTTGTATTTTCTGTTACAAATGCTAAGATTATCCTTCAAACATGTTATACACAGTCAAGGAATATTAAACAACTACATAAGCGTCAGGTTATACATATGTATAATAAACCATCATAACTACAGTATGTTTAAAATGTATATCTAGATAATCCTACTTCACAGAAACATGCAACATATTGACAGTAACCAAACTAAATACACTAACCCAAGCTGTCCGTCTACACACTTACACTGCAGAGAGAGATCCGCTGCTCTGAACGATAAACACGGAGCTGTTTCAGAGAGTCCATTTACCTGCATCAGTATCTGAACTTGATGTACATGCGACTGTGAGGAAGTGTTATTCACTGTATAAATACACTGTCGGAGATTGACGATAGAGAGGGCAACACAAAAGGAAATTTCTACCATTCAGGTAGAGTCATTGTGGCTGCTGTTGGATGAAACGACTCAGATTGCAGGTCTAAACTAGAGTTCATTTAAAAACCACAACGACGTCTTTAATCACATATGCTTCCAAAGAGTCTACTGTGCCTCCAAACTAGCAGTAATTATGGGAAGATTTCAGTCACCGGATCAATACTTTCAGTTTTCACGTCAGGGCTTTCATTTTATGGGAATGCATTTGTGAATACAGAGGGGTTTGCCTGCTTGTAAGTAATTACCAGCAGAGAGGAAGTCTTTTGTCACTTTAAAGACTCCTATCTGTGCAACATGACTGAAGTGGTGTTTATATGAAGACACAAGACCGACTGTTGTTCCAGTCAGTCTTGTTAAATGACACTAAAAATGAATGTTATGTCTCTTTTTATGGAGCAGTTTGTTTTTGAATTTTAATCTCTATCTGTTTGGAAACTTCTCAATAAAAACACCAACTTTTTATTTAATGCCTGAAATGAAATGGTATTACCTGCCTCACTTCAAAGCTTTTATGGGGAAAATAAAATGACATGAAACTCTTAGTTTGTGAATTTCACATGTGAAAGTTCCTCAGAGGTCAGGCTTTCACGTCAACAATTACACCTCAACTATTCAACAGATAAAGAAGGACCATTATCAGAAAGATGAGCACTTGTACACAAAGATGTTGGGCAGTGAAAGTCTTGACAGCTGGACACAAATCCCAGGATTTTTCCAGCATTTCATCTCTTTCTGGCTCCAGCTTGAGGACTGCATCTTCATTTCTTCTCCCTACACCTTTCCATCTCCCTGCAGGATTTAAGTCCTATTTTTCCTGCGTCTGGGTGTCAGAGGATGCTGACCCTCTCAGTGAGGCCTTGGACGTCTGCATCCTCCCCTCCCTCCTCATCGTCAGAGGCCGGGGCGGGAGGAGGAGGCACAAGGTGTGCGGGGTAAGGCAAAGTGTGGTCCCGGGCGTATGCTTGCCAGCGGCTGTCGTCGCTCTCGTGGGTGATGTATCGCCCTCCGAGTTTGGTTTCCAGCTCTCGCAGGTCGAGCCACGTCTGATAGTCCTGAGAAATGAGAAGTGGGAATAAACACAGGGATGGAGTTTCACTTTGTAAGAGCCTTGAATTAGATTTAAACTGAACAGAGTTTCATGTTTTTGCAGCACATTATCTGCTAGTCAATCTAAGGCTGCTGAATGTGTGTGTAAATATATATGCACCATAGTATATAGGAGAGGATAATCTTGAACCCTGGCAGGTCTACAGTTTTCAAAGATAATGAAAAAATGATACCTTCAACCACATTTAGTTTTGCTATGGCACTTCAGCTTAATAATGGATTTTCCCTGCGACCAAAACAAGCAGAGAGGACTACTTTGGACCTGCAGAGAGAGCTGCTCTGTTTTCCACCACTGAATGTTGTGTTTTGTTGAAGCCACATTAGGAGCTGTGATCAGTCAATGAAAGCATCATTTTAAAAGCATGGCTGTCCTCAGTAATGTTCCAGAATATTGGCCTTCAGCTGCTGCCTGGCTGTTCGGCTATGAGTGCAGACCCTTTGTGTTTGTGTCATTTTCTGAAATGGCCTCAGTTTTTAAGATTTGAGTGAGGGGTTTGCAGAGATACAAGAAAGTGAAGATCTTGCTTTTTTCACTGTAATTTTTTTTCTAGATGAAGAAAAGTGTGCACAAAAAAATGTCATTGAAGTTTTTTTTTTTTAAGCTTTTAGCCTTCGTTGATAACACAGCGTCATAGAGAGAGAAATATGATGCGCACCAAATCCCAACTCTCTGTTACCTGTAGGTATGAATGGCTGAGACTCTTGTCCACACTGTAGCGTTTCCTCATCTTGACTTGCAACAAATTGTTGATCAGATCGATGGCTGGGAAACACAAATTATAAAGATTAACGAATGTGTAATGACGTGTAATCTATGCCAATAATCTAGCTTTCTTCTGAAGTCTGCTGAGTTAGATAAACCACAAAGTTAAGAGGAACTACAGTCATGATATGTGCGAGAACACGTAGTCATTCATAGTAAAGGAACCGGACATGATTTCGAATTTGATATGATAAAGATTCTTAACCTACTTCCCAGGCTCTAGTTTGCCTTCATCATATAAACAGAGAGCATTTAGTACTACAAAAAAACTCCAGGTTTATGGCACTTTGTGATTATTATGGAGGATGTTCAGTTGAACACGTGGTTGGACCAAATAATGGGAAAGTTATCATCCTCTAGGAAGATCATGACACTTTTCAAACCGTTTCAAATAACATTTATCACCAGATGTCTCGTGTCTCAAGCGTGTCCTTACCATCACTAGAGATCTGTTTCCAGGGATTGGGAGGGTACATGAAAGCTGCGTTTTGGATCTGGTCATTGATGTCTTCGTCCTCATTAAATGGGAAAGTCCCGCTCAGGCTGACATACATGATGACGCCAACTGACCACATATCCAGAGAGCGGTTGTAGCCCTGGTTGCGCAGAACCTCAGGTGCCAAATAAGCCGGGGTCCCGACTACAGAGCGGCGGAAAGACTTTTCACCGATGATGCGAGCAAAACCAAAGTCGCACAACTTCACCTGAGACAGAGGAGCAGAAAGTCAGGTTGTTAGAATGAGGACAGGAAGTGATGTAACACCCTAGATATTAAGAATATAGATGTCTGGGGCGTCTGACAGCTCTGAATGGCTCATTAAAGAGTCTGATCACCATAACTGCTGCATACGAGGATGGGTATGGGTTTCAGTGTGTGTGTGTGTAATTTGGTCCTCATTTGAGTGTGTGTGTGTGTGTATACCTGAGGGGAAGGATCCGCAGAGGCGAGCAGCACATTCTCGGGTTTCAGGTCACAATGTACGATGTTTTTAAAGTGCAGATGCCTCAGAGCTGCAAGGATCTACACACAGATGTGCGCACATGCACAAACACAAACACAGAAAAAGAATATTTAAAAAAATACTGGTTACACATTTTCAACCAGACATGATGACGCACTTTATATGCATTTAGCGATAGCAAAATCTCACTTCCCTAGTTCCTGACACAGCAGTATGTGACTAACGGTACTCAGTGGCGTACCACAACAACAACAATACTGTTTGTGTTACAGCGTAAATCTACTCGCTCAAACAGTCCTGTCTTTCAGCTCGGGCAAATACTCACCTGTGTGATGAGGAACTTGGTGAGCCTCTCAGGCAGTCTGCCTTTCTCACTGGAGAGAATCATCTCCAGCATGTCCCCGTGCAGCTTCTCCATCACTACAAACACTTTCTCCGGAGTCTCAAACATGTTCTCCAGATTCACAATGCCCAAGTGACGTAAACTCTGTAACACAAATAAGAGGTGGAGGAAGACAGGTCAATTAAGGTTTGTTTGAGAGAGAATGGTGAGTGAGAAAATACAGTAAAATGTCCCCCTGCTTTTAGATATTCTTACTCATTCTGTCAGTATGAAACTGGTTGTGAACCCTATTATTGCTCGAAAACATGTGAAAGTGGCAGAGCAAGCAGAGGAAGTCAGGTCTTTTAGGGACAGTTAAAACCTGGAGGAAGAGAGAGTGAGCTTCTGTCTCCATCTGCTGGTGAGTGATATACTAAACTGCAGAAAGACGGGGGATAATTAAATGTATTTTTGTTACTTGATTATAATAAAAATGAGGAAACTTGACAGAAAAATCTGCTGTGAGCAAACTCTAGTAAGTCAAATGGTAGTCACTCTTTTTTAATACTAAATTAAAGAGTTAATACAAAACCATTTTAATTATTCTCAAAGAACGTAAACACTTGAAGACAACATCATTCAATATTTTCTATGTCAAAATTGGGTAAATTCTCATCTGTATGCCAATACCCAAACCCCTATTACTGTGTCGGTATTATGCGTGTGCAAAAGAGTTGAAGCGGCAGCGATCTCAGATCACATCAGCAATCGGTGTCTATCGCCGTTTGATTACAAAAGGTGATTCATGACTCTTGAAATGGATACTAAGTTCCCAGTAGCATCAGGGTAGCCAGAGATTATGAGACTGCTCTGTGTTTATGTCTGCTGCATACACGCTGTAAATTCTTCGTCCATTACACCCTTTGGAGGAGGACCTGCTCATGTGTTTCACTTTGACTTACGAGCCAGAAAAAGAAACCTGTCATCTTGTACTGACAATAAACAGGTCTTGAATTTGCAGAAAAAGCAACACTATAAAAAAAGGTTTAAAAGTAAAATGCTAACTTTGTCAGGTCCATTCTGAAGAGTAAAAGACCAACTCTTTAAAGGACCCACTTTCTGATTTTGCTCCTCAGACTGTTTTTCCTCCCTTATGAAATTTGATTTGTCAATTTTACCTGCTCTACAAACAGAAACCAGAGCACTTTCCATGATGAAAATCTAGACTCCCAGTACAGATTCAACCTTTTTTTTTTGTAAATAGAGACTAACTATGAAGTCAACCACAGTACATATGTGTTTACCTGCAGTATGGCCACCTCATTCCTCAGCTGGCTCTCCTGCTTGGTGGGGAAACGAAGCTTGTCAATGACTTTGACAGCTACGTCCCTCCCCGTCTTCCTGTGCTTACCTGAAAATGGAAAGGAAGAGGAAGTGTTGGAGTGAGTTGATATTGCAATCATTTCAAAGTATATCTATTCTCTGGGATACATCTCAAATGTTTTAGGACATTTGACGTTACCTCCATACACAACTCCAAACTGCCCAGATCCCAGCACTTCATCAGCAAAAATCTGGTACACCATCCCAATATCCTGTAGGAGACCCATTTGTCATAAAATCAGTAACACTCTTGTTTCATAATTCACATAAGATTGAAGTAAATTGACAGAAATTCATACCACATTCTCTTGGATTTGACTGTTGGACACTGATATGCTGATGGAAACTTGTGCTGGAAAAGTAGGAATGTCAAAACGCAGGTCAGAAAGTGTCATTTTAAACATCTATTTTAATGCACGAGGTACAAAAACTCAACCTCTGATAGCATCATAACTTTATAAGTTTGTCCAATAGCAATCAAGTCCTTCAAAATTTGGTGCAGTTACTTAAACACCTCTCTTGGCTGGTGACATTCAACTCACTGTGTGGTGTGTTCCCCTCAGCTGGCGCGTCCTGAAAGATGGATGGCATGAGAGCTTGGCGAATGGCGCTCTCCCATGCCTTGGCCACCTCTCGCCCGATACCGCTGTTGGGAGCAACTTGGCTGGGGGAGGGAGGGGTCTGAGGAGGGAAAGTTGAGGGGTTGCCTGGGGAAGGAGGAGGGAGGGTGTTGGGGTCCTCCCCTACAAAGTAACACATGGTGCCTGTGATGAGCTCGAAGCAGTGAGGGTTTGTGCCGGGAGGGACGAGCGCGAAGTTGTCGGCGGGTCGGACCTCTAGAATCTCAGACAGAGGGATCTCCTGCACAGAGATGGATGCACCCGTTAAAAAAAGCCTTTTATATATGATAAATGTTTTGAGATTGTTGGTTTTGCTGAGGGAAAAAATGTTTATTTACCTTGTAGTATTTGTTGGAGGTGTTGTTCTGGAAAAGGATGATGCACTTGCAGTCCAGGCGCCAGTAATGCCTCTTTCTCTGTTGGGGAGGCAGTAAGGTGTTATGAGGTGTGGCAGGAAAAGTGGGGCAGGACATTTAGTGGTCAGAATAGGAGATGACAAAGTATGGATTTGGATAAGTTCAAGGATCCATATGGATGCATTCAAGTATAAAGCCGACATCCAGAAAAAAGAGACGAGTTGGCCACTTGAGAAGAAGGATGAGCATGAAAATGAGCTGCAAGAGGAAAAAGTGGAAAAAAGAGAGAAGAGAGACATGGGAGAAAAGAAAGAAAAAGAGTGCGTTAGCAAAGTTGGAGCAGAAAATCAAGCAAGAACAAGGCTTGATAGGTAGAAAAGTTATTTTGAGATCCAATAAAGAGAGCACAGCTGAAGGAAGAAAAAGGCAGAAAATGCGCTTTTAGACTGAATTTGACAAACAGTCAACAATCAGTTGAGTGCTGTTTTGTTCTCAGGGTGAGCTGGACCCATCATCAGCCTTCAATTTTCATTTCTTTCATGCACACACACACACATGCATGCCCACCCGCAAATATAAAAGAGAGCAATATGATTCATGAAAGTACAAACTAAATGAACAAGGTCGTGGAAGAAATGATAGACCAATCATAAGAAGGTACATGAGGTCTCAGAGTGAGTGCACAGTTAACAAAAAATGGCAATAAATCTAAAGAAAAGAAACAGAAGAGCGTGGGATAAAGCATCATGAATAAATGGACTTGGTTATGTATGTATGAGCTACAGAATGACAAAAACACCGGGAACTATGGGTAATGTATTTTTACCAGTGTGTCCTTATTGCTGTAGTGAACCATCCATCCTTCTTTAATGGCCGTACTGGAGCGACGTGTTGTCTGTCTCACGGACTGCACCACCCTCATGAGCGGGATGTTGACACTGGAACAAAAACACTAATATTAGCAAGTCTGAAAACGTTCATCAAATCAGTTTTTCTAATTCCTTATTTTCTCGTACTTCTGGTCTCCACTGATTCCAGCCTGGATGTTGTCAGGAGAGAAGGATCCAGGGATGCTGCAGGCTTCGTCTGAGTCGTCCATCGAAGACTTGTCTGCGGCGTCGTAGTCTGTGCTGTAGTCCATGGGCACTTCAGGGTCTGCGCTGGGGCTCAACATGTCTGCAGCAACAAAAGAGCAAGAAAACAGGCTGAATGCGGTGTTTCTCTTAGTTGTAATGTGCTAAAAATGACATGCAAAATCACTACTTTCTATTATCACTATCACCACGACTTAAGAGTTCATGCATCAACTCTAAGCAATACTTACCGCAGTTACTTCTGTTCTCTGAGAAGATAAAAACATTAGTGGCAGTGAGTCTCAGTCTGATATTATATTACATTATTAATTAATTAAGATTTATAACAGTGGAAACATGCAGGGTTAAAAGAGTCAGGAAAAATAAAAAGTTGTTTAACAAATGTCTCCCCTCACCTCCGATGGTCTCCCCCAGGCAGTCATTAGGAACTTTGTAAGCACAGCGTTTATGGCAGTTGAACTTGCAGTCTGAGGGAGAACCAAACACAATTAGCTCTGATACAATTACACAAAAACTGGAGGTTTAGCTTTATTTCTTATTGTACTGAACATCTTTGTTCACCTTTGCACTGAAGGCCCTGCCTGAAGAGTCCTCGGAGAAGCCTTTTGCAGTACTGGCACACCGTTGGTCGTGTGTATGAATGGACAGCAAACGTGTGAGGCACCTTCACCTTGCTCATCAGGATCTTGTCCAAGTGAACGGGCCGGCCCGTGTAGAAGCGTCTGGCTTCACTTGGGGTTCGGGGCTGTCAGAACAGAGAGGAAATTAGTCAATCTTACTTTGGCAATAAGAAAGATTACATCCAAATGTATGAGTTAGGATGAAATTTATCTAAAATTTTCCAGCTTTAAACCTGTAATTAGTATTTTTTTATGACTCTTAGAGGCTACAGAAGGGGTTGTTAATTTATATAATGCCGATTTATAAATACAGCATGTTTTTGCATGAGTTGTGTTTTTGCCAACTTGTAGGATTTCTAGCACTGTTCTCTCTCGCAGGCTTGCTTTTGGTATCTACCAACTCTGGAAGAAAAATGTTTGTCCATTTGGTTACTAAATGCTCTACAAAGCTCAGCTCCAACCTCGTTCAGGAGTCTTTATGAATTTTGAGTCCAAGCAAGTTGTGCAAAGTTGATTGAGTTTTTTTCACCAGAAACTTCTGCAGCTGAAGAAAACATGATAAGAACTGTTAAAACAGCGTTTATCCTTAAATACACATCACACCCATAGGAGCTTCCTAATCTGCATTATCATACAGTTTTCAGTTAAATATATTCTGAATATAGATGATACTCTAAGCCTATCTTTTCCTCTATAACTCAATGTCTTCTCCACATTTAAGTATTTCGGTTGCAAAAGTTAAAATATCAACAATGTTTTGTTTTTTTTTTGTTTTGTTTTGTTTGTTTTGATAAAGCAAACTGGTTTAATAAGAGGCTTACTCAAAGTCTTGGCGACAAACTCCCAAAACTGAACTGCATATATGGGTAACACTTTATACTAAAGTGGTTGTAATTAATATGTAATTAGTCACTTATAAGACATTGCAAGACCTTATTAGATTCCTACTAACACAAATTATATGCTTACATAGACTTATTTATGTTAATAAGAATCTGATAAGGTCTTATAATGTCTTTTCCGTGACTTATTACATATTAATTACAACTTATTACAACCACCTTAATATAAAGTGCTACCCATATATGCAGGAACTTTTGGTTTAAACTCACGCAGGACTAACAGACTAAAAAACAGGTTGATCTAAAAGGTTGATTGTGAGCATTTCTCATGTCTCTTTTAGTTGTCCTGCACTGTATCTTGTTGTATGTACAGCATGCAATGACAATAAAGGCTATTCTACTCTATTTAGTTAGAAGATATTAAGATATTGATCTCTGTGTACATAGGATAACTAAGAAAATTGTGTGTAAAATGGAAGAGTCTTTGGTTTATCCAGGGAGATTTTTCACTTGATGGTGTTGACAGTTAACAAAATAAATCTACACTTCTCAGCCACCATGTGAGTTTCAACCCCAGTATTTTTTTTATCAATCTTAGTCAAAAAAGAAAAACAAATCTTAATTACGTGACTAAATTGGCTCCATGTATTTCACTAATTGGTGTTATTTTAAACAAAGTTGCCTGATTTGGTCAAAGATTTTCTATAGCCTTCCTTAACAGACAAGAATACTGCGTGCAAGAATCCATCTGTACCATTTGTGTATGTGAGCGGACCAGACTGGTTTCCTCCGAGCAGGTGGAGACCGTCCCGACGCTGTACACCGACTCAGTGGTGGAGAGACGCAGGGACTGGCTGCTGCTCAGAGAGGTAGTGGACAGACGCCGTTTCCGAGCTCCACTGCAGTTGTTTGGGATGCTGAATGCACAGCGCTTGTGGTAGTTTAGTCCACATCCTGCAGGGGGCGCCATGGATCAAAAAGAAAGAGGGGTAAGTGAGTAATGCAATTCATCTCTTCATAAAGATATGTCTTTTCCTTTATCAGTTCATCTCTTCATTTTTCTTACCGTCACACTTGAGTCCCTGTCTGACCAGTCCAAACAGCATCTCTCCACAGTGATCACAGAAGGCCGGGGCTCGGTATGAGTGTACGTTTAGGGCATGTGGCCGAATCTGGAAATCTTCAAATGTAGCAGCCGCTAAAAGTGCAAAAAAACAGAGGAGTGTGGTTATAGTTAGTGTCAAGACATAAACATACTGCTGCTGCTTGGTAGACAAAGAACCAATCAAGAACAGATGGATATAGAGTAAACGAGAGTAAAATGAGCAAATAAGGAGGTTTTGATTTTATTGACTGCAGAAAAGCAGAAGTAGATTTGTGTTTACTGATAGTTTAAAGAGAAAAGAAGAGAGCTGTTTCTTACCAGAGAGCACCACCTCCACCAGATCTCCCTCCTGAATGTCACTGGCTCCTTTCACCAGCTGCAGGATGTTGTTTGTTGATGTGTCGTGCTTGAACAGCAAAATCTTGTCATAAATGCCGTAGAAGCCGCACTCTGGAAACTAAAAACACAGACGACAAAAACAAAAGTAAGTTACATAAATAAGCGTAAAAGAGAAAAAAAAGGCTGAACGAAGTGACAACTCCTTTTAGAAGATATAACAACTTCTATAATTCTTTATGCCTTTAAAGGAGAGGATATGACAGCGGACAGAGCAAACTGTGGAGAGAGTGGGGGGTAACAGTGGGTAAAGAGGTCGCCCAGTAAAATCTAATCCAGGCCACCACTTTACGAAACCTCAGTACACAGGGGGCCACTTAAAGTGCCATTTGAGAATGACCTTTCAGTACATAATTATATTTCTGTGAGATGCCTACTAAACATGCTTACGTCCAGGTAAAAACCAAAAATGTAATATGATTAGAAGCAACATGCGTCAGCAAAAATACAACCCTTTAAACTTTTAGAGGTGAAAAAAAAACACTGTAATATTTTCCTTCTGTTTTTTGGTTTGTTTGTTTGTTTTTTCTGTGTTGTTTAAAACATGATAAAAATGGTCAAAAATTCAATTATTTTTTGGAAGTGCATGATTATATTTCTGTAAGGTACCTACTAAACATGCTTAAGTCCTAGTAAAAACCAGAAATGTAATATGATTAGAAGCAACATGCGTCGGCAAAAATACAACCCTTTAACATTTAGAAAGAGAAAAAAAATACTGTAATATTTTCCTTCTGTTTTGTTTTTCTGCCTTTTTAAAAAAATGATTAAATTGGTCAAAGATTCATTTAATTTTGTTGACCCTATCCCAGAGTCGAGCAACAACAGCCTTCTCATTAACCTAATCCAGCCAAGGTTGGTTTTTGACTTTCGAATTGAAGACCACAAGTGACGCAGGTAAAGTGGGCGGGCCTCTCTCAAAGTCCTGGCCGCCTCTGATGCGTCGGCGTCACTGCGCACGTGCGTAGCGACACAATTCAAATACCTGAATTGATTCCAAACCGCAAGTCACAAAATCGAACTCTCAAACTCTGTTGAGTTCTTTACTGCGCTACGCAAACAATGCTGAAGCTGTCTTCCTTCTTTATGATCCAAATCAAACAAGCTTAAATTTATTGGGTTGCCTGAGAGCACGGCTGAACTCCTGACATTAAGGAGAACCAGAATCTGCTTTGAGATATGTGTCACCTGGAAACAGGTTTTACACTTTTTACGCTGAGCCTGTAAAAAGATATTAGCTCTAAAGGTTGAAGGTTAACTTCTGATTTTCCCATATTACAGTAAGAACCACTCGCCATCCTACACAGTCCCTGCTTTGTGAATTTCCCTGGCAATAACAACATCTGCTTTAACATTTGGGAACATTCAGTACTCTATACATGGCACATGAAGGTGCACAGCAATGTTTTTGTGTGCTCAAGCATATGACATTATATCCTCAGCTAATTCCATCACGCCCTGAAAACTAAAGCAGCCCACACAAACGAACGATCGTACACATGAACAGGTACAAACTCCAATCAAGAAGAGAGGCTGGCTTTATTCACATTTTAATGAACTTCATGAATGTGGAAAGCAAGACAAAGGGGAAACTTTATCCTATCTTTCCATCTGTTTTACACAAACAGGCACGCACGCATGCACTCGCACTCACACAGGTGTTTCCATGAAGCTCTTCCAGAGATATGAGAGATGAGTGTGTCAGTCAGAAGTCAGCAGAGCAGAGGAGGCTGTCATAGGGAAACCCTGCTCTCCTGAATCTTTAATACTGTCTGGTTCACTCCAGTGGACACTCCGCTAAACAGGACACAGGACACAACAGCTACAGGTGGGTGTGTTCAGATCAGGGGAAATGAACACAGTCTTCGTATGACATTTTGAACGCAGCTCCTCTGACGCTGTTGTTTTTCCCATGCTGGAGTTAAGATCCACCATCTGGCCAAGCTCTAACAACTTACAGGAAGAGAAACCCTGGGCTAAACCTCAGAACGACACAATGATACAAACACACTCGTCCTCCTCACTTACCAGCAGACGCACCCTGCAAACAAACAGAAACACACAACGCTCTCTTCCTCCCATTTCCCCCCTTTTCTCCTGAATACACATACAAATACACAAACACAAACACACACATACAGTCTCCTCAGTTTCCCAACAGGCGCTCCACATCACCGCATCAGAAATGCAGGCCGGGTTTGTACATCTGCCAAGCTACACAGTCAGTCCACCACACCCCAGGAGAGGGCTACTGCTGCCGACCGCACAGTCGACAACAAGACACAAACAGCACAAAGCGGAGGTTTTTTTTTTAAAACCCAAACATGTTTCACAATCATCCAATCCGTAAAGAAATCACAAGGTTACGCCAAAAAGAGATAACGAGGAGGAGGAGGATTGGAGGAGATGTTTGAAAGATGTGCATGAGTAATGTAATGTTAAAACAAACTATATCTGTAAAGGATTACGCAACACGGATTCACAAACCTGGCAAAAGAAAACTCCAATTCCCATTTCTCGTTAATTTAAAAGGTCCTCTGACAGACCACCAAAGAGATCTTGCTGCAAACCCTGAACTCTAAAACTTTTGCTGGAAGTATGACTATCAATATCCAAGTTTCAGTTTCAACTAGTTATTTACTTTAACTTTGAACTTTTCATAGCCAAGAGAGATCACAAGAATCCCACTGAGCAATAGACAGCAATTTTTTTAAACTTTATTTCAACCGCCTAGATTCTGTATTTTTAGACGGAATTTAGACGTTGCACTTTAACCCGTTATTCGATATTTATTTCAAAAAACAACTGTGAGTTGCATAACTGATCTCCAAGTACCAAAACAATTATGATAGCCGTTGAGCAATATACAGTGTAGTATAGATATAGACCAGATCTAGAGTTGGTCTAAACTGTGGTAGTCTGATTTTAGACCAGTCATCTAGGCTACATTTAGACGTCTATTAGACCTCTTTTAGACCAATACATGCTCAGTGGGATCCACTCTGCTGTGGATGGTACTGACCTCAGGGATCTTGGATGTCTCACTGGTGAGTTTCATGAGTGTTTAGATTAGTGTCAAAGGACGTGTCGCCGAAGGATGAAGATGTTTCAAAGATGTTGGGCTTATGAGATTTGCCTATTAAGTTGACTACTGTTATCCAGGAGGCTCATCTGGACAGCCTCTTAATTTAAAAAGAGGACAAAGAGAAATTATCAGCCTTGTCTTGTTTGCTTCTAAAAACTCCTTATAGTGCCTTTAAACAATCAGTTAAAAACTCTTTAATGTGCCTTTAAACACCTACAAAGTAGTCATGTTATCAATTGTTTGCAAAGACTTTTCTCTCAGGTCCAGGTCTGTGGAATCGCCACATGGACATTTTAATCCTCGACTTGGATTCAAACCCTGCATGTTGTCTTTCTGGAGTGAATCATGAAATGACTAAATGCATCAGTACCTGGCATTACCACATGTTACACCAACTGCTGCTCCTTGTAATTACAGACACCCACATACCCCAGATCAGAGGACATGCTCAGCCATGCCTTAATCCACAGACAACCCTCAGACTAAGCTCCAGTGGCGTTGTTTGATGCTCCTCTATTAACCCCACACTGTTACTGTTACCACTCACTTCTTCTGAGAAACTTGAGCACTTAACAAGTCATATTATCCTTAGTTTGCTGTCCTAAACATACACAATGTACATCTGGGCAGACCACAGGTCTTTACAACCCTGCTGAGACACACAAATATCCCCAAACCACTTTAACCTCAAAGTAAATGACCATTTTTCTTCTCTGGTTGTTCCAGTTTACGGTAAAAGTACAGGGTGGGAAAAGCACAAAACCACATTATGACTTCTGTCTGTGGGTAATCATGGTGAAAAATTGAATTTGAGTTGGTATGATTACAAAACCGCGGCTATATGTTTGTGTGTGTCGTGTGGTATATTTATCGTAGAGGAGTACTGTCGCCATAGACTGTGTTTGTGAGAGCGTGTTTGTGTAAAGTCTGCAGACAAAGAGCAGGCAGTGTTATCATACATACTGTAGTGTAGTGTAGTGTGGTTTGCCTGGAGACAGGGCTGTGTCTGCAGCCGGTTTCTTTGGGTTACCAGGGATCAGGTTGCCTTGAGTCGGCCGCACTATTCCTGCAGCTCTACCAGCCATTGACGCCATTATGGGCAAAATGAATTATGAACTAGGCCTTTTCTGAAAACTCCTCACTATCACAACTCTCTTTACATTTGTTCTGTTCACTCTTCAGTTTTCGATCAGATGTTAATCTTAAATCTTGAGCTACACGTGCTTTAAGAGACCTGGAATAAAAAGAAAAACTGTAAAGGAAACACGGACGCACAAAGAGAAACTTTCTGTCATCTTTTCTGAACTCTAACATTGTCCTCAATGTGGTCCACTCCCTCGCTCAAACACTGATGTAATGTTAAGGTCAGCCAACAGTGGCTTGACAAACCCACTTTCTCCTAAAGTTTGAAGCAGTTTTGTCCCAGGAAGGCAGAATTGATTTTCCAACGGAGCAAACTGGATGTAAAACAGAGCACACGAAAACAAGAGATCTACTCAGAGCAGTGAGAGACACGTTCAAAAAGCTCTTTTTGTCCATTTTTCTGTCTTTTGCTGATCCGTTGCTGTCCAAGGTGGTGTACTCAGGCTGTTTGCAGGGCGGGGTCACAATCAAATATGAAGTGTACATATTAGTTTTAAAACAGAGTGGTTTGATGTAGCTTATAATCAACTCACAAACTGTGCATGACAACCAATTATACTGTATAATACGGTTAAATTACCAATAAGGTTGTGTAATTTGGATTTCAGATACTTCAAGTAGAAGACTTTAAACTCTGGTGTCCTTGTTTTTTAAGAGAATCTATTTGGGCCTCTTAAAGTTGATGCAAAAGCTTCTTTGAATATTCAATCTGCTTAGATTTAGCTGGTGAAAATATTGGAGAAAAGGCTGTTTGGGAGGCAGTTTAACCCTTAACATTTACACCATATTGGCAGAGGCTTTAGACTTTGAAATACACAGTAGAGAAGAATCTGATGTGAATCATGCAGGTAATGCGACCAAACAGAGGAGAAGCTGCTTTATCTCAGTCAGCTGCTCAGTTTACAAAAACGAACAAAGTTTTCAGATTTGATGTAACATAAAGACAAAAAGGTAAATTGGAGAAGAGTAACTTTTATTTGGCCTGTTTGTGAACTCTTGGTATAAAACTGTGTACTATTGGCTGAGCTGGCGCCTTGACCTAGTTTAAACCTTAATAGTGTTGGATCATAATCTGCGCAAGTCAGCTGAGGACATGTGAAATTTCTACATGTTTACTATGTGTTATGATCACATGTACGAGAAAGTGAAGGAGTGTTTTCATCCGGAAAGAGTTTTTATTTTGTTCTTGAAATTAAGTTTTGACTTTTTCTAAAAATGTCCACTTAAATCACAAAAACACTTTTTTTTGCTTCTCTCTGGTACGACACAGTATTATGGCCACATTAGTAGAAAAAAAATAGACTTCAAGATTAAAGACGTTAATTTACAAGAATAAAGTTATTAATAACAAGAATAAAGTTGTAATAAAGTAATTACTTACGAGAATGTAGTCGTAGTAAAATCATTACAAGAAAATAAAGTCGTGGTAAAGTAATTACTTACGAGAATAAAGTTGTACTTAAATATTACCTAAAAGAATAAAGTCATAATATAAAGTAATTACTTATGAGAATAAAGTCATAGTAAAATCATTATGATATTTATGATAATGTGGTGATGATGTGCCGAAAGATTAAGTATCTCCTTGTTTAAGAAATCTATATTGAAGTACACTTTCACGAAATGCTCCATGGCTCTCATTTTAACAACTGTCATCTTAAACAACAGGTTAGAGGATAAGGACTTAATTCTGACTTTACTCTCATAAGTGATCACTTTAATACTTTAATACTCTGTCATTCTCTGGCTCTTACTCTTCCTCAAAAGATGAAGTACTTGTTGAAGAAATAGAAAGAAGTCTTACATGTAATATTTGGGGGGCATCATCCTGGGTTTTGGTAGACATTCTTCTGACTTAACGCAGCTGAATAAGAAATAAAGATGTTTTGAAAATGACTGACGTTCTTATTTATCATGAATGAGCTCCAGACCTCATGGCCAAAGGTTACAACACGCAAACCGATAAGGATAGATAACACCAAACAGTTCATATTATTTCATTATTAAAATACACACGCACATAAAACACTAAACAAGGGATTTCACCTTGTGAGGGCGTGTTTGTGTGTAAACTGCACACACAAAAACTTCGTCCTCGTCATAACGGTGTGATGTCATGGAACTGGTCTTTTGTGAGTGAAATCTGAGCACTAAAACATTGTATTCACACAGACAAACATGCATTCACTTGATGCCACAGCACTGCCTTCCATTTCCTCTTCACTGTGCTCTTATTTTCTCAGTTTTTGTGGACCACCTCAGCCGTACAATGCAGGTCACAACCACATATACAAATGACTGCGATCTTGAGTCTTTGAGTGCAACAAGTAGAAGCTGATTGATTCCTTTACTTTCACCTAGCTTTGTGTCATTATATGCACATTGTAAAAGGTTTAGATTTAAGTCCTGAGACAAACCGACGAGTTAGGGTTCGATTTGTGCAAAAAAAAAGAAAAAAAAATCATGCACAGGAACTGCAAAGATGTGCAAAAAAGAGAAGCAGCAGCTAAGATGTTGCAACACTTCAGTAACAGGTGAGTATCACCTCATATAAGCATTGATACTAAGACCAAAGCTGAGCGCTGAGGTCCATTCTTGCACGTTCATTCTAACTTTGATGGGCTGTCAGACGGCTGTAGTAAGGTGTTTCTAAAAATAGCCTCCCTTTATATAAAGATGCTGCACATGTGAGGCACACAAAAAGACTTTTATGTCCTGCTGAGAAAGCTGCTTGCTTGTGCTTTTCATCCTCCCCATCACTTCCCCTCCGGCAGAGCAGCGTGCGCCACCTTCCACTGCACATGCATGCACACACACAGGCATGTACAATCACATTAACGCAGCAGCAGCAGCTTAAGTGCTATCTAGCTCGAGCTCTGCAGTTTATAGAGAGGCTGCATGTTTTGGTGGTTACTCATCAACAAAGCAGAGCAGACTTAGTCTTTGTTTTGTTCAATGGCTGTCAGACAGATTTATTGTTACAAAGTGGTGCTATTTTTACTCTCCTTGGTTTTACAGGGATGCAAACAGGCTTAAATTTTACTTTTTTTGCGAATGATGGTTGAGATGTGAATAAGACAAACAACTAGCCTATTAGCTGTTTGTATTCTCCCGCTGGTTTCTACACTTTTCCTCACAAACAGACTCTAAAAGCTCTGAGAGAGCACAGAACAGGTACTTTCCCACTCCTTATAGACTGTGCTGGGCTCAGCTGCCCTTGCAAGTTTGATACAACAGACTTTCCCACACAGCATAACCAATTTGAAAAGCAAAAGAAGCACCAGTTATGCTTTATATCAGCTATTTCTTTAGGGGTAATGATTAGTAGTAGCATTTATATAGCTATTAATTTTATCTGTCACCTAGACAACGCAGGAAACGGCAACTTTTAGTTTGTGGTTCAAAGCTCTTCAAAGTTGTGAGGTAACAGGTACAAAGTCAGACACATGTGGGTCTCAGGAGGAAGACAGGGAGCATGTTCAACAAAATATAGTTACCACAGTTGCAGAAAATACAAACACACTCAAAGAGAGTGAGAGACACAGAGGCAGACACGCACTCGAAAATTAAAGTTTGAAGAAAGTGCAATTTTTTTTTTAAACTCAGTGTGGTCAGTGGATGATATTTCAAGTATAATGGGAGAAATCGTTGAAAAATGTCCCAAGAGTGAAGTTCAACCTCTAAATTCTGGGAAGAACTGATTAAATTATACGGCAATGAGCGTGTAAGTCAGAGAGACCACTTTCAACTCCTCTTGTTGCTTTGTTTTTCACAGAGTAAAGACGGCCCTGCAGGCTGAGATGTTACAGGGCGACAGGAGCTGGATTCGTGTTTACATAGTGAAGTACGCTGCAGAAGCACTTCGTGGTCGTGCGGGATTCATCACTCCAAACTTTGGATAAAATATGAAACATGCGATGTGTGAAACTGCGAGCTGCCAGCTCTGTAAACAACATGACCTTTATAGCCTTACATGGTCCTTTGTATGCATGTGTGTGTGCGTGTGTGTGCGTGTGTGTGTCCGACAGAAGCAAGAAATTTTACAGTCAGGGGGAAACACACTGGATCCCTTCAAACAACAGACATTGTTTTAGCATTCACGTTGAACAAATCATTCAGCCGCATGCAATGAGTGCGCATGGACACAACCACCCACACTTCAGCCTGAGTGTGTGTGTGTGTGTGTGTGTGTGTGTGTGTGTGTGTGTGTGTGTGTGTGTGTGTGTGTGTGTGTGTGTGTGTGTGTGTGTGTGTGTGTGTCCTCCTCTTTAAAGCATAACCCCTGATTGTTGGACCCTCCATCCTTGTTAGCATGTCAGGCACGGGACCCATATTGTACCACCCCACCTCTCTGAAAGTGATGAGGCTCCTAATGAGGAGTTGCTATGGCTACGGGCATGTAAAGACGTCAATGACCTGCTCTCATTAGCTCCCGACAACAACTTGGCGCAACACAGGAATTTTTTCTTTTACGCTGACAGCGTTGGGGATCAAACAAACTTGTCGCAAACCCTTGGCGTTCTATTTTTAACCACAGCAAGGTCACACCCCTGCAGGGACATGGAGCAGACGGCTAAAAAAATGACAACCATCTCTGCCCTCCTCATGCTCTTTACCACCTGTAGAGTCAGAGTTTGTTGACTTTAGCGAGAGAAAAAGTGAACATGACCTGATTTTTTTTTTATGAGCACTCACGTCACACTTTGAAAAACAGCCGTGAGTGACAGCTCTGTGCCAGGAGGACAAGGAATTAAGCAATCCCCATGACGTCAGCTAAACACTGGGCTGGGCAGGCACAATGGAGGAAAACAAAATGAGGATGAATGCACGCAGAAAGTGTGCAAACAAGGAGCGACAGCTGAAAAGCTGAGTGACGTAGAGCCGTGCTCTTACGATCTCTTTTACATATTCACTCTCTCCAATAAAGACTATTTACATCCAGCAGCCTAATGGTATCCTTTGTCGAATTGATTGATGTAGCCTATCAGTGTCAGCTCTCCTCACACTGATACAAACAACCACCTGTGGAGGAAAGAGGATCAAAGTGAGCTAAAAGCTTCTGCAGCAGGAAGTAGTTTATCAGTGGAAATAATGAACATCTATTGAGTTTGATCGTGATCTTTGTGAGGACACATCAAAGGCCAAATGCAAAAGCTCCTGTCTTCCTAATGAGCTTCCTGTTTAAACACCAAAAAGGAAAGACAGGAGACACAGGCGGGATGGAAGGTAGAAGGTTTGAATGAAGAGAAATCTGGTTTGTGAAGCTTCCAGTCGCCTCTTTTTGGTCGCTGTTTTTGCTTCTTTAAAGGACAGCTGAAGAGAGAAAGTAAACATGGTGAGGAGAGAGGAGGGGAAGACATGCAGCAGAGGATTAAGGCCAGGATTGAACCTGCAAGCACTGCAATGAAGACCACAGCCTCAACACTGGACTGTGCCCACTTGTGCGTCACATGGTCCATTCACAGTTTACCATACATCCCTCATCCTCAAAGAGCGCCTGGCTACTACAAAACTTATGTACAGTTTTTGTAGCACTCCCCTTTTTCTTTCAGACACACAAATGTTAGTTGTGCATTCAAATAAGCTGCAAAATATAGACTAAAACATCTGAACGAGCCAACCGGTGAAATTGACCAGGTTGTCAGTATTGTTTTCAACTCTGATGGAGAACAGAGAGCGGTTAGTATAAAGAGCAGCTGCATACAAATGAAATGCAGCTCCTTTGTGTATGTTTGTGCAAAGCTGTGGGCATGTTTATTAGTTGTCTAGAATGTGACCACTGTGAAAGTTATAGATCACACTCTCAGCTTCGGGCCCAGGGAGCAAGTATAAGTAAAGGGAGGTCTTATGGGCCTCTAATGATACAAACATGCTGTATTATTTTTGCACGGACCTACTACTCGCCTACTTGTTTGATGATCAAATATCCCTGCAAGCTAGGGCTGGGCGATGTGGTCTCAAATCATTATCACTCTTTATATTGAGCAGTTCACCTCGATAAAAGACTTTGTCTACTTCAGCCGCTACAACTTTTGAACCGTCCTCCATCTCCTCACCTGTCTTTCCCTCTTTGTTACTGACTGGATGGGGTGGAGTCACGTCTCTGACATAGGACAGTGTCTTAAAGGGACATGAGACAATAGCCTACCTACACACATCCAAAGCCAACTTTTATCTATTCATTTATTTATTAATTTATCAAGACACCGAACATACCGATATGGGCAAAATGACGTCGGTTAATTTCTGTATCTGTAAATCTTCGGTTTATCGCCCAGCCCTACTGCAAGCAGCTTGACGGTATATTCAATGTTGCATTTTTAGAGATGGAAAGTTTAAAATCTAAAAAAACAGACTGAAAATAGTTCAAGATACACTTGAAAAAAGACAACAGGCTGCAAAAGCACAGAGTGACGTCTCACAGTTTGCATAAGTTAGTGAGTACAAAGTTGTTAATCCTTTTGTTTTTCACTTAGACTCCACTACTCCACTCAATACTTTGTTATTGTGTTTTTCCCTTACTCATGGTTTATGTATGTGTGTGTCTGTGAGTATGAGTGTCATCATGGAAAGCAAAGGCATAATCAGGTTTACATTCCTGACCTGCTAGTTTTCGACATACCAGAGATAACTGAGTAAACCTGCGAGACTGGAGGGGGGAGTGTGAATCATGCTCCTACGTTACATACACACATCATGCCAAAAAAAAAAAGAGAGAGAAATCAACCACATGACCCGTGAACATACAAACACCCAGGGCTGACTGTGTGCAAATACACAGTGCACACACTGACAATGTAAATACGAAGGCACGAATGGATCAGCTCTCAAAGCAGTTCTCCGTAATTGCAGAGTAGAGAAAATGCATGATTTGAGGAAGTCTTAACAGAAGAGGTTTACATGCACAAACACACATATGCACACTCAGAATAACTCAGCACATTAAAGATGCTTCCTGCGTAACACCTGCAGAACTATTGAGGCCAGCACGCATAAAAAGATCAGGTCAAAGGTTTACGAACAAAGAAAATGAAGTGCGTGCTCTTTGAAGGACAGAAATGTGCAAATAATCGATTGATACACTAAAAGTTCATGAAAAAGACAGAAGTAAAGACACCTGTACAGTGGCTGATGAAGTGTGTGTGTGAGTGTATGTGTGTGTGTGAAAGGGGCTTAGTCTCAAGCAGGAGCGCGGGGACAAAGCATCTCATTCTGCTCCAAGCATGAAGGAGGACAGAGGAGGTAACCTGAGAGCCGTGACCGGGTATGAGAGAGGGGTCGGGGGATAAAGGAGACACGCACAGCTACTCTGAGGAAGCCTTTGTACGGAGTCCCCACCCCATTCGTATCCATCCTCCTCCTCCTCCTCCTCCTCCTCCATCCCCCTCTAGCTTGGTTCTGACCAAGTAAGCTGATAGGAACCTTGGATTCGATCCACTCTGTGCAACGAACAAATCACTGATTCATGACAAGAGGGAGGGACTGAAAACAGGCCTTTACAGGAGGAGAGAGGGAAAGTGTGTGTGTGCACATGTGTGTGTCTGTGTGTAGAAGAAAATAAAGGTGGATGGAAAAAATAAATGAGCAATTGAATAAGAATGTAGGTACTGCCATGACTTTATAGGCTATCTGTGTTTCACAATCAACACATCCCTTTTTATTGCTGAAATCACAGTCGGATCAAAGCGTATTTTTAAACTTATCGGGGAAACAATATTATTCAATCTGGATTAAATGATGCAGAAAAAGAGCTGTTTACACGGAGTCAACAAGAAATAAAAGCAGGAGAGATTGGGAATGCCATGCAACAAAACCCTTTAGGGTGCAGTTGAACCTTGAACGCTGCACACTGCAATTACATGCAGAGCTCCCTAAATCCTTGAGGTCAAAGCACCTATACTGTAGCAGGAATGGATAGTAATGGATTTTTGCATCAAAATAAGGCAACAAACCTCGATCACATACTTCAACAAAGTATCACTCCAAAGTATCTGATTTTATAGTTTTATGTTTGTATTTGAGCATGCACTGCAAAACAGTAACAGTAACATAGATTACAATGTTATCAATCAAGAAACTTTACTTTAATATACTTTAACTTGCAGCATGTTGAGGTAGCTTCTGCATGTACACAGAGACATGTGAATGGGAAAGACTGATCTTCTTGCTTGTTTAGTTGTTGGATGTGTCTTGATTTCCTCTGCATAAAGCTACTTTTAATTCTTATTTTGTTCAGTGAGGAAATTAGGCATTTGGGGCGAGCTGCGCAAGGTTTAATCACTGGGGAAGCATCTGCCTCTGCGCTGAAATAAGGAAATTTGCTGTATTGTAAATAGAGCCTTCAACAACAATAAACAACTGAATAATAAAGATGGAAGCTGGTGAATGACTCATGTAAACACAGGTGCTTCTGCGGCCTGTACTGACAGCTTTCATCGTGTATAAATGAGTTTCAGAAACAACATTTCTGCAGCTAATTGAAAAATGTAACTGAAGTACCACACACTCGAGCGTGTTTGCTCCATCCTCTACAAATACAAACACTCAGAGCTGCATGCTGAGGGCCACAATAGGCACATTACTGCACTCTGAGTCATCCCCTCTTCCTTTATTTCTGCCCCCTCTCATCTCCACATGCTGCTCTTTCTTTCCCTCTTATCGCTCCTCCACTTCTCTCCTTTATCTGCAGATCCTTAATTGAAGGAAAGCGGGAGAGTAAACACTTCAGGCTGTGCGCTGATTTTCATTCTGTCATTTTAATGCTGTTTCAAGGGGGTCGGTACGTTGAAGAAACAGCATTTGTTACTATTTCAAATACCCCGGATCCCAGGTAAAAAGACACACATTTGTTTTCCACTTGCTTCTAACACCGACAAGACTTTAATATTGAAGTCATGTGTTTGTCTTCTGAGGTAAGACTGCGGTTTTTGCCCATTTCCCTGCATGTGCACTCCGCACACACATACATCTACAGACAACTCAGGATACGTCTGTGTCACTCTAACACAGACTGACCCAACCCACCATGTCGGCCCTCACACTCGGCCCATTGTGCACTGTCTCCTCAAGAACACGCACATTTCACACACCTGAGATTAAAACAACAAATGACTTCAACTTCAACGATGAAACATCTCCTTCTGTTACTCTGACAGAATTAAAGACCCACTCCGATGAAAATCGTGTTTTTCTTGTTTTTTATATGTTCATGTGGCATTTTTCTGATGCTACAGGACATATGAGAAAACTAAATGCGAAATTGCTTTTCTGAGTATTTCTTTATTCAAATCGCTGTGAATCTCTGGCAGACCAAAACGGCAGGTTTAGAAACAGTGAGATTTCCTACGTAACCAATCCAAGCTCCGCCCCTGGAGCCCCGCTATGCAGGCCAGGCTCAGCGAAAAGGGGAGGAGGATCGCGGAACAAGCGTCTGCGTTCGCGGATTGCAATGCTCGTAAGAAAGCTAATTATGATATTAGCTTTCATCGTGTCCCTAAAGACATTAGTGTCCGAGAGCTGAATAGCTGCTATGTTACCTGCCACTCCTACTACACTGGCAATGTTAGGCTGCAAGCTAATGTGAAGATGAGCGTGCAGAGCAGCGCTGTCTCCGCCCACAACTCAGAGGCAAATTGCTAATGATCTACTGGAGCTCTGCAAATGAAAAGCCCTTGAAAATGACAGAAAGAACGTGATTTTTGGTAAAAACTTAATAATCATAATTTAAACACCATTGATAACACTTTAAGTAGTAAAAAAAAAACAATCAGAGTGGAACTTTAACTCTTTCAACATCTTATTTAAAATCTGTAGATTTTGCTCATATTCCAGTTGTTTCAATGGTAATAAAACTTCACAAAATCATCTTTTCTCTTTCTGTCACATCCAAATATGTGTGTTTATCAGTCCTCGATCTCCAGAGCTCTCTCTCCCCTCAAAGAGCGCTGTGTTACTGTTTCTCTCTGACTGACTGGTACAAACTTTTCACATGTTTACGGCCACCAAATGCCGTTCAGTGCTGCTCTGTTGCTCCCAATTGGATTACAGCATGAAACCGTTTTCCCCGGTGCTAATCTCTGGATTAGTATCATAAGGTCTCCTTTACTCAGATCAAGAGAGGAATGCAGGGGCCCTAGGAGCACATGAATGACAAAATATGGGTTGGCCTTAAAGACTGACTCTGTTTTATTGGATCTCATTAACCTGGTCTTCTTGGCCACTAAAGAATAATCATATAAAGTCGTGCACGTATTCGACTGGTAGAGAAAGGAGTGTTGTTTTTACTGGGAACTCGAAATTACCCATCTATCTTTACTCAACAATCGAGCTCAGTGCATCGAGTTTATGTACAGCTCAATCCAAACAAATAAAAGGAAAGTACCTCTGACTGCAGGTTTCGCTCTCACAGGGTCGGTTTGTCTCATCCAGACAACAAAACAATGTTTGAAAAAGTGTCTGTTTGTTGAGCTTTTATTGTCATAAGTCGCCATCATTTGCACAGCTGTTTTAATAGCAATGAAACCACTAATGTGACTGGCTAAGATGTGTTTGTTTATCACCACACCCTCTTACACATACTCTACTTTATCCAGTCTGTTATCTGCTGCACACAAGTGCGCCAAATACATGTTGTTATGAAATGATTAAAGGGTCCTTACACTCAAAATATAGACACAATTACTCAAAAGGTGAGCAGGAAATATAAAGCCACTCATAAAAATGGTGATTGTTATGGATTTGAGTCAAAATAGAGCCTGAAAACAGTTTGATAACCTGTATGTTGATGCTTCCTTAATCTCTTTGGAAGTGTGTTGGTAACACAACAAAATACGAATCTTTTACAAACTAAACTTTTAGTAAACTGATTATGCCTCCCAAATTTTAATTTCAGATCACAATCTCAGCTGTAACCAAAAAAGCCAAACTATTATAATCTCCATCATTCCACCTCTCTTCCTCTGATACACATCGCCGCCGCTGCTGGGCCCCTGTGCAGCTGTGTATATGTGCGTGCGTGTGTGCGATTGTGTGCGTGCGTGCGTGTTTTGAATAATCAAATGTCCTCGTGTGTATGTTAAGCTTTCTCTGCAGCACAGCCGGCAACAGCCAGGGGACAGCAGGCACAGTCAGTCATGCAAAGCTGTTCTGCTACCATGCAAATGTGGCAAAAACACAGTTAGAAAGGGACAGAGGGGAGGGGGTTTGGGTAAGCAGAAGTGAAATGTTGTTGTGGGTAGACACCATTTCCTCTACAGAAGTAATGTTCTAGTAGAAGTAATTTAAGAACCTGAAGTTCTGAGGCAGAGACCTCATCACAGGTTTATGCATCAAGCTGCCAGTTTCACTCTTATGTAAAATATTCACCCCTGCAGCTGTGTCTTCTGAAGTCGTGCTGCTAAAATGAGCTCAAATTAAACTAATAACTTTATTTAATGTAATATTGTAAGAATAAGAATAAAAATAACTTTATTTTATCCCCGAAGGGAAATTCAGTTGTCTGTGGCCTCAGTTATCATGAGATTGTATGTATTTCTATGTAACAAGTTGCAAATTGTTCAACCGCTGGGAGTTTGACACACTGTGATTTTTCTCTGAATGAACAGCAGCTCAAGTAAAATCAACTTTAGTCCTTCTGCTAGGGTGACCATATTCTGACTTCCCAAAAAGAGGACACGACTACACAGGGGCGGGGTCACAGAGTCACACGAAGTTAATTTTGAGAGTTTTTCAAGTCAAATCGAGGGATTAGTACACACTTCTAACTCAGTAAGTCCACGTGACACAAAATCAAAACTTGCATACAACACCGTGGACATCTGAAGGGTTTTATAAACTTCCCCGGACAAAGCCGGACAGCCCCCCAAAAAGAGGACATATCTGAGTAAAAGAGGACGTGAGGTCACCTTACCTTCTGCCAAAGCTCATACATCAATCCGAATGTGTCACAAGACATTATAGAAAAGACACTAAATCTCTTGCTAGCCAGGAATGTTAGCCACTGATATGTCCCCTAATGGTAAGTGAGACAAGATTGTTTGACTGCTAAGCCAAACTAGTGCCCTTAACTGGCAGCTAGACCTAGCTAACTGTATATTAATTTAAAACGTTTTTTGTCGAAGGTAGCGAATGTGTTGTCGAGTATGTTCTTTAAAGCTGCCGTGAGGAACTTTTGGTTTGTGTCAAGTTTGTTGCTCCCTGTGGATGAAATGATGCCTCTTATCTCAGTAGAGATTGCAGACAAAAAAGTATAAATCAGCCTTTTTGTTCTGGATGAAATTAATCGTCTGGACTGACACCTACCTTCAGCCATTTAAAATTATCAGCCTTTGTGCTCATGTGTTTTGAAGATCTCATTAAAGCATTAGTATCAGTTTCAGTTTATTTCTCAACTAGTTAAAATCTCCTTACAGTGGCTTTAACTCTGAAACGTGGCCTGACTGTGACCCAGGAAGTTTGGGCTCATAAGTAAAGTGTATTTGCCAGTTCTGGTGCATTTTAAATATCCAAAAAGCAGGACACATCCGTCTTTAAAATCTGATCATATGCGGGGAGGCTTGTGGAGCTCAGGGTTCAAATTTAGCCTGAGTCTTGACCTACAGCAGTGCTGACCGTGGACTTGTGTCATTTCTTTGGCAAACAATGCGACCTTGTCCATCAAACTTGGTCTTTATCTGGTAAATCAGGGCCAACTGTTGTGTTGCTTAAGACCCAGTGCATGTGTGTGTGTGTGTGTGTGTGTGTGTGTGTGTAAGAGCACATGTGCAGGAGAGTGAGGTAAACAGGAGGTGGTGTGTATGATCCCATTCCCAGGGCCAAGCTGCTCCTCCAGGGAGGTAGATAAAGAAACAGCTCCTTCCAAAACGGAGGTGGAAACAATGGCCAGGGCAGGGGCTCTCAGCTGCAGCTGTGTCTATGTGTGTGTTTGTGTGTGTTTGTGTGTGTGGTTACTCATATTTCTTTGTGTTTTAATCAAAGCAAAGAATAAAAAAAAACTTCTGTCCTCATCCTTCTTGGTTTAGTGAGTGTGTTCTGCTGCAGAGGCTTCTTCATAAGACGAAAACAATTGTTGGTTAACGCAAAACAAATCGGTCGTGAAGTTTCTTGTAAAAAGATCAAAAAAATAAATGATGTTTGATCTCAAGACCCCTTTAAATGCTCCAATGGGACCAAGTAACTGGGAATATGGATCCCACCGCCTCTGGATTCAGCTCGGCTCACTGGTTGTTAAATGTGATATTACTCATCACAGATTAGTCTGGCAGCATGTTGAATGATCCAGAAATGTGACCGCAGCCGACGCCGTCAGGACACAACAGGTTTTCTCTTGTGTTCACACTCTGACACACACACGCTGGCTCATTCACGCATTAAACACACCCACTGACGTCAGCGCAAAGCGAGCGCATCCAACTGATGACGAAATAAAAGGTTGTAGGTGTTGAAAGTAAACCGTTAAGCTGGCACACCTTTCGGCTAACGAGGCGAAGGTAGGCATGGAAAATAAAAGGCTAACCGTGCTAATCTATGGCGCCCCAAGGCCTGGCTTAACCTGTTGTTTATGTCGGATACACACCTGAAAACGTGACTCATCCTTGCCACTTCACAATTTTTTGACTCATCATGAGAGCAGTCATTCAGAAAAACTTGCACTGACCCCCTGGAGGCAAGAAAGTGAATTCCCCATATTTTTCCACTCACTTGAAGGGCGCTCAAGAAGGCAAACAACAAAGATAAGGCGTGGAGGAGAGTGGCGTGAAAGAGGGGGAAAGTGGATGAAGAGGAGGAAGAGGACCAGAGCGTAAGAGGAAGTTGATGATAAGGCAGGCAGAGCGGGACCGGAGATTAGTGGATAAAGAGAGGAAGTACGGGATTGAGAGAGGAGGTGTAGGGAAAGGCACAAGACGGGGAAGAGTAGGAGGTAGATCTGCCAAAGACGGATAGAGGAAACAGACGTCAGCGGCTGTTTAACCCAGGAAACAGAGGAAAGGTGAGAAAAGGAAAGGGAAGAAGAGGGAAGGAGTCTTATTTTTTTGGCTTTAAATCGAGGGCATGGTTGAAACAAGAAAGTAAGGTGACAAAGGAGAACTGAAAGGAGTCAGTGAGGCCTGTCTCACAAAAGAGCAAATACACCAGAGCTGCATCATGGTTGAATAAAGACAGATCTCTAGTTTCAAGGCCACAATATTTTCCATCAGAAGCAGACAGTCGGGGAGGAGGAGGAGGGTGGAGGCTTCATGGGACTTGAGCTTGACTGAGAAAGTTCTTCTTACCATTTGTGACCAAAGGTGGATTTTGATTTCTTGCCCGAGAAGCTGGGAAACATCAAGAGACTAAATAAGAGATACAGGACAGGCCTTCACCCTGGTTTGGTGTTGGAAGTCGAATCTGGCGGAAAGTGTGCTTCTCCGCAGTGGAGCGAACGGAAAAACGTGTCAATGGAACAGAAGGAGGGAGCCTGTGAATAAACAGAGCCAGTGACTCACCCTTTCTGGGATGGGAGAGATGACGGGGGGAGGGGGGTGCGGGGTACCGAACCGCCTTCACTACCCCGCTAAATGCTCTAAACACACCAACATGGGTATTCATGCGTGCACACACAGTCTAAATCATGTGTCGCGCTCAGTTGGCTGGACCAGGACAAGCTGCCTATTGTCCAAATGTCCCACCTAAAGCTGCAGTTCCGAGCAGAGCAGGAGTGTGTTTGAGAGATTTAGGGGATTGCTAAGCGAGTGTGAGAGTGGGTTTATGTTTGCATGTGCGTGTGAGTGTGTGTGTGTGTGTGTGTGACAAGGCTTGGGGAAGGATGGGGGTTATTTTTAATGGGAATCGAAGTACTTCCTCTGAACTTTTTCTCTTTCTTGGTTTTGCGAAAGTAGAAAAGAATATCCAGGGGTTTACAAGGGATCAAACACAGCAGGGGACACAAAACAGCGGAACAGACTGATGCGTGTGTTTCATGTGTTTTAAGAAAAGGAGGAACTGCAATCAAAGGGAGGATAGTGAACATGCAAAGTAGAAATAATGATTTAAATTATGGCGCAGTTATCGTACAAATAGATCCATCAGCAATCGCAGAGCCAAAGAGATGCAAATATGACTAAAGATAGCTTTATCTATCCTGATGATAAATTAAGTGTGTAAAATCTGCCACAAAGACTCTCTTGGTGAAGACAAAGACATTTGTGAGCTGGTGGCATGTAAGTCATCTTTACATTTTAAAGTGGAAATTTTATATTTTAAATTGATGTCTTAATTAATAAACCAATAAATCGAAACACAGTAGTTTCCCAAGTGTGATTGAAACATTAGAAACCACATACAAAACCTGTTTTTAGAGCAAAATAAACACGTTTACAGCCCAGTTTACAGACGATTTTGGTTCAGCTCAGAAATCTCACTGTGCAAAGAGTGAGTTTCTTTGTAACTCCATCCTTTCAAAGATATGAAGGTTACAAGATCATCAAACTTGATTGATAGTCAAGCATATTATAGCCATTTAGAGGCTAAAGGCCTCTCTCTAGTAGGTTGAATGAAAACCAGCTTGAGTCAGCGTCACCAACATGGCAACCGCTGCAAATTGGCTCCTCCACAGAAACAAACGGGGGACACCCTCCACACTAGATCCAAAACAGTCTAGACCAAACTCTTTATGACATTTACACAGATCCAGCATCAAGATGGGATTGGATTAAGCGCCATACCGTGTGTATAGACTCACACTTTACTCTTCTAATATTGGTGACTAATGAATTTTTTGGATCCTCTATCCCTCTTTGAGTTTGTTCATTGTGTCGATCAGAGAGGAGAGTAGGCCTCTACTTTTTTGTGCTGGTACAACGGGGCTGAAGATGTTGGGAAAAAAAGAGGTTAAAGAAAAAAATGGAAGAATCTTTTTTTTTTCTGCTGGCAAAGGAGTCTTTTCTGAAATAGATGATGTTAGACAGAAACCACAAACTGGTACCCGGCGTACATTTAAAATAAATCCACATTCCTTCCAAAAATACTGGAAAAGTTCAGCACATCTGACAAAACTCTTTGCGATTGTTTAGCAATGAAACAGGCGGAGAGTTTTTGTTTTCATGGTGACCATCAAGCCCTTCACATATGAGCACAAATTTCTCAAATTTTCAAGAGTTTAAATGTATAAAGGGGGATCTGATTTTTGCAGATTTCATTGGCTGAGCTGCTTTAAATAGTACCGCGTCTGTCATTCATGCATGCATTTATTATTGATTAGAACTGTTGTGGTTATCAATGCCAAAGCCATAGCTGTGTGAGTTTTTCTGAAATCCGTTTTTGTTGAACCATGTCCAAAAGTAATCCAACACTGAAAAAAAGTATTAAAGCAGTCTTAATAAAAACCAAAACACATGGTGAGACACAAAAAGATCGCCTGTGGCAGTGCCTCCTTGTCACATGTCTTAAATTTGCTTTTGAATTTCCGTTCTGGTCTCATGTGATTCTAATAGTTTATCAATTTAAAAAAAAAAAAAAGGATATAAAAAATGAAATCAAAGTAAGGCCACACTGCAGCTACTAGCCGTTACTTGGATGAAGATGAAGCATCAGTTTATCTTCATCCCAGCCAGTCTTGACAACAGAAACAGAGAAATGAATGCTAAAAACACATGCTAAAGAGGGAAAACAAAGGCTGTTTTGCACAAAAACAGATTAGCAGAGAGGGTAAGCTAAAACCAGTATTTTCTGGAATATTTGCGATAGTTGGAGTTTTCATAAAGCCGCTCTGAGCAGGCTGTGGAAATCTGCTAATCTAATCACCCACCGCGCTAACCAGCAGATTCAAACACACATGCCCCGTTCAAACTATATCACAACTGTGGGGGTGATGCTAATGCTAAGTGTGGTCAAAATGCTTATTGTGCCCATTCGTTGCCATATAGCAAAGTACGTGAAAAGAAGCAGTGAAGCTGTTCAAAGAAAACAAGACCATATTTCCCATAACACCCTTTGCTTCCTGTTGCAAAGAGGATGTCAATACTTCTCCCCCTCCCCAACCCTGCAGCATGTGTGTTTTTGACTTTTCTCTTTTCAGTTTTGCAAAGAGCATTTGTTTCAAGGCGCTCATCTGATAGGTGTTACCTGTTTCTTTTTTTTTTTTTTTTTTTTAAAGTGATTGCTTTGGTAAAATTTAAAAAGCTAAATGTCATTTTTTATGTTATTTTTTAAGATTTGGTAGACAAATAAGTTTCAATAAAGTGAATGCCGAAGGAAGAACTATGAGGAAGACACACAGGGTGTAAACGCTTCTTCTCTTGAGGGGCGGCTAAGAGATTTTAAAAAAGGCCTGATGAGACGATGTCTTTACGTGTGATATGCAAAGCCTCGCATGTTGCAGTAAGGAGAAGTGAAAGAGAGTTTAGATCTTAAAAAATGAGGACACTGAGCCAAGTGACAAACAGAACCATTCTGACATTATTTATACATTTACAGAGGGCATTTTAATTAGACGTTAAACTGATTTGAAGTCTGTATCAACAATGGAAAGCAATTCTCATCAGTGTCTTGATTTGGGAATAAAAGTAATGCAATGAGATACACTTTTTTTACTTGACTGTTAGTTAAATTATCCAAATAAATGCTGCTCCAATGTGTTCTGCACCCACTAACGTAATATAAGGTGGTTTTGACTGAGCTTTGGACTTTTTAAGTGAAATGTGCCGTTTAGAAATGCTGTGGTGTTTGTTATTTTTCATCACTGCAGCACTAAGAAGCAAGAAGACACTGCAGCCGCTTAACAACGGTGTGTCAAAAGGGACAAAATAGTTTTCACAAAATTAAAAATAAAATAATAAGCCTGTTAATTTCTGACTCTTCACATACTGGTGGCGCATCAATGCTGTCAAACCTCTTTTGCAAAACATACTCTTTAAAAGTCAGATCTCGCTAGGCATCTGCAAAGCGACAGTCTCCATATTTCTTGAGTTTGAACTTGTTTAAACTGCGGCGCACCTGTTGGCCCCGGCACTAACACTGGGATAAAGTGTGTCCTTTCACTAACTCTCTGCCCATCAAGCATCCCTCTGCTGCTCTGCTGTGCTCAAAGTGTCATAACAAAGCCTGACTGGACGCTGCTCTCTTCCCACTGTGTGAGGGAGAAAATGATAATTGCTGTAATTAGAGCGGAGGAAAAAATTGTGACATTTGCCACGTTTCTCAGAGGCAGACACATTAAACACTTTGTCTGCTTGCATTTTTGAACCCTTTATTATACGATGAGAACAAGAGGGTGTAAACAAAGGTTTTTGTGTGAGACTGGGACACAAAAACAGAGTGAAAGCTGCTGTATAATAGAAGCAGGACACCAGACAAACAGATTTGAAAGTTTGCCATGAAAGCATTACACATGAACTGTCTTCTGAAGGAAGCAAACGCCCAGTTCTACCTGATATACCACCCTCCCTGGCACATGTACTCACATGCACACATTTCTTACCTTTGTGTCAACGATGGAGCAGGCGATCTGCTTCACATAGGCCAGGTCTGCAGTCTGCGGCATGAGGACAGATTCTCTGGTCAGGCCAATCTGGATGATGAAGGAAATCCCTGCAGGAGTAGGAGGCAGTGAAGGTAACAGAGGACCCTGCCCTGGTGTCAGGTCCATCACAGAGAAACCAGTATGAGAGGGTGTTGAGGGCATGGATATAGGGGTCCCCTGCTGCATCACAGCTGAGCCTGGAGGTGAGGACCCTCCAGGAGGGAAGAAGACCTGGGCCATTGGCCCTGCTGAAGACATACATGGGCTAGCGTTAGCCATTCAGAGTCCTGTGTGCTGGGTGCTGGGAGAAATCAACAAGTCCTCACAAACACACGTCCAGGTGTTTGAAAGTTGTCAGAAAACCCCACACTCATTCAGACTCACACACAAACACATGGACACTCTGAGCACAGTCCACTTCCTCCTGTCCTGTGTCCACCCCCCTCCCTGTGGATCAAGGAAGATCTCCTCCAGCAAGCAGTGCCTTTTCTCCTCTTTTCAGCCTCTTCTTCCTCGATCAGTCGCCGTCAGACTTCTCTTATTGCCCAGGTATGACAGGCATGAACAAAGTGTGTGAGGCAGTCATAAAAGAGGCACACACATGCGGGGTAAAAACTACCCCCACTACCCTGCCCCTGCTGCTTTTCCTCCTCCACCCTTTTCCCTCCTTCACCTCTCTGGTCCGAGGAAGTTGCTGTGCAGAGGAGAAAGTCCAAACTTGATTGTGAAACTCTCCCAGGCGTGGGAGAGAAGGAGGAAGAAAAACAAAAGGCAAACTTTTTAGTCGTTGCTCCTCTTCCAGGCTGAGTTACAAAATGGCCTCCTTGAACAGGAAACTGTGAGAATGAAGGAGAGCAACACACTGCTCTAGTTTTACGAGTCTTGCCCTGTTTCAGTTTCAGCTCTGGTTCTGTCTTTTTAGTGAAAAAGCACAGAGAGACAGACAGAGAGCTGTGTGGGTACCTCCCTCTCCTCCCTCCCTCCTGCCCTCTCATCTGGTTGCTTTCTGGAACAGAAAAGAAGGAAGTGAAATGACTGACACAGACAGGAACCAATAAACTCTCAGAAAGTCCCGCCTCTTAGACGCCCTGCACTCCCAGTTTTCTCCCTCCTCTTTATCCTCCCTCCCTCTCTCTCCCTTCCTTGGTTTGTGGGTCTTGTTTGCTTCCTCCCTGAGATCCTCTTACACAGCCTGAGGGGCTCAAAACACCCTCCCACTCTTCATTAACCTCTTTCTCTCTCCCTTTAAACCTTATTTGTCACATGCTACACCTTTTTCTCTTTACATTTTTAATCAAAGTGCAGGTCAAAGTCACTCCCTGTGGAAAGTTGCTTGAATGCAAAATGAAAACCAGGTTTCAGTCAAGAAAAAAACAACTTTCATGAGACACACCAGGACACACACTGAGGCTGGGTGGCCACAATCATTAGCATAAATGTGACTCTACAACAATGTAAATGGGAGATATGAAACTGTGACCCTCACCTTTGGTTGGGCTGTGCAAAATTCCCTCAGTGGTCTTCACCAAGTCATCAGATCAAGCTTCACTCTGCCTCCTTGAATGAGCAATTCATTAAAATAGATTAACCACAGACTAATGCGCCCTGCCAGAGTAATGATCTACCGAGAGAGCTCAATAATCAAGCAGCAAGAGTCTGAGGTTTCTGTTTTCTAACATAAGAGGGCGCTGTTTAGTGAAGAAGCCACAGGGCTGCTTTATTTCTGTTTCACCTGGGGGACTGGTCCCACAATACCTGAAAGTACAGGAGACAGTGTATAGCATTCAGAGAGAGAAGATTAGATAAAAGGTTATAAAGTGTAGATTACATCCTCCTATGAATGCAGAGTCTGCCAACAGCGTGCAAAAGATCAGAATGAAGCATAGACTCACCAAAAACTGAGCCAGACCTCAAAGAAATTCCTCTCCGCTAGTTTTAGAGAACATGTGATTTTGGCTTCTTGGTCACATTTGAAGGCGAATTTTTTAAAAAATACTTATGTGTCATGGTGAGGAGGAATTTGTTAAAGAGAAACCTACTTTTTCCAACTCTGGAAAAAAAAATTTCTATTGTGACAGAAATATTGTCACCATGTTCTTTTTTAATTTCACAACTTGTGACACTGTAAACTGACATGTATTTATTTTAAGACTTTTTAAGGCCTCAGGGCCACAGAGACTGTTGATGTTTTTAAGAAGAGGCTCAAGACTCACTTTTTTAGTCAGGCTTTTCACTAACTGCCTTTTTATATTTCTCTTATTGCAAATGTTCATTTTAATCAAAGTTCTTATTGTTTATTTTGTGTCATTTTATTAATTATCTCTGTTCTTAGACTTTTTCTTAATTCCCGTCACAGGTTTTTACTTCTTTTACCCCTTTTTTATTTGGTAAAGAACTTTTACTTATCTGTTCATTTTATTTTATTTTATTGTTTGAGTCCATCAGCCTCTACTCTTTCTTTATCATTTTTACCATTTTTATTTCTATTTTTATCTCCAGTGTTTCCCAGAGGTAGCTCTTTCCTCACGTAATGTCTCGGTGTCAGGCCATGTCTCTCTAACAATACATCTTAAATTCTCACACTGTGTGCGGTTGTCTGGATGAGTGAGTGCGTGTGGGTCCATGTCTGTGTGTGTGGGTAGGAGGGTCGGGTTTTATTGTCATTGTTTTTTAGCCTCTGTGAGGCACTTTAAACGGCATTCTTTGTATGAAAAGTGCCATAAAAATAAATTTGAATTTGAAGTCATTTTCATCAGATAAATCAATTGAATTTCCCCACAGGGATAAATAAAGTTCCTCATCATCATCATTTTTACACATATTACTTAGCCGTGACTCTTTTAAGAATGAGTTCCTCCATCAGTGTGAAGTGTGTTACTCTGATAGCAGACTTCAGCTCCTCAGTTTTGTCCTTCCTCCTCACAGTAGTACCTCTCAGATTCATTCAAACACAGTATGGTGGTCAGTAAACCCTTCAGCTGTAGTTCTGGCGCGGTGGGCGGGTGTAAAGTTCCCTGCTGGAAAAGAAAACTGGCATCTCCGGAAATCTTGTGAGCAGACGGAAACCTCTTTGTTGATGGCTGTAATGACTCAACACACGCAGATGGCACTGAACCTAAAATCATCTCAGACAAACTTCACACTGGACTTTCAAACACCGTGGTTTCTAAGACTTGCAGTATGCTTGTCGCCAAAGTGCATCTGGGTCTGGGGGTTGAGATTCGATAGACTGAGGAGGCATTGGAGAAGGATGCATTAAGGTGTAGATGCTTTGGCTTATGCTATGTGAGTCAGGATGTGTTAAAGGGATATTACGGCATAAAATTAATTTGGGGTCAAACACGACGTAACACCGAGTTAAAAACCCCCTCGAGAGATGAATGTTGCCGACCAAAGTACCTTAGCAAAGAGACTGAACACAACTCACCTACTCTCTTCCAGCAGCCACTTGTTTGTAGCGAGACCTCAAGCTAGTCCATTACGGACTGCAGTGGGGTGACACAGCTCAAGGAAGAACATTTATGAGACCGAGATGCTAAGGCAGAAGAACTACCGCGTCTGCAGTGCAAAATGATTAATATGATGATTATTACTTCAAGGAAATGATAAAGTAATGATCATGCTGGAATAGAGTAGGTGAGTTGTGTTTAGTCTCTTTGCTAAAGAAACCACGCAAAGCTAAAAAGATGTTTGGTGGCTAGTGCTATGGCTAGGACCCTATATGTCCTGTTGATGAAGTTAGGTGCTGTTCTGAACATTATTTGTGGCTGTAGAGTGGCGTTTTGGTTGATGCTTGTTGGCTCCTGAGACTGCTGTGTATTGCGATCATGGGGTCTTTTCTTAAGTTGGTATAACTAGAGAAGCAAGTGGACGGCAACATTCATCTCTCGAGGGGGTGTCTAACTCTACTCAGTGTTACGGTGTTTGACCCTAAATTAATTTTACACCGGAATATCCCTTTAATCTGCCTTTGTAATCTGCTATTTCATAAAATTTGTGCTGTTTATGAGTTTACGCTCAATAGAGCTACTGGTGAAATAAATATATGAACTGGGGATACTTCCACTGTGATTTTTATGCAACTCCTGTACTCTGTGCTGCAAAAAAGACAAACACAACTCTCGTTTCACTGTACAAAATCTTCATTTTTTGTTTTTTTTCTTCCTTAACGACATACAACAGGGGACCCGTAAACAAAAAGGGAAAGTCATTTGATACAAGCTAGAATGCAGTTCAAAAATATATAATAAAACAAGATCAATAAAAAGCAGGTCTCTTATCCCTTGTAGTTAGAGGAAATAGTTTGAATACAGCTTAATATGATGTACAAAATATCACACAGTGATAAATTGCTAATAAAAAAATAAAAACACAAAAAAATGAGAGTCCTTTACCTTGGCCTCTGACTGGTGACAGATTTTTTTTCTCTTGTTTTTTCTTCATTTTTCATGTTTTTTAATCGTTTTGCTTTTTTACAAGTTATACATTGCCATTATCAATCACAAGCAAGATCTATGCCTAGCAAGGAAGAATGATTCACTTATGATACTACAGTATTCTTACATCTTAATAATCATAATCAAAGAAAAAGAAATGCAAGAAAGAATAACAAGGAAATGATGGACATTTACAGCACGTAACGGCATCTCCAGTCATCATTTACAACCTCGGTTTCAATTTCTTTTCCATGTGTTTTTTTTTTTTTTTTGATGTGTCATACTGATTTGTCTTTCGGGAAAAAAAACAAGAGTATCAGTAACTCTGTGTTAAATAACTGAGCTAGAACAGGCTCAAACCGTGTAGTACATACTCCAGATTGTAGTAAAAATACCTGCAGATACCTCAGGATATCTGCACCCTGTTTCTTACCACTCCACAGCAAGAGCAGCCACTATATGATGTAGTGCAAAGTGGAGCCAAATGAGCAGCAAAGGTACAATACACAGTTGCACCTGGTTGTTCTCTTGTTTTTTCTCCACCACCCTGTTAGAGCAAATAAACTCTGAACTAGTGTTCTAAATGATTTACCTTGAGGCTCCTCTGACCCCTTGTGTAACCCTGTAACCTTCAGGAGGTGGAGGGTGACCACTAAACATCAAATCTGATCAATCTTCTTTAGTAAACTTACTGAAATTGCCTGTTGAGTAGCTTCTTTTTGAAATGACAGAAGTGGCCTAACTTTATTGAACTCTCTTTTATATTAAGCAGGAGCTATTTCTCCCTGCGTGGCTCCTTTTACAGAAAGAGGAAACCAGCTTTCCACCCGTAGCTCTCTGGGTAATGTGCTACTGAATGTGCAATTAATACACATCAAACAAGAAGAGCAAGGTTCTTTGTCGAGCTGAATAAATAACAACAAGCCCCGTCTGCAAACTGGCACCCCCTTTACATGAAATGTCGGGTGGTCCTCACTACAATTAAGTTAGCTCCGTACACTCCCCCCCACCCTGAAGTCTGGTGGAAGAACCCACATGCCTCCATTGAGAAACCTTAACAGTGACCGTTCTGAAACGCGATGACGGATTATGAAATGAAATGTGGTTTCAAAGGCGGGTGAGTGGGAGAGACCCAGACACTCTTCTGTCACGCAAACACACACACACAGGTCCCTGATTCTGACTCAAGACTAACAAGGTCTGTCATAGCACCGTGATTTTACTAGTGCATACACACACACAAACACACGCTCACTTATGTTAAGTAAATAGCAAAGAAGTGTCGTCATCAGTCTGAAGAGTGGAGCTCAATCTGTACATACTGTAGAAATGGATCATGATTGTGGAAATGTGCTGATTCGATTATACAGCAGAGTGACATTCAACCCAACACACGCAAAATCAGAGGCGGAGTCATCGGGACGCTGAAGGACTCACACAGACAATGTGACTTTAAGTGTGTTGAAATTAAAGCTATTGGTTCAAACACTAGTTAGCAACTGGCAAGCGACTCCACACATCACACACACACACACACACACACACACACACAGCTTAATTCTCCATAACACACACTCTGCCCGCCGGTATCTTTGGAATGTAATACATTGATTCCCAATAAAGATGTGGTCAGGTGTTTCTCTGCCCACACTGGGAAAGGTTTTCGCTTTTAGTCATGCTCTCGTATGTATGTATGTTAGCCACAAGCACTTTGTTAGCTGTTTAAAAAAAAAAGATTCACGTGAAATGTGTCGGAATATGAAGTGCAGTGCGTGTGTTTCCTCTCAAGTACTCAGTGTAATATGGGTTCAAGCGCCAAAAGCAAAACACACATACACGGTGCTTTGCAATAGTTGGTAAACTGACGGAAAGTAAAGGAAGCAGAAGTAGATATTAGTGTAGAAAACTGTTTGAAAACAGAGCAGCCGGGACTTTAAAGTTATAAAAAAGCAGTGTGGTTAGTATAACAAGAAGTCACTGAGGCATCAGAGGACAAGGAGGGGTTACAAGGAAGGGGTGTCCTGTGGCGATGACCCAGCCAGTGGGGTGCAGGACAAGTTGTGTAAGAGTGTGTATGTGTATGTGTATGTGTGTGTGTGTGTGTGTGTGTGTGTGTGTGTGTGAGCAGGTGGAATGCATCCACGGTAGTCTTCAGGCTCTTTTGGCCCAGTTGTTTTAGAAGGAATCTAAAAAGGATAAAAAAGAAGATTGATGCCGTTAGACTGAGCAGGTTAGAAATACTGACTGACTACATTAAAGGGATATTCTGGCGTAAAATTAATTTAGGGTCAAACACACCTTAACACCGAGTTAGACACCCTGCCAAGAGATAAATGCTGCCGACCACTTGCTTCTCTAGTTATACCAACTTTAGTAACAACCACAGTTAGCAGTACAGAGAGCCCCGCGCTCAACCAAAAAGCTGCTCTATAGCCACAAATAATGCTCAGAACAGCACCTAACTTCATCAACAGTACATATAGGGTCCCAGCCACAGCACTAGCCACCAAACATCTTTCTTTAGCAAAGAGACTAAACAAAACTCACCTACTTTCTTCCAGCAGCCGCTTGTTTGTACTGACAAGCGGCTGCTGGATAAGAGTGGGTGAGCTGTGTTTAGTCTCTTTTGCTCTCTGTATTGCTATCTGTGGTTGTTACTAAAGTTGGTATAACTAAAGAAGCAAGCGGTCAGCAACATTCATCTCTCGACAGGTGTCTAACTCAGTGTTACGGTGAGTTTGACCCTTACTTAATATTACGCCGGAATATCCCTTTAATAAAACAGACCAGAATCATTACAACCAGTAATGAATCATTTGACTTATTCATAATAAATACAGGAACACGCTGCATTATTCAGAGAAAACAAAACACAATCAGTTCAAATTTCTGATTTTCTTTCAGGATTTCTGTTGGATGGTATAACAAATCTCACTCTATGTACACAAGTCAGCGTTTTGTATCAAGATCTTTTATTTTAACTAACTTTATCTTGGTCCACATATCATTGTCATCATCCAAAAATTCAAAATCACAACTCACCAAAATGACAACTCTGCTGTCAGACAAAGATCTTGGCAAGTGCATCTGCGCCGGCGCTGGCAATGAAGGGCTGTGAGGGATGGAAGGCGACGTCATGGATGGCCTCGTCGTGCTTCTTCCTGTGTGCGGTGATCTCCTGCACGCACGTCCTGTTGTCCAGCATCCACAGGCGCACCGAGCAGTCATGGCCTGCAGGGGGGAGGAGAGAGAGAGAGAGACAGACAGAGAGAGTGGAAACAAAGACCCAGATGTGATGAGGGGCAAAGATCACTGCTGAGCACAATGTAAAGGAATCTTTCACATCTTTTTCTAAACCAAACTTAATCCACAGCTTCCTCTGAAGCGAGCAGCATTGTAGTTTGAGCCAAGTCTCCAGAATGTTCAAAGACTTTCATTTTATCTAAACATACCCCGCCCTTTCCTGAGTCACGTTTGCTGTATGAAGCACAGTAAGCGGTATATTACAGTATACACTCAACTGAACATGTCTTCACCTTCAATCTTTTGATTTATTCTAAAAGATGCTCAATTCTGTGTTGTTCAAGCTTGTTTTAGAAAAATAAAGCTGAGTGCTACTTACTGCCGGAGATGAGGTAAGTGCCTTTAGGGTCTGTAGTGAGACAGGTGACTGCATCCAGATGAGCCACCATCGAGTGAACCACTTTACCTTAAAAATAAAAGCAAAACACAAACTTCTTTCACTCTGTTCATGACGCTTTTATTTTGGAGTTTTACATAAATGAGCTAACCCATGCAGATACCTGTCTTGTTGTCTAGGAAACGAATGGTGCGGTTCTCGTGTGCTGTGATGGAGACGGACTCAGATGGGTGACTGACCACACGGTTGATGAGCTCACTCCCTGTAAGGCAAGACATCAGACCTCAGACCCAAAATTCAAACAGTTATATACGGAGTGTGATTATTACAGATCAGTTACAAATCAAGGACTTGGTTCGGTTACGTACCATCCTTGGTCTGTGTCTCTAGTGCGATGGTGCTCTGCTCTGTGTTGAGGTCGTAGAGCAGCGTCTCCCCGCCATCATATGACACGACCACCTGGTTGGGGTCAGTATCCACAAATGCCACTGAAGTGGGCGTCCCGTGTTCTGGGAGAAAAAACAACATGGGTCAAAGTTGCAGGGCGCTGATGCGATACAAAGCTCAGATGTGAATCTTCCCGTTGAACACAGACGCTCACCTCTCTCTTTGTTGAAGACGGACAGGCAGGGGGATGAGTTCTGAGGGTCCCAGATGCGAATGGTGCCGTCAGCTGAGCACGAAGCAAGACGATGGTGAGCGGCTGAGTAGGTCAGACCCCACACGCTGTCCTCGTGGCCGGCTAGTACACTGCTCTCAATGCCAGGATCTGAGCAGACAAACACACAAGAGGATTCAGAGGAGTCATTATCAATTATGTAATTTCTCGTCGAGAGGATTTCAAACACTCTGAAGTATTGCTAACCGTAGTTATCATATGGATCAACGTTGAGGTCGGGCATCTTCCAACATCTGACGGTTCCGTCTAGACCTCCACTGTAGCAGGACTCTCCATCCTCGCCCATGGTCAGGGACAGAACGGCCCCACTAAACCAAAGAAGAACACAAATGATGACTGCACTGCATTTCTCAGCACTGAGGAGGGATTTTTTCCTGAACATGCTTCTCAACTTACTGACCTGTGTGCTCTGAACGTGTAGATCGGCTCGACGTCCAGTGCTGCGTTCCTGCGAAGAGAAAGAGTTTTGGTTTCTTCTTTGTTTTAAGTTTTAGTTGTGTTTGACTTTTTTAAACGGTGAAGTTGAATTTCCTCTTTTTTTTCCCCTCACTTTTTAGAGTGCATGGCCTTGTTGAGGTTCCACAGTTTTAGTGTTCCATCCTCGGACGCTGTGAGCAGCACCGCCTGGCTGGGGTGAAAGGTCAAAGCACGGATGGCGTCGAAGTGGCTGCGCAGAGTGAAGCGGGGGTTCCACGTCTTCTTGAATTCCTCTCTGTTATCCTGCATCTGACGGGGACACATGCACGGAGAAACAAACACTCAAATATCTGGAGCGTGAATGTGCAGGTTCGACTGATTCTGTGGGCAAAATAGTGCCATTACATCCATGGAGAGATCGTTGTCATTGGCAACGGTGAGGTCAGCCAGTTCACCCAAGTTCATGTCCCCTCCTCCGACTGCGTCCATGATGAAGACGTCTGAGGAGAAACCAAGGGCGCCACCTGCAGGTTAGAAACGGGAGGAAATTCGACTAAATCATGATAAAATATCCTGCTGTTTACATGTTTGAATAACAGTCATATAAAGCTATAAATCCCACTTCTCTTCGGCAAGAATCTATTTTGCAGTTTCCTTACTCCCACACTGTGTACAAGCAGACAAGTATTTATCCGTGTAGGAGCTACTTTAAACTACAGGTTGACTCCTACGCACGCTCTAAAGCTGAACAAAACTGAGACATGACAGCAGCTAACTCAGACTCATCTTCTGAGCCACGCTCCTGGATATGCAGGAAACAGGGGAGACTGAGAGGGAATACTGAAGGGAAGCGTAGTCTTAACGTGGGTCAAATCAGCTGCTCAAGTCTTACCTTCGCCAGAGCGAGCTTGTCCTGATGCAGAGGGGGGCGGGCTGGGTTTAGGAGGGAAGTCCGACATCATGCCTTGTAGCTTGTTCCTGCGGTTCTCTGAACCCAGCAGAGGAGAGAGTCACAAACCATCCAGTCATGCAGGGAGGAGGACGATGGATGGAAGGACAGATTAGAGACAAACGGATGCAGACAAAGGCACAAATACTTCATTCTTCAAATGAATAACATTTGCACAATTTTACTGATTTTTTTTTTGTCTATGAGAGATGGAATCAATTAAAGCACAGGCAAACGGTGTAAATATGACTTAAAAGTGAAATGTGGAGAGAGAAGGCAGCATGCGTGATTACCTATGAAATGACCCCGAGGAACAGAAATTACATCTACAAACAGAGATGACAGCTACACGTCTGTAGGGAGTCAAAGACTGAAGTGACAGCTCGTGAAACAGGACAGAGAGACAGGTGGTTGGGAAAAGAGGTTGGTTTTATTGACAAGAAGAGATGCCAAGACACAATGAGAAGTAAAGGATAAAAAGGTGAGCAGGAAGGAGGGAAGGAGGGAGTGGGGGGAAAAGAGACAGATACACTTGTGGCAGTGGTTCTGGCAGTGCTGGTGCTGATGGTGTTGCTATGGCAACAGCGTACCTAGCTCCCGTCCGTCCCCCGAGATCCGCGCCTCTCCCGCCCCCTCCCCATCCTCCCCCGAGCCCAGGAAGTCAAATTCACTCAAGGCGTCTTCTGAGTCGTCTTCGTCCTCCTCGTCCTCTGGGTCCATGTCTGTGGTCATCGGCTCTGAACCCATCTGAACACAGAAGCAGAATAAAGGGTAAAACATGAGGATTTCTCCGTGTCTCCTTATTCTACTCTCTTTGCTTTTCTTACCGCACCTTTACACGGGACTTTTTGTTCTTTCGTGGTCCGTCAATGCAGTCCGTGGTCATGCCTTGAAAGTCGTCTTCCTCATCACTGTCGTCGTCATCGTCGTCTTCGCAGCCGTGGAGGAAGGGGATCTTATCGAGCACCGAGCCACCCAGACGTTCCTTGGAGCTCTCTTTACCCGCATTCCTATTTAAACACATTCAATTATCGTCTTTATTACAAGATGTAAAAAAACAAAAATATTTAAGACAATAGTCTGGAGAGGTGCTATTATGACCGTCATTATGCTACCATAACATTACAGATTAAACCTCAACAAACAACAAGACAGGACCAACACTTTCCTCATAAGCAGAAAAAGTTATCATCTTTTTTGGAGGCAGTTCAGCTTCTTTTATAACCTGCTCCACCAGTCAGACCGCTGCATTATTCTTGAGCCCAAAGACAAATAAATAACCAGAGTATGTTCCTCCTCTTAGGATTATATGGAGGGTGACCTTTATGTCGGACATTTCTGTACATCTTGTTCTGTAGGCTTTAAAAGCACGGTTGGCTATTGTGTTACTTATATATTTAATCAATTCTTAAACATTACAGTGCACAACTCAAATAAAGACCTCACAGTACAGTAGTGGCCTGTTTCATTTAAGTATCAGGTCTTTATAGGGTGAGATGTTTTAAGAGATAAAACATAAAGACAAAAGTTCTGTCTGGTGTCGGATTTTGCTTTGTGTTGCTGTCTGTGGGCGTCAGCTGTGTCATCACTATCCTTCTCGGTGAATCAACACCTGAGAGAGCGTCTCCCCCCAAAAAGATCTCACCTCTTTATTTGTTCTTCTATCTGTCTGACCAACAACGACTCTCCTCCTGCCCGGGGCTCAGGCTCGGGACAGGCTTCACTGGACGGGGGCCCGTTGGCCTCGGGGCTGCTCCGACCGAGGAGGGAGCGTACGCGCTTTGACCGCATATCAAGGATGGTGTCTGAATAACCCACCTCCTCCAGATATCTGCATTCACAGGGAGAAGGTCGCATAAGTATAAATACACACTCACACCCATAATAATGATGAATCCTGGAGAACTCATTAAGAGGCACTGATGGAGGTCATTGGTTTGAGCCTGAGATAAAAGGGACTGATGATGTAGAGGCCTTACTTGCGTAGTAACTGACGTCCCTCCTTCCAGGACATCTGATTGGCTGGCTCAGAGTCAGACTCTGCAGGCCCATTGGGAACTACAGAAAATAGCTTGGTCAATAGTGATGTAACAGTAAGACATGAAGAGAAAAGGAGAAACAACTGTTCCTGCAGTGGGTTACATAATGTTTTAATAACAGAGGATATATACGGCTGAGGTTAAACATACGTTGGTCTGCCTCTGTTTCTGGTTTCTTGTCCCCGGGACTCTGGTCATTTCCTGTCTTCAGCTTCTGGTGCTTGGCCCTGTCACCGCAAGAACAGACCACAAGGGGGCAGACTTAGGAGAAAATACTTGAATATAATACTTGAGGCTAAAATCGTTATGAGAGAAGGTTGAGTGTGGACACGGGGAAAGTTTTCAGGCACTTTTCTTACCGCTCTTGTTTTAGAGCGTACTCCAGCATTTTGATCCGCCTCACAAGATCCTGCTTCATGTTCTCCTGTCCTTTCCTCTCCCCCTGTAGGAAGGCTACCTGAGCCTGAAAACACACACAGCGTTAAGAAACTTGCAAAGACTCCCTGGCATGTATGATACGGAAATTAATTATTACAGACACCCTGAGAACGCCACAACTTTGAGCACATCTTGAGAGGGAGTCAAATGATATTAACGTCACTGCGGATGCCAAGGAAATAGGATTGACATGGGAAGCATGACTTCTGAGAAGTGGGAATAAGTAGAGGGTTGTGAAGCCAGACTTTTTTATTTTTAACTTCTTCTAACCAAGATTTCTGTGCACATCTGCAGCAAAAGGAAAAACACAAACACAGACGGGCCAAACTCAAATACGCTTTTTTTTTTAAAGACACATCCTTCCTTTGAATGCTTCCCCCCTTGTTTTCAGACCGTTTCCTTCCTCACAGTTAAAACCTGTACCTTGAGGAAAGAGTTGTTCACCGTTCATTTTCGCCATTGTGTAACAATTAAAGGGTTTGACGGGAAGAGGGTGAATGAGAGCAAGAGTGATGGGAATGTTGGGGTTGAAAGGCGATTATATCTTTTCATTTCTTAGAAAAACCGCTCAATAAAAGGCCCGTTTTAAACATGGACTCAGGTTTGCACTGTTTAAGTTTAAGGGGAAAATGAAAGGTTCAAAGGTTTTCCCATAACCCGGTAGTGATTTTATTTTATTTTTTTCCAAGCGTCGTATGCATATGATTTTATCAACAGGTCAATGTGTACTTTAACTCAGGTCTTTTAAAATTCTTGTTCTGTATGTGAGTTCAAATGTGATGGAGAATGTATGTCTTCTGATGCACTGAGGCCTGTCGAAAGATGAATTTCTGTCACTTTTTTGTGTCAGACAATAAACTTCTTCTATTCTATTCTTCTAAAGTGATTCCAGTTAGACGCAGGTTGAAAGGGACTCGCCTCCTTTTAACTCTCAGGATGTACACACGCAGGTACATAGTGTAGCTTTTCATTCCCCCCTCTCTCTCCCTGAGCTAAGTGGTGCTGGAGCTGAACACTGATTGTTTTACAGTCCATTTCTCCTCTGCACGCCTCAGTGTGTGTCCACGAGTCTGCTCCCACATGCATACACAGCTCAGTAAAAGTAGAACAGTCTAAAAACAATATCTCACGGGGTTGGCACTCTGTCTACTTGAGAGGGTAGACAATCATCAGGAAAAGTGTGCACTCGCACACACACACGCTCACACACTCGTACAGTCATGTAACCAGCTCTGAGGGCCAGTGGAGCACAGGATAATCTGCCAAGTAAACCTTACAACTGCGGCTGCTGAGTAATCCTGATTAATACAATGTGATTTCATATGCTTATCCCAGAATTTTGGAGATAATTCACAAAGCTGGCTTGTCAGGGCTGCAGGCACGGCCCAAGAGGTTTTGAAATAAAGATAACTTTTTATGCTTTATGCTCGGCCAAACCTTTGATATCAAGTCCAGCTCTTTTGATGATCTAAGACCAAAGAAATCAGATCAAATCGCTTGTTTATGTGCACTGAAAAGATTGGTTGGAAGCAGCTTTATTCCTTAACAACATAGTAAAAAGTGGAACAGCAAAAACTCTCCATTCATGGTACAGGGGCATCGTTATAGTCGAATAGCTTTGACCTAATATTAGGGCTGGGCGATATGGGAAAAAGTTTATCACAATACATTTTTTCAAATCAGCCGGTATCGATATATATCACGATATTAAAAATTTAAATTTAACAGTGCTTGTTGGTAGCATGTCTTTTGCATCTGTGAGGTCTTTGTGTCTCTTCGACGTTTTGTCAGGCACAATGGGCCCCTTGCTCCGCTCGGGGTTTGTAACCTTTAGCACTGTGCATGCTCTGCCGAGTAGCACTGCTTCAGGTGGTGAAAAAGATTTGAGGTATTCCTCAACTTTGCGAGAACATGTTCTCAAAAAAAATTGCAGTGCTCATTGCTCTGCTTCATGCCTGACCTCAAAAAAAAAAAAAAATAAACCTCCACACCACCAACGTTTTCGTGCCAGTGTTGTTTAGCTGCAGCCTGCTACTACGCTACCATATTTTTCGCACTATAAGGCGCACCATCAATGAACACATCTATTTTCATAAATAAGGCGCACCGGATTATAAAGCGCATTAAGCCAAACAAAACAGTCAGATAAGTCAAACTTTATTTAACTCATTCAATACCTCCACAAGGCTACGGTAGCTGCAGTGCTCCGACAAGCCAAAAGGATTTTAAGTGCGCCTTATAGTGCGAAAATACGGTACTTGGTTTTAATTCAGCACATAAATGGTTCAGCATGCAAAGTGGACTCGGAGCAGCTCCCCTTTTTATTGGCTATTTGTATAGCCTACCAAAACATGATAAAAAGCCAACTATTGAAAAGCATATTGACCATGTTTTATATTGATATTGAGAGAAATTAATTTTATCGTTTCTCATTATCGTTTTATCGCCCAGCCCTACCTAACATCTACAATACTGGTAAGATCATTTCCCCTTAAAACATTTGAACTGCACAGATAAGACTGGGGTTTGTGGTTCAAACTTCACAAACCACCATGGTGTAAAAATGGTTTTTAAAACGAAGATCAAAGTTCAGTTAGTAAGTGAAAATTTCAAAGCGCTTCTCCCTCTAAGCTAATGAAGAGGAAACACAAACAAAACACAATACAAGTGAGGTATCTCAATGAGAAAAGAGCTCCTCATTTCCACTCTTAACGGGATGTGTCTCCTCCGTCATCTTTCAGGGGCAGGGCCGTGTTTCTGCTCTTACTCACCCACAGACGAGCTATAACCTGCTTACACGCACACACACGCAGATAAGCATCACATCCATCCAGTGTCACACTGAGTTCCAAGAGCCACAGGTTCCCACTAGTGCCCAAATCCTCAAATCCCTGACCCTGCTTTGTTTGCCAAGATAAGACACAAGGCTGCATTGTGTATTGTACAGGAAAACACAAGCAAAAACAACACTATCACTGCTGCACACTGTAAGAACTGTATTTTTCTGATCTATAAATGATTACACTGATTGTGTGTGTCACAGGGTTTACTGCTATATGCCAGTCTCTATACGGTCTTTTACCCTGACCTGATTTTACTCAAACTTCTCTCTTTTAAGCAGAAAGATACAAAGGTTCGATGCGTAAAACAGAAATGCAGAGTGGATGTATAACCAGAGCACGCACTGGATTTTTGAAAGTAGAAGAAATACAGCTTAAATGTAAAAACCAAGGGCCCATCCTGACTAAAAGCGCCTTTCAATGTGTGAAGAAATTCCTCAAATATGACATTTTTAAGCACACGCTTCTATTCGTATTGTTTCTTGCTTTCATTCAGTCTTGTTTTTTTCAAACCCTTTCACTGGTTCAGGCTTGTTTTCACTCTTGAGCGGGACCTAAGCCAACAGAGTCAGACAGAGAGTCCATTCATCAGAAATTTAAGGTGTTCGTTTGGAGCGATTCGTACCTAAAGCAGAACTAAAGATGTCACAACTTTCAAGAAACAGAGTTACACACAGGTGAAAAGTCATATCAAGGCTAACGTAAGTATCAAAAGCTGATCCATGCCTGAAAATAACAATTTCATGGGTTAACTCAGCGTGCTGTTACACAATTAAAATCCTTCCTCCTTGTGCCACGGTGGGGTTTTCTCTGGATTATGTTGGTAAATTACAGTACAAAAAGAACCTTGTTACAAAAAAACCTGTTGTGCCACCTGATCTCTCTTTCCTGTGGGTGTGTTTTCCTCCATGTGGCCTATCACTGCTGACCTTTCCACAGCCTGTAGTAGCACAGAGAGCTGACACATTTAGCTTTTTTTTTCTCTCTCTCTGCCTGTCTCTCTTTGCGAGCTGCAGAACAGGGTCAAGGGCAGCTTTCCCTCCTCCACTGGCCACCCCCCTATCGTCTCATCCCTTCATTCCCTCGAGGGAATCCATGAGCCAACAAGTAGAGCAGTGAACTTTTCTGGGACAGTGAGCCTTGGCGGAGCATGTCAGGGCTATATCTAGAGAGTATTTTTTGCGGTATTTAGCTCGAGAGTGACATCCTGAAAAGTTGGGTGGCCGCCTGAGTGGATCAAAAGATGCCTGATAAGCATGGGAATGAAATGAGATGCATGTCATGGATGTTGCCGAATGCAAGAAGATATTGTTAATTCATTTGAGAGAGAGCTGGGTTCGAAAACAAAAGAGTAACATCAGAAATACAGACTGAGAGGAAGAATAGAGAGGGAAAACAACACATCGATAATAGGAGCGCTGAGTGTCTGCATGGGAGGACATATGCAGTAATAATGCACTACATATGGATGTCATATGTGTGTCATGGCTGAAAGCACAGAGCTATTAATTAGAGATGCGTACCCAAGGCCCCTGGTGGCACACTCAACAGGAAGTGATGTCATGTAGGTCACCAGTATGAACGAGAGAAATACTAGGGGGAACAGGTGAAGGTCTGGTGGACTGTTTGTGTATTTAATTATAACAAGGACAGCCTCATTATTTCAGGCTTGTTCCTACACAGTTGTGCGGTTCGATGACTTCGACTGGGAAAAGCTTTTCATGTGTCTAAAAGGCGGAGGAAGGGACAGGGCCACTGCCGCCTCCCGTCTCTTGTGCGGCTGCCCCATAATGCAGCTGGGACATCCCACCTGGCCCTGAGCGAGGGGAGGGGCTTTATACCCGGCCTGTCACTGGAGACACGATCGCACAGGTGGCTTTCTACATCGAAAACACACTCGCAGAGATGACATGTGTTGCAGTATTAGGTGCAAGCAATCCACACGGTCACACAAAGAGACGTACAATTGTAAGACGATCGTGTAAATCTCTTTAAAATGAAGGCGGTGGTTTGGTTAAAGGTGAATATTTGCAGTTACCTTGTTGGCCTACATAGAGACATAAAAGCAACATGTGAGCACATTAACAGTTTGCTGTTAACTATACAGGACATCACAAGCCAGGCAGGGCATGCTATCTGGCATGTTGAGAGCCCTGCAAGCATGCTGGCAACAAAAGCCGAAGGCCTGTGGCCTGTGGGTGTCATAATGTAAGCTAGGTCAATGTTTCAGCCTGGTACTCGAGCAATCCCAGCTTTCTTTCAGCACAGGACGCGGTGCTAATTGTACCCGTGAAACAAGACCATGTGCAGCAAACACACACGCAAACAAAGTTCCAAAACAAGAGCTAATGGCATGTTGGACACAGCAACGGCCCGCTCCTGACTTCCATTCCTGCTCTTCTCCACACACAACCATAAAAGCAGCGAGCGAGGCCAGTTTGTTATTGTTCATCCATATTTTATCAGGCTCCTATTTATAACTACGTGGGATTGAGTTAGGGGCAAAATGAGAAGTGGAGTGACAGGGAGAGGCACTGATACGCATGTCTGTGGGTTTGTCAAGCGTAGGATTTCCGCTAGTGGTTAATTACAGCAAAATGTGGTTACAAAAGACCTGTGGGTTTAGGAACAAATTAATTTTACTATACGTTGAAACATTTCAATGTGCGTACGTCTCCCTAACCTCTCTCAATCCTGGAACAATTTGATGAGTAAGCACACTCTGCCCAGCAGAGCTCTACCTCATAGTTAAACACTTGCATGCAACAACACTGCATAGTACAACCTCTGTTTTCAGCTGTCAGGCACTGAATCACTAAAACAATTAGCTACCTATGCCTTGCTCAAGGGCATGTCTTTGGCATCAACTCATGCATTCATATAGATTTTTCAACTGTATGAACACAAACTAAAGATATATGTAGATAATAAATGGTAGGTCTTCTTGTATCATAATACTAATCACAAACAAGTCTAGATTTTAGGGTAAAACTCACAGTTATACTCACAGGTACAGCTGCACAATAACTCAGACTTATCAACCTTTTAGGTCCTAAACCTCAGTCAATATTTCTTATTAAAACAACCAAAAACATAAGCAGAAACTTCACCAATCACCAATGCTTGTTTAGATATTCACCCAGGGATAAGATCAGTTTGCTGGGTTGTTGTGCAAAAACTCCATGCTATCATGGGTAAATGACAAGAGCTGAGTGCACATTAAAAGGGTTGGCCTTACAGCTTTATCTCTCATCAGAAACAGACTTCTTTGATGGAAAGACGATGGATATATACATAGGAGATGGTAGATAGACTTTGATGGCTCCAAAATAAAAAAAATTCCCCTCACATCTGGGAGGCACAATAAGTTAAGTCCACAAGTCAGTTTGATCACATTCTTCATAGTTCCCAACACGATTGTATAAACATTATCTCCTTTTCCCTTGACATCAACAGTTTGAAGCTACAATGACTTTTTTCTCCAATGCAAAAACTTCAAATCCTGCAAACTGCATAAATGCACTACATATACACTACATTAACACAGAAGGGTATTAGACAGTGTTTATGTAACTCTAGGTAGAGCTGGGCGATAAAATGATAACGATATATATAGAAAATTAATTTCCCTCAAAATCAATACAAAACAGGGTCGATATGCTTTTCCATAGTCGGCATTCGGCCATGTTTTGATAGACTAAAAGACTAGCCAATGAAAAGCGAAGTTTCTTCGTGCTGAACCAATCAGCTGAATTAAAACCAAGTAGCAACTAATTGCAGCTACATGCAACCATAGCACTTTCACACGTGAAGTCAACAGCACTGTTGGTGAGAAAAAAAGAAACTGATTGCTACCCCCGGCAGAAATGCAGATGAAGGCTCAACAGATGTCGACAACAGTGGCCCGAAAACATCGGTGGTGTGGAGGTTTTTTGACGTCGGACATGAAGCAGAGTAAAGTGCACTGCGAATCATGTTGAGTACATGTTCACCTGAAGCAGTGCCATGCAGTAGAGCACGCAAAATGCAAAAGGTGCAAAACCCCGAGTGGAGCACAGTGTTGTTTTCATTGATGAAAATATTGCGTCAACGCCCCTTTTTTTCCACGACGAAGACATGGCGTTGATGAGCTAAACAAAAGTCTTAGATGATTAAAATGTGATGAAACGAATGTGCGTTTACGTTGACAAGACGAGACTAGATGAAAACGTTAGTGGTGGACGACAGAGTTGCAAAATTCATTAGAATTTCGTCAGTCAAACGCTAAAGATATATTCTGCAGTGTTGTTTTCATTGACAATGACATGACGTAATATTTTCATCAACGTCATCGTCAACGAAAACAACACTGGTGGAGCAAGGGACAGCCGACCATCTAGTTCGCTTTCTCTAGCGCAATGTCGAAGAAACAGAAAGACCTAACAGATGCAGTAGCTTACTGTATTGCAATAAACATGCTACCAATAAGCCCTGTTGAATTTCATTTGTTTAGGGCACGATATTTATTGATATTGACTGACATGTAAACAATATATCGCGATAAACTTTTTCCCATATCGCCCAGCCCTAAGCAGGTTTCTGCATTATCATCTAAGACAATACAAGTAGTCTTTAGATTTTGCAGGATAATCTGATGGCTTTTGTGGTGTGTCATGTATCTCTGTTAAGCAGCTCGTCTCAGTGAGTTGTAACCGATTGTGTTGGCATTACGGGGCCAACAGGCACGGATTTTTCTCTCTTATGATAACACAGTGTTTTCATTTCTGGTGGATGTGTGTGCGTTGTGGTCAGCTGGCGGTCACAGGGTCCCTTTATTTCCCTGTCTGTCGAGTAGCCTGGTCAATATACTATTACAGGGTGTACTGTTAGCTCGTTAGCATGTTGTCATAGTGAATCAGATTGGGTTGGAGGGTATATGTGCTGTCTCAGACCAAAACACTAAATGAGTCCGTGCATTCCGGCTCTTTTTTAGCGGTATTCAGTGACAAATGAAGGCTAAGTGATAAACAAATTTACCCTAAGTTCGTCTCTTTCAGCCTCCCAGCGGTATTTCTCGGCCTGGAAGCGTCCCCACTCGAACTGGATGAAGTGCAGGATCCCGGGAAGCGTCATACCCGAGTCCCCGTCCTGCAGCTCCCTATTCTGCGAAGACCCGGGCATGGCTCCCGTTACCGTTGCCGCAGCTGCCGCCGCCGCCGACGCCGCTGCCATCGCCCCGGTAGCCGCAGCTGATGTCGCCTGGCTCGGTGCTGCTTTGGGCCCGTTTGGGTTGCGCCCCGCTCCACTGCTGCCGCCGCCTCCGGAGTTCGGGTTTGGTCCTCCGCCGGATCTGTCCGCCTCCATTTTCGCAGTTCAACCTCTCGCCAGGATAGGGAGTTGGAAACGGGCAGAGTATGCTAGTAATAATAATGAAAAAGTACCTAGTAACCCTCCTTCCAGGCTAGCACCGCTTCTCTATCAGCGACCCTCTTTTCTTCCTTTTCTCACGCACCGAGCAAAATTACTATTCAGGTGGTAAATACTACACTTCCGCTTTCAAACCTTCAAAATAAAACTAGACAAAGCCAAATATTTCAGACATCGCCGTCCGCTCAACGAATACGGTGCTATTTACAAATCAGTTTTATACAGGAGAGACTTGCTTAAACAACGTAAAAATATCACTTAAGTATGACAATATATTTTTTTAATAGACGTTAACTTGAATTTTGGACTTTTATTTTGTACATCCCGGATCTTTTCCCTCTACCTTGTGTTTGCTGTTGGAAAAGCCCAGTGTGGGTGACAAATAAAGGGCCATGTCTGCTGTAATACACAATGAACATGTCGCTAGGGAACTTCATTTCCTGCCATTTTGTGAGCAGAGAGGTTTGAAGACGGTAAAGTTGGCCAAAGTTATTCACATTTGTGTTTCCGGTTTGAATCTTCGTAAAATATCCTCAGTGGAGACCGGAGTACGACATCTTCTTGGTCTGAGGTACAGACTTTTAAAGGAATAAGTCAGGATACATAATGAAGAATCAAGTATCAAAAGTGATTGAATAGTTTGCACTTTCTTAAACTCTTCACCAACACACAAATTTTGTATTTGTTGTTGTGCGTAACTCACTTGTTATTGGTTTGGAGGCTACAATGTAAAATACTACTGCCTAAATAATGGGTAATTTCCCGTTTATATGTGATTGAAAAACCTGCTTTGAGTACGAAAAACATAAGGCAACTTCTCAATGAAATAACTTAAATGGATATTCCGGCGTGCTGTGCAAAATGATTAATACGGTGATTATTACTTCAAAGAAATAATAAAGAAATGATTGCAAATGTTCTTCCTTGAGCTGCGTCACCCCACTGCAGTCCATAATGGACTGCCCTGAGGTCTCCTACAAACAAGCGGCTGCTGGAAGAGAGTGGGTGAGTTGTGTTTAGTCTCTTTGCTAAAGGAATGACGCAAAGCTAAAAAGATGTTTGGTGGCTAATGCTATGGCTGATGCTATGGCTGAAACCATGTACTGTTGATGAAGTTAGGTGCTGTTCTGAGCATTATTGGTGGCTATAGAGTGGCGTTTTGGTTGAGGTTTGTGTATGGGTCCTTAGACTGCTGTGTATTGCTATCGTGCGGTCGTTACTTAAGTTGGTATAACTAAAGAAGCAAGCAGTCGGCAACATTCATCTTTTGATATATATATATATATATATATATATATATATACATACATATATATATATATTGCATGTATGAGTGATGGTTTCTGTATGATCAAATATATATTATTGTAAAAATAAAATCAAATAAAGTAAAAACATTTTAGTGCTACCACTGATATAGGCCTATGATTCTGACTGTCCATATGTCAAAGCTCTGCTACCATTATGTGCGTAACATTTTGAGGTTAAAATCCATATGTGGCACCCTGAACATCATTCATCAGTTATTCATTGGTATTATTTGTATGGTTGTATTGGTATTATATATGTTATTACCTAGGCCACACCCTTAAATGTGTAAAGACATGTCAGGCGCATTAAATTTATTCTGTAAAGGGTGTGTAAATGATCAACAATCAATAATATTGGAAGTAATAGAGGGCCCCAAAATTGAATTTTGCTTCATGCCCCATTGAGTCTTGAGCCGGCTCTGGTTTGACCCTAAATAATTTTTCGCCGGAATTGTTGTTTGAAGAAAAGATATATAGATTGCGACCTCGAGAAAACACAGAAATTAAACATAGTTTATGGGTGAAGTTCATTCTTCAAATGCATTTATAGCAGATAAATTATTTAACAAAATGGTTTAAAATAAATAATATTATTTTTATTTTATTTTGAAGGACAAACGGAAGTGTCCGTAATGTTGCTGCAGAAAAAACAGACAGCAAGCGTGTAGCATGATGGTAAATTTGAGTGGTTTAGCTGCCGGTCAAGCTTCTGATAAGTGGACTGATACTGACATATTGATCCGTGATTTCTCAAAATTTATTGGTGGATTCGTTTTTAAAATGTCGGGCCCTCGACTGAAGTCAAAATCGGACTTACACCAGCCAACAGTGTAGAAAAAAAACAGCCTTCTGAGACCGATCAGCCAGATCTGCTGTCATGACATGCTAGTACAGCTGGCTGAGATTGACCACTATGAAAACCAAACACAGTGCAGCAAGGTTAATGAGCCTAACGCTGCTGAGACTCGTATTGATATGGTTAATGCATGATATGATCAACTATGCTGCGCTAACAGCTGTGCCATGAGGAGCAAAGAGCAAATCTAAGGTGAGCTGATACTCAAATTGAAATTGTGACTCCTTTATCATAATATATTGCAAGCTTTACTCGTTTTTTTCATTCCACATGCATTGAGATATCTTTGTCTTTGTTTCATTTCTAACAAATAAAAGGAAAAGTTGAGTTAATATACTTTTTCTGTCTTTTGCAGGTTTTTTAAACCCCATGTGTGTTAAGAAATTTAACTCTTCTGCCCAAAAGGCTTGAAGGTTTACACTGATCACCATGCGTATCAGTCTGTGCCAGGGCCTGTTAACCGGGGCCATCGTTCTTAACCTCCTCATCCTCTACTATGTGTCACGGGCCCAGCAGCAAATGATGGAAAAGAGGAAAGAACTAGGCAGAGGCTCAAGGAGGGTCGCCCTACCGGCCTCAGGTCTAGGGGGAGGCCTAGCTGGAGGTGAGCCAGGGGTGGTCGGAGTGGAGGGACACAGTCGCAGCCCACGTGTGACAGTTCTTCTCCGTGAGTTTGAGAACTTTGAGAATTACGTTGGAGATGTGGCTACTTCCTTCCTCCGCCAGAGACCCGAGCTTCCGTTTCTTGCTGTTGCTGACTCATCTCCGTACCCTCCCTTGGTGCTTCCAGAAGGGGCTCGTCTCCTGATACTCACCCCCAGCCCGGATCAGTCGCCCCAAGCTCACAGACCAGAGTTCCACGTCCAGACTGAGTTTGTGTTGCTGGTACCTGATGGGGTGGAATTGGAGCAACCTCGGTCTATAGAGAGGCTGATCAGGGAACTGGAAGGTGAGGGTGGGGGACCTGTGAGAGTGGTCGCTGCACCCGTGCTGGCTCGGTCAGCAGTGCAGTGCCTCCACCTGCGGGTGAACCTCAGAGAGTGGACAGCCACTTACTCGCCGGCTGCTTCTGGAAGCAGTGGAAGTGTGTGCACAGCTTTACAAGGAGATGCCGTTGTCCTCATTCGCACCGAGGATCTTTTTAATCTCTCTGTACCTCTTGGGCGACCTTTTTTTCCCTCGCTCTTTGTCCAAACTGCTCTGAGAGGCTGGAAGGTGAAGCTGCTGGAGAGCCCCTGTTTTTCTGCAAATCACCGTCCCCTCTATAGTTCCGCTCACAACCAGTGGAAAGCCGACACTCGCCTGAAGGAGGCCACAGGGAAGCTCATGAAGAGCTTTGGTTTGAAGCGCATCCTGCTGCCTGATGGGAAGGAACAGTGGTTTGGTTGCAGTAAAGAGACACCACGCTGTTTTGGTACAGTGCAAGAAGACACTCCAGATTACCTTTACCTGGATCGCTGGACACCGCCGTGTTGCCTACGAGGACTGAGAGAAACCGCCAAATATGTCATCAACATCCTGGAGACCTCTGGTGTGCGCTACTGGTTGGAAGGTGGGGCCTTGCTGGGTGCTGTCCGCCATCAGGACATCATCCCCTGGGATTATGATGTGGACCTGGGCATCTACTTGGAGGATATACCCAACTGTGATCACCTGAAAAACCTGGACTCAGGCTCCCTTGTGGATGCTAACGGCTACGTGTGGGAGCGTGCAGTGGAAGGCGATTTCTACAGAGTCCAGTACAGTGAGGCCAACCACCTGCATGTCGATCTGTGGCCGTTCTACGCACGGAACGGCGTCATGACCAAAGACACATGGACCGAGCACAAGCAGGACGTTGAGTTCCCGGAGCACTTTCTGCAGCCGCTGGTACCCATGACGTTTGCTGGCATCGCTGCTTTTGCCCCCAACAACCACAGAGCCTTTTTGGAGCTTAAGTTTGGAGAGGGGGTGATTGAAAACCCCCAGTATCCCAACCCTGTAAAGAAGAGGCTGGACAAAAGCAAACTATGAGGCATGGTAGACTCAGACTATTTTGTGATACACAGCCTGAAAGACGAGTCTTACAAACTTTTGAGGTACAAAAAGATGATGAACATTAATCAATTCATACCCCTGTCTTCTGCACAAGGAATATTTAATGAGTCAAAGACAGGTTTTAGTACATTGTGTGCTCAACCTGTATATAATGTATAGTAGAGTATAATTATGACAGCTGTTAATTATACACACTTTTAATATTTGTTTCTTGTTACAAGCTACACAACCTTGAGCAGGATTTAAGGTTTTGTGTATTTTATCCATATTTATCATCCAAACAGGAGCTTCCAAACTTTTTTTTTAACTTGTGTTGATTTGCACTCAGTCTTGCAGTTTCCTTTTTTGCACTGTTCATGAAAGAAAAGGTTTTTTTATGCTCAGATGTGGTCCTTGACAGCTGTAATGTTATTCGTTGGTTTCTGTGTGTTAGAATGAGAAACACATTGAAAACACTGACATTTATCCTGTGAGTAGAATGAAAGTTACTCTGTCAAACCTCAGTATTAAGGTAAGAACATAAAACGTTGAATGTGTGTTTAACCTGTGCATCTACATGTGGTACTACTGAGCGATGAAATGAGATTTCAATGTAGCACCAGCTTCCCTGGATACGACACGTTTCCTGTAATGTTCTTCCTTGTGTGTTGTACATCGAGGCATCACTCCATTTCAGAAAAAGGTCAAATAAAGAAGTTGGTTCAGATTATGCGATTTGTAAACTACTTTGAGGGTTTGTTGGAGAATCTGGATTTAGCAACCTCAATTTCAAACGAAGGATGCTGTGTGAATGTTAAAGACAGACAGTTGAAGACGCTGCAGGCAGACCAGTTTAACACCCCGACCCTTCTACTGTGGAGCCATGCTGTTGGGTGTGGTTTGTCATCAATTTACTGAAATATGCATGGTCTCCCTTGAAAATGTGTTATATGAATGGCAGTATTTGTTGCTCCAAAGCCTGTGTATGTATATGGTGCCTCCACAGATACATATATATTTATAAAACCCCCAAACTTTGTGCAATTTGTCACATGGATCAATATTCTGAAATGGAACCATTTCTTCACACAGTCTCAAATGTGAACTTCCTCCCATCTTTACTTCTAAGAGTTTCATCTTCTCTGGAGCGCCCTTTTTTCTACACGGGCATGTTTTTAATTGATCTAATTGGTTGGAAGATCCTCCTCCTGGTGTTATTTATGATTTTTTTCCACCATCTTGTCCCAGTTCCAACATTTCTGAAACATTGCTGGTGACAAATTAAAATTCAGCATATGTGATAGTTTTCAAAGAACCATAGAATTTTTCAGTTTCATCATTTGTTTTTGCATTATTTTCAACTCAATACAGGGTTTGAATGATTTGCAAACCACTTTTATCAACAATACGAGGTAATTTTTCATTATTAATAGCATACTCTGCCCATTTCCATCCAATACTAGCTATGGCTTCTTTTGAACACTAGGTGGCACAACAAGCCTGGTTAGTCTTTCGTTCATGGAGCTCCTCAGCCTCATGCTACAGCCTGCTTTTAGTGGTGTTTCCACTGTCGGGTGCATCATGGGAGTTTTACAGCCATATGGCAGGAGCCCAGAGGGGGGTAGGATTTTATGACAGGACACGCAGGAATGTAACATCACAGGAATGCAGCTCACTCGTTGGGCAGACCTCTCCAGGGATGTGAAATAGCGTTCCCAGCCAATCTAAGTAGGATTTTCTTCTGTTTCTGAAAGCTCCTGCTCACCTGTTGATTCTGTTAAAGTTGCAGTCTTTGTGATGTGTTTTCATTCTTTATACTAAACAGTGAATATACAGCATTATTCTTCGATGGCGTGGTAATTAGATTAGCATCAGGATTAAATAAGCACTGAAGAGGCTATTTTGGGATGTAAGAACATGAAGGGCCTCAGTTCATTTCAGATATGTCTCTCCTCTTATGTGCTACTAAATCTGAAGATGACTGACTGCAGCATAATGTAGCTGTGCATGCAGCCTCGAGTGTGTCCTACTTTGGCTGCAGTGCTGAAACAAGCAAAGAAAAACTGATGTAACATTTTTAGAAAAAAGGCCTTTATTGTTTAAAACCTACAGACAGTATATTCAGAGTGTAACCGAGCGCTTTTTAAACATAGCCCCACTTAAACAACATAAAACCTACATACATACAACAATTACACTACGATCAAAGCAGACAGACATCCATATGATCTCAGAGGAATGTTAACATAGTCTACCAAAAAGGCATTATGAAGAAAAACATAATAGCTGTTTAGAGGACATTGTTAATCTTGACAAAAACTAAAAACCGATCAGACATGAGGCTTGCATTGAATCCATAGATGACCATCATGGGACATACTGCAAATTTGGTACGATATAACATTGTTATAGAATATAGACGTTTACCTGCATTTAACATAAATGTTAATAAATTTGTAAATTTGTACCCCAGTCATGTGGTAGAGCTGTAAAGCGTTAAATATGATATGGATGGAAGATATAAATATATAGTGCAACTGTACAGTTAATGGTACATACACAGATGTCTTTGAAAACAGGATTGCTCTATAAGTACGATCAACACACTCATCTCATCACTGCCATAGTAAAAAACTTGTAGTTTCCTACTCTGTAAAAGTAAAATCCCAAAACAGAAACACCTCACACACATAAAGCTTTGACTCACGCCTGAAAAGATTAAAACAAGTCCATGACCTGAAATGATCCTAGTAACAGTAATAAAAAATAAAATAAAAAGAGCAATCACCAACCAGATTATGTTGACAAAGATGTAGTTGCTTCCATATCAGAGGATTGGTTTAAAAAGATCTTTGGATTGTGATTAGGGAAATAAATATGGCTTACTACAAATAGTTCTCTAACATTTTAGCTATGACACAAGATCTCCAGCCTATAAGAGTAAGGTTTCTGTGTTTCACAGCCAGAACATAAATAAGTTGAAGTTGAGACATTCTTACCCTGAAGTCCCCATGACAGCAAAACCTCTGCTACTATTGTGGAAGGACCTCCGTTACTCACACATCACATGTAGTCACACAACACTTTACATATTACACAACAAGTCTGTGCTTTTAAACCCATTCGTGCCTTTCTGTTGCAAGGACCTACACAGAGGTAAAAACCAGTAAAATTCAGGCTATCATGATAAAAGACACATATCTCCCGGAAAATGTCATTAAATTCTATGTGGAGTTCAACGTCGTCCTTTCTTTGTGATGAGTTATTGCAGTTTTTGGTCTCAGAATATTAAGAAGCAGCCGAAGGATAAGTCTTCAAGCCAGAGTTAAACCTGAGGTCACGATGCCTGTCGTAACGCTGATGTCCGTGTGAAGAGGCACAAATATTTGGAGGTCTGTCTGTGTCCATGCATAGTTCGAGTCCTTGAGAAAGAGTTCCTTCATTCCTCCTTAGGACGTCAATGCGAGTATTAAGTGTGCTGAGGAGTGTTAATGTAGTCTGGAGACTATTGCTTTTTCTCCCCATGACATTGTAGATAACGAAAACATTGGCAAGGAGTTACAGAGGACTCAACAACGAACTGATAAAGTATGTTCCCTCCCACCCCCGGCCCCTTAGAAAACGGCATATTTTGTGCTTTTTGTCATCAGCCTCATTTCCACCGTTCTGAGGATTCTGCTCAAAAGGCAATAGCGTTCTTAAATCCTGTTGCTGTTTACATTTCAAAGATCAACAAGGCTGTGAAAATTAGTTGTCATGTGAAAAAACTAAACCAGTACTCCACCAGTGGAGAGCCCCCCCAAAAAACCCCTTTACTAGTACTACCCTCTAAAGCAGGGACCTTTCCAGGCTCAATATTAAGACCCTGGCTGTTGATTAAGTCCCTGGTCCCAGTGATGACTATGCACAGAGTTCTTTTTAGTGAAGTTTCTGTAACGGAAAAGTAGCACTTGAACTCATTTAACTCACTCGTACACAACAGCTGTAGATCAAATCTGCATTAAACTGATCATGTATAACAGAAAAATAAAGTAACGGAGGATGTTAACGGATTTCTGAATACAGCTCATCAGCTTATCATGTCGTGACAATAAAAAGTAGGTTTCTCGGTGTAGCCGAAGCCTTTTAGTGAGTTTTGACAGAAGCGTGAGTATGTGTTGGTTAGAGTGTCTACTACAGGGAATATGACTGTAACTTAAATATCTTCTTTGTGTTTAAATGCAGCATCGTCTTTGTAACATTTCTTCTACCGTTATTGCTGGTATTTGCTGGTCAGGCTCAGCAACTTGACATCCGAGTGGACATAAAGTATATGTGTAACATATTTAAACAGAGTTTTGACACCGGGACACAACACAACGTACTGCATGTAATATGGGTTTTGAGTATCTCCTTCACTCCTTAGTTTCTGACCCAGAAAAGCTTCAGAGACTTTCAGAGAGTGTTTTTTTTTGCACTGTTTGTGGAGTGTCCATGTTCATCCTCTCTGAAAAAAAAAACTTTTCTGGGGCAAAAATGGGGTTTGTACCTCAGGTTTTGGTTGATAAGAATGTCAGGTTGTTGATGGAGTCAGCAGCTGGATTACATAACGGACTCAGAGAGAACCGACTTGGGAGCATCCGCGCTGCCGTTTCCCCCTCGTTTCTCAATAAGCGGCGAGTGCTCAGGGGCAGAGGTTCCTGGATCCCCCTCCAGTCTGACGTCGCTCAGCTCTGTCCCCTCCTCTTGTTTGGCTGTACGGTCCACAAAGAACTGCAGGAGTCCAGCTCCAAAGGCATCACCCTCTACGTTGATGATTGTGCAGGTACGGTCACTGCAGAGCGACAGAGGGGAAAGAAATTTCAGTAAATGTCTGGCTTGAATATTTAGGATCACAGCTGTTACTATCATGAACTGTGTCCACATAAAGCACGATGGTTTTGTACTCACACAAGCCAGTCCACAGCCAGGATGAGGGAAATGTCATTAGTGGGCAGTCCGACAGCCTCCAGGATGATAGCAAGGGTCAAAACCCCTCCAGCCGGTATACCTGCAGCTCCAACACTGGATGCTGTTGCTGTCACACTAACACATCAAAAAGGAAGATGACACGGTTACATCAAATAATTTATTTCTGGGGACACACTTAATCCAGTTGTGCAACAGCTGTTTGGGTGGCTTTGCAACTTACAGGATGGTTATGATTTGGATAAAATTGAGGGGGTAGTTGTTGAGCTGAGCGATGAAAACGGCAGCCACACACTGGAAGAGAGCAGCTCCGTCCATGTTGACCGTCGCTCCGATTGGCAGGATGAAACGGCTGATGTGTTTGGATACGCCGTTATTTTCCTCCACACACTTCATCATCAAGGGCAGAGTGGCAGAGCTAAGAGAAACAGGGAGTGTGAGCATTTCATGGTGAAAGGTATGCATATTGAGTGTTTGCAGAGAGGGAAGGGTATGTTTAAAACGAAACAAAACTCATTATTTGACTTTTAACAAGCAGGAAGACCAAACAAACGTGTATCTGTGCGAGTCGGAGCGTTGATTACCTTGAGCTTGTTCCGAAGGCTGTTGCCAGAGCTGTGAATATCCCCCAGAGGAAGGTGTATGGGTTCTTCCTCGTTATTACGAAATAGATAGCTGGTAGCACTAGAAGGCCGTGGATAGCATGTCCAATGATGCAACAGGCTATATACTTTCCTAGACTGGCGAACAGATTCCCAACATCATCCATTTCCACAATCTTGCCAGCTACCAGGAACATGATACCAATAGGGGCATACCTGCAGGGAGACAGGAAGTGTTGCAGATTATTTTGGTTATTATTCCGACAAAGACATCAACTTTATTCCCCTCTAACAACCCAGAAACACGCAGGTCTTTCTTACCACATGATCCAGGAGACCAGCACCATGGTAGCCTCATTAAAAGAGTTGAAGAACTTAATGAGGATCTCTCCTTCTTCTCCCAGCTTCCTTAAAGCCACACCAAACACAATAGCAAACACCACCAGACCCAGGATATTCATACCGTCCTGGTCTGTTCCGAAGGGCACCTAAAGGGGGGCACACAGACAAACAAGGAAAACAGTCAGACATATCAGGGAAACACCAGCTATGGAGGATTTTACATAAATCTCAAGGTCTTTAATTTCACTCACCCTCTCTGCTGTGATAGTCAGGTTTCCATCTGTGCCATTTTTGGTTATCAGCTTGTAACTGGTTGCATACTAAAAAAGAAAGGACACAAGTTTAGCACATGCAACATCCTATCTGAGAGTTTCCTAGTTTCAACATCAAACTGCAGCACTCACCGACTGAAAGGCAGCAGACACCAGGTTGGAGGGGAAGATGTTTCTGTGGGAGGAAACAAAAACAATACTTTCAATGCCTATGATCAGCGTATACAGAGGCGGCATTTATACAGATGTGGTTGGTGCTTAAAAAGGAGAGAAATCACAGGTTTTAAACATGTAATTTCACAATACATGTGATTGAGCTTTTCTTTGTTTTGGGCTCTTACTGCAAACACATCGACTCTAACCTTGTATAAATGAATATGTGGCAAAGACGTGGCAAACATGTAGTCAAAAGCTAAGTTTATACGCGTCTTAGACAAAGCCTCAAGTGTTTGTGCGCCAAACAGAGGCGTTTACATCAAATACAACACAGCTGCAGGTCACGGTCCAACTTTAAAGCCTGACCTGTAAAGTAAAGAAGCTTTTGTCTTTCACAGAAGTCAATCACGAGTCGTGATGTAGAGAAACATCTACTCCTGCTCGAATCACATACAGTTTAAACGTCACAAGATTGATCAGGAGGAAATAACTTTAGAGAGAGAAAGAGAGGGGCTTGAATCTCCTCTTTTTCACTCTACTCTCATTTCTTATTGCTTTGTTTCCTTCTCCACATACAGGTGCACACACACACACATATGTTGGTACATGGGGCGAGCTGCATGTTAAATCTCCTAAAGAACTCCTGAACCCTACGTTGACCCTGATGCCCCTTCACTCAGCTGTCTATAGTGGATTTAGAGTAATTAGGCATTAACTTCACAAGCAGCCATTCATTCGTTTTCATTAGAAAGGAGAACATCAGGATTAAACATCATGTGATTTTGTTAGCAAGCAGTGTGCCCCCGAATCACTGGATGCTTGTGCTGCAAAGAGCTGACACAAATGGCTGCCTGATCTCAATATCAACACAGGAGTTTATTTGAATATTCAAATAAGTTCGTATTAGGCAAATCCTTCGAGGTGACATTATCTGCATATCTGGAGTCTTTTTATTTCCAGAGCAGCTTTTAAAACAATATTTTCATCAAACTCTGATAACCCTAACCTGGTTGCAGTCGTGTACTTGCTCTCAGTCTCTGATACTGAGCTGGATTCTGAAGGGGTCCTTTTTCCCTGAAAGCGCCACATTCCTGGCACAGGTACAAAACCAAACTCTAATGAAAGAAAATTACATCCTCTGTTCATTGTTGCAGGTATTCACTACCATCAGCAACCACAATGGAAAACATCCCTCTCCCTCCAGTGAAGCTGCTTTCTTTACGAATTAAATTAAATCTAAAACACACCTCGGCTGAGTCTAGGCAATCTTCACAATACATTCACAACTTGGAAGGCAAGACTAAAAATCAATGTCGTTCTAAGTAGATTGTACAAAAATGTGCTCAACATTTTTTTTTTAATTACAAGTTTCTAACATGAGTCACTGTAAGATAAGTTTTGGTTCCTGTGGTATTTTCTGACATCACAGATACCAAAACTACCGCCTCCAAAGAAAAGAAAAGGAACCAGGAAGGTGTGACAAAATGCCATCGTAAGTTGGGTGTGTTTATCCCATTGTTGAAAGCAATTGACTGTTGACTGACATTTGCAAGCATATGGGGAGCGGGGAACACCTTGTGCTGGTCTACGCAGAGTCATTAATGATCAATTTACTGCCGGGTAACAGTCAAGGTTTCTACTGAGTACAAATGAATGACTGATCATGATAAAACAATATTAACATCAATATTTCAAGTCACTACTCTCCCATAACCCGAGGTTAATACTGTAATTGTCAATAAATCCATGAGTGGAACTTGTACCGTCTGATAGCTGTGCACTGTGTGGTTTCTGAGTGGGGAAAAAAAGGGAAAAAAAAGTGCAGGCTGTGAGGAAAGTCAACAAGGATGTGTGTGGGAGTGCCTCGAGTCTAAACCTTTACACGTGTATCCCTAGGCTGACATGTTAGAAAAGAATTTAAATGAGTGTCTCGGAGCAATGACTGGGCTATTCTTACACTTTGTTAAGCCGCTCTTCAGTCAAAGTCTCACGCTGCCTTTGTTGTCAAAACCGAGCAGGACTCCAACTGAGAGGGATCGCTCTAACGAGAGCCACGGGTTGTGCCTGCCGTCCCATTAAGATAATGTAGAAACGCGTGTCGGTGTGTGCGCTTCACGAGATGGATGTTACTTTTCTGATTATTTCCCTTTTTATCCTCTCAACAGTGGCTAGTCATGGTCAATGATTCTGAACAATAGATGGGGGATGGTGCATTCAGGAACATAAAATAACAAAAACAGGAACGCTGCACTGAATATAGTGGTCAATTATCAAAATATAAACACAGTTATGCAAGATACAAATGTGGGTAACAGTGTTAATCTCTGAGTGGCGAAGTTTCACCCTGTTACTCTTGCATGTCTAATCTGGCACCAAGAAGCAAGAAATGTTTTAGGAGGTGCTGCCAGGCCAAAGTCACACTGTTGGAGGAGGGGAAGTAAGAGGAGGGAGAGTGGAAAAGTGTAGCTTTCATAGCACACAATATCATAATTCATGGAAAGCAGGAGTTAATGCTCTGAAGACTGCGTAAGGCAGCCAGAAGGAGTTGTGCAATAGAGTTCGCTGTGTATCACGATGGATAGTAGCATGAAAATAACAGAGGATTGTTGGTATGTGTACTCCTGATTCATTCTTGCTTCAGTACTGAACAAACACATGCACAGCACGTTTTTATTCTCTGAAGAGAGTGCATGACACAGGTCTACAGCAGGTTTTTGTTATACTAATACCAGTCCAGTTCCTATCCTGATTTGGTATAGGAAAACATCTCTGGCTCCCACAATCTTTATGACATTGCATAACCGTGTGGTCCAATGTGTTTACAAAAGGCTGGGCCCGATTACAACTTTTAAGAGCTCTTCACTAGGAAATGAGTTTATTTTAACAAGCTGCATCAGTTTTTTTAGGTTTACTGAAACACAAAAAAAACATCATGGGACCAGTTCTGCAAAATACAAGACTTTAAATAGCTCACTAAATTAAGACTTTTTCAGTATCTGAGTCAAATACCGGCTTAGTCATTGATGTGACTCATATCTTATGATAGCCCCTTGAATGTTGCTTGCTGATAAAATGGGAAAAGACATGCTGTGGGCCACTTATTCCCAACAAGACCAGTAAGTCTAGTGTGTAAAGGCAGCAAGGGAATCAGGCCTGGAGCCTACTTCAAGACATGTTAAACCACATTTCTCTACCACGTGTCTGCAACTTAGCTTCATTAGCTTTCCTTGTCACACATTTTAGACTGAGCTTGCTTCCTGAGGGTGGTGGCTCCCTCAGAATCTGTATTCTCCGAAAATATCCTGAAGTGGACCTACAGTGCAAGACTAGAAGAGTGAAGTGTGCTTGTTTTATCTTTGCAAAAAGGGGTGCTGTACCTCCCTACAAGTCTCCTTATCACGTTTGCTGACACATGAAAGCTGTCACTCAAGAGTGGCAAGTAAGTCAGCGAGTTAAAGTGTAAAACTGTGGTTATTCTCAGCACTTCTAGTGTCAAACACGTTGCTGTAATGGTATGTGGAGGTTTCATTGGGTTTTCCGTGACAAATGGCACCCAGCTGAGCTGACGCAACTGCGCGTTGTCGTTACAGCACACACAGCGAGAGGTAAAACAGGCCACCAGTCTAACCAGGCAGCAGTCCCATTTAAGGCATCAGGGTGTATTTTACCTTAAAGAGTCACTAATAAAGGTAAATAATAGACTCTAAGTCAAGAGGGCCGTGTGTGTTTTACTGAAAGCTTTTGTGCGTAACTTAGCAACAAGTTTGGCACAGACCTAGCGCGTGTCTGCGTGAGGCACCGGTGATCAATTACCACTACTTTTTTATACACACCATTAAAAAAACAACCACTCACCGTATCAAGTCTAAGAAGGAGTCTATGACTTCTTTGGCCTCCGGTACGCTGTCATCCAAGCCCTGCACCTTTGGTTTGTTCACGGTCACGGAACCAGGGTTGAGGATGAACGCCATCACAACCCCGATCGACGAAGCGATCAAGGTGGTGACCAGGAAGAAAAGCATGGCCCAACCGCCGAGTTTGCCCAGGGCTTTAGGGTCGATGCTGGCCGCCCCGGACACCAGACTGCAAACCACCAAGGGGATGATGATCATCTTCAGCAGCCGGATGAGCAGCTCACCAGGAAACCCGATGTAGATGATCTGGGTCCTGGTTAGTGTCACGTTGCGCACACCGAGTCCAATAAAAACCCCAATGATGACCCCAACTACGGTGAGGATCACCAGTAGGTTAGCCTTCACTATTCTCTTGACCCTCGCTGACAGGGGCTCCGGGCTCTTCTTCAGGCACGTTGGTCCGTTGGACACCGGCTCATCGAGGTGCGCCTCGCCGTTGGATGCCTTCGTGTCCTCCGTGTCGATCTTCTCAGCCATCGTGCGCGCTGAACGTTATCTTCTAACTCCTGTCAAAGCACAAATGATTCCTTAAAAACAACTTCGGTGTGGCGGGAGGTAACGGATTAAAACAAATGATACAGACTAACGTCGTCCTAACACTTACGCACACTGCTGCCGGGTTTTATGGAGGGTGCGCTTTTCTATCCAGGAAGAATTCCCACCCTCTGACGTAACTGGGCGTGTCCAATAGGAAATAGGGTGGCCGGTGATCGCCTATCAAATGTTTCATTGATATAATCAGAAATAAAGAAGTGCTTATTTGCGTTTGTGATGTTTTTACTAAATGGAATTAAAATATCGTGACATTGTGTTATAACTATAATTTGGCCTCTGGTCTTTGTGTGTAGCTTACTTAATGGTGTCTTAAGACTGTTGAGCTGGTTATGTTGTCTGTATATGACATAGGGGAGGGTGGGGTAAATTGAGTCCCCCCCTGTTGCTTGGGAATAGTAAAAGAAATTTATCATGTGACCAAATATTTAGGAGATGGGCATCAATTCATGGAGTCTGTGAAAGTTAGAAGCACATGAGTGAAGAGGTGAGACATTTATTTACAAAAAAACATTTGTCACTCTTGAAAGTGAATTTAGTCTGTCATAAGTTTTATTAGAATTGTGTTCAAACCAAAAAAGATCATTTTAAATTTATTTTATATATCAATTGTGGTATCTATGAGCTACAACATGAGGTCAAAAACTAACATAAAAGTCCACCATTTTAGCTTAGAGGACTGATAAAGTCATAATAGTAGTTCAGGGGTAAGTTGATCCAGTGGTTCAACTGAGAAAGTAAAGAAGTTTTATGAGAGGATCAGAGTTTCAGTTCAGATTGTTGAAATGTGTTACTTTTTCCTTTTCCAAAATACAGCCGTGGATGTTCTGAATCACTTAAAGACATTCTCATGTTAAAATGACTTTCTACTAAACAGCTATGCAGATACACTAGTTAGAGACAAAACTATGATTACCTTGATGTAGTGATAAGAAATGTGAAAAATGGCTCATCCTACCCCACTTTCCCCTATCATAAATCAAATCAAATTCTGTAGCAAAGAGACACGTAGATGTTGTGTCATTCATTAAACACTTATTAATAAAACTGTGGTGCAAATGATAGTGCACACACTCAAGTAAAAAAGGATTTAAACAAAAAATACATTTTAACAAAAGTAATATGTGGGCCCCACACTTCATATCCGTTTCAGTCTACATAAAACTATGTCACTATGTCACTTCAGGTTAACCCCTTAGGAAGTGGTTTACCTGAAGTACATACAGTAGACAGAGGGTACATAAAGCACATTAACTATACCAACTACTGCAAATGCCAAGTGTCCCCACATTTCATATCTCTTTCGGCCTACATAAAACTATGTCACCCACATAGACTGTATATACTCCGGTCACCTAAAGCTTAACCACTTAGGAAATGGTTTACATGAAGTACATAAAGTAGAAACCACAAGCTCGTTAAATGTACCAACGACTGCAAATGCCAAGTGTCCCTGTGTATTTGCAAAGCAATAGAGTGTTGGCTTGATGCACACGGACCTGAAACAATTGACAACTATTGCACCATACAGTCAAACATGAATAATCAAACCATCTAGCCAGGTGAGTATGACGGAAAGTTTTTGAACAGATAAAAGTCAATTCAAGTTTTAACTAAATGAATAAGTTTCTGCCAACAGTCATCTCTCTACAGACTTCCCCACTTGATTAAAGAGGCGATGAAAGTAGTTTGTATTAGACGAGGTAAAGGCAGAGGCTTTGTCTTTACATCTGTCTGTGTTACAGACTGCCACTAGGCTTTGATGAGACCCCCCTCCTCTGTATGCTTATTTGCTCTCCTCTTGAGAGCTCATTCAATGAAGACAACCATACTTGTTGTAGTTTTAACATCAAAGGGCGACACATGTGGTAGCATAAGCACATGAAACATTAATCAACCATCTGTTTGAATGACAGAAACTGGTCAGTGAGGAGAGAGTTTTCTTTCTGCAGAATTTAAATGTCACTTTTTCTAATGGAAAACATATAAAACACAAAAAATAATATCCCTCTTGCTGTAATATCACTTGATTTTACAGGGATGTGTGATTGCAAAAAAAAAAGATTAATTTCGAAGAGCGGTTTCAGATTTTACAGAAATGTTTGCCTCCTAGTCAGCACACTGTAGGTTTTGGCGAGGTGTGTATCAAGGTGTAATGAAAGACAGACTTTCATTGTCTGAAATACTGAAGGCTAGAGTCTGATAGCTTAAAATCTGTGTGCAGGGGTCCAAGAAAGCCTGGGGTTAGCTTACACTCAAACAACAATCCAAGCCCTTTTTAAACAGGATCCCACTGGTAGAAATTTGTGGGAAAAGCACCTTTAACACCAAAGAGAACCCACAGGACCAGAACTCGGGCTGGTAGGAAGCTGTCCTCTCAGTGCTCCGTTTGTTATCTCAAGAATGTTCTTTGTCCCTCTGACTGTGTGAATGATTGCGGGGATCGCTGCGATTCTGTGAAATAGTGCATTGCTCTGTGAGAAAGGACAACTTCAATAGCCTAACCGGCAGACACGTGAGAGCCGAGAGAGTTTTTCTAGTGTCGGCCCCGTCTATAAAAACATGCAATACACACACATTATGCATACATGCTGGGGAGATGAGGTTTTGCGGTTAACATATACAATTTAAAAGCTCTTATACATGTAGATACAGATAGGAGTGTAAACAGTGATTCTTATCTGTAAGCATGATAGCAGGTTTTGTTCCCTTGATCAAATTGTAATCTCTTTTGCTTATATCCTGTCTCAGTTATCTAAATAGGCAAGGACACTTTCATCATCAGGTGCTAATTATGCATAACACTAATTAGCAAATGATAGTAAGCATTGTTTAAAGAAGATAAGGGTAAGAGTGCTGCCAAAAAAAAAACAAAGCTTGTAGCTGTTAAGTCACAAAAAAAGTAGAGCCAGACGGCGTTCACAGTTCAGAGAAGGAAAGTAAAAGCAGTTTTTAGCGTTCGCATTTTGCCTGCTGGAGTATCAGATAAGTGCGTATTAGAGTGTGGACGTTTGATAAGAAGTAATTCATGCAGAAATCAGGCTTAATCAGTGTTCAATGATGAACTCAAAAAAAGATTTATCCACACAGCAACATGTGTGTTAATTCTGCTTTGCAGTAGGAATACAGAATCAAAAGATTTACTACTGTTTACATCTGAATAATTAACATTTCCCCCAGTTCTCCTCCTTTCCTATAGGCTCACCATTGGTTAATCACAAAACCCAAGGTTCTCCATTTACTGGCCACAATGAACTATTTTAAATCTAACAGGTCAGGTTACTGCTGGATGATGTACACTATCTCAATAACATCCCGCAGCACGGGCATCATGTGACCTCTGCAACTGGGACACGGAGAAAAGAACATGTTAGACGACAAAACACAGCAGTCTCAGGTATCTCGAAAGCAACAGGTGAGAGATAGACGCTGGCAAAGAAAGTAGAAAAGTGGAGACAGCAAGGAAATTTGATACCTCATTTTAATGTGCTCGCCTACTAACTTCCTTATCTTTTATTTTCTGTGTTTTTTCATACAGGTGGAGGACAAAAAGGTCTTTCACTGAATGTGAGTCTACTTTTCATCTGTCAGGAGTGATATTTTTTGTACAGACCTCAACAGAGACAGCTCTCAAGCACGGAAAGGTCAGAGGAATGTGTGTGCGTAAACTGCACAAGAGGAAAGAATTGCAGAGTCATGATGAAAAGAAAACCTTTGAATTCAAAACACATGCCGAAAAGACAGAAGGAAGACAGGATCGGCCATGTTCAAACAATGACTCAGCAAAAATCTACTCCCCCCCCCCTCATTCAAAGATGTAACTCTGTTTTGCAAGAACTTATAAGTGGGGATTTTTGTCTGAAAGTATTTGCTGCAACTATTAGATGGATCGTCCGGATATTTCGTAAAAGTACTCTAAAAGTACTCGTCTTTCCAAGAAGATTAATCACACTGACTTCTTGACCCCTGATTTTTCTTAAAGAGACACAGCAGGATTACATCACCAGACTTAACTTTCAGACAGATTTTCATGTTATTTTGTTAAAACATTCACGTCTCAGTATGTAGAAATCCAACATTTTTAAATGATGTTTTTGTTTGTTTGAGTTAAATTTAACATTTCTTGTGTTTTTAGGATTTTAAAGTGCTTCGAAGAGGATAGCTTGGTCAATATGTGCTAATAATCCTCATTTTCCCTCTTATTTCTCACTACCTGTCTAGATTCAGAGGCGTGGTTATCCCTCTGTAGCACCCAGAAGTGACAGGAAGGCCCCTAAACCCTGTCTGATCTCTCAGAGCCTTTTGTGGCCAGGAGTGGCCTCCCGAAATTATTTACGGATTTACACTGTGTAATCACACTCACATGCCATGCCTACTACCATCCCTCTGTGTCTGTTGCAGCCTGCCTTTAAAACTACACTGAGTTCAGCATAGATAATATCATAAAAGGATTTTACTCTCTGACTTCTTACAGCTGTTTTTGATGTTAACCATTATTTGCACATAGAGGCCCATCTGAGGGCAGGGATTGTGATATATCAAACAGTATTCCTAAAATTCAAAATTAATAATATTATTCAATCTGTATAATGTTTTAAAAAGTGTCCTTTATTATTCCTTTAATGCCTGACACCACAAATTGTGGCCAGAAAATTCAAATTATTTTGGAGCTGAAATGTTTATTTCACTTAATACTGAAAACCAAAAAAATAAAAAATAAAAATATATTTATTCATCTTGTTTGGTACATTAGATGTTTTTGAAAACTGATAAACTACAAGAGGACATCTTTATGATTTATTAGACTGCATTCAGGTGTTTTTTTTGTGATTTGTTGATCATATTGATCTGATAGAAGTATATAAAAGTATGTATCAAATATGAAACAAAAGGCATTAAAGGGTTAAATTAGAGGTGTTTTGAAAGCAGCTTGGATAGGATCAGTTTTAATACAATGTACAAAAAAAAAGGATGAGATGGATGAACATTCATGAGCACATGTAATGAAAACTTCTAGGGCACACACACGCGCACACACACACACACACACACACACGACATAAAAACTCCATGCAGAAAGCCACCTGCTGGCTCGGCCGTTGAAACCAA